AAAGCAACTTCAAAACTCAAAAACAACACTTACTCTTTACAAGCTAAAATAGCATTTAAATGAAATTAATAAAAATAACCAAAAAAACAATTGCAAATAAATTAATTTAAAAAATAAAAATTTAAGCCATTTCTGCATAATCTTAATTCATCTTCTATATAAAAATCACTCGTACAAGCATTTTTTAGCAATTAAAATAAAAAATAATTTCAAAACTCTATATTTATTCAATTGTTCCTTAACAATACTAAAAAAATATATTTAATTAATTAATTTCTTGCAAAATTTAACAAGAGATAAAAGAATTATTTATAGCAAAACTATTATTTATTTAATATGTATGTTTTTGACTAAACAACTCTATTTTGTTCATCTAAAAAATAATTCAGCTAAATATAAAAATTTCTAATATAATTTAAACAAATAATATTTTTATAAAATATCATCAAATATTTTGCAGAAAAAAATTTTAATTTTCATCAATAAGCTAACTATCATAAAATTGCAAATATGCCTTAAATGCTTAAATAAGTTATTAAATTGAAAAATCTATGATAAATGTATTTATCTTTTGCTAACATAATACATTAAACCTAAAAATATAATAAATTAATATAAACTAATTCCTGAATAAAATTTATTATCATGTATTTAAAATATTAATTAATTATTCATATATTATAAATTTAAATTGATTATTTTTTTATTTATCATTTGATTTAAGAAAGATAACCATTTTAGAGTTTTTAAAAAATAATTATTTTCTTTCTAATTTACTTTTATTCATATAAATTGATGAATTAAATTATTAATTTTTTATCTAATTTATTTATTTTCTCATAAACATAACGAATTAAACTTAAAATATTGATTAATATTTTTTTGATTAATGAATTCATTCTAAGCATATATTAAATTATTCGATTAGGCTGATCTTAAAGAAATAAAATGAATACTTTTTTATTTTATAAATATTAAGATGATATTAACTCAATCTTAATTTAAGATTCATAATGAAAATAAATACCTCTGACAAATAAATGCTTTAATTCTTATGATTAAATAAATAATTTGAATTTTTATTTTAGTTTGAAATTTAATTGATATTCCCCATTTAATCAATCTATTTCAATTTGCAAATAAGAAGTTAGGGAAAAACAAAGAAAATAATTAACAAATTGATTTATTGATTTTTCTTTTAGAAAAGAACTTTTCATATAACAATTTTAATTAAAAAAAAAATCAGCTTAGCTGAAAAAATAAGCATCAAAAGGGAAATGAGATATCTTCGTCTGGATGGAAGAAGTATAATTGATGAAAAATCTTCTATGAGAGCAAATGATTAGGTCCTTGATAGAGAATAAAGAAGTGGTTTAGGCGCCTAATCTCTTTTAATCCACGTCCAATACTACCAAGTTTTTTAAAGTGAAAAGTGCTCTTATAGAAGAAAAAGTCATTAGAAAGATCCAATTCCTAGGAAGATTATTTTGTCCATTTTAAAAACGCTTAAAAATTAAACTAAATCATTAAGCAGAGGATGGGAAAAAAACAAACCTCTTATTGTTTGAAGTACTTCTTAGTAAATGCTATACTTAAAGGATTATGAAGCCCGTTCATAGTCTTGGCGGTATAGTATAAGAAAAGAAACTACGAATGACTGTAAGAGATAAAGAAAAATTATTACTTACCGCATTAAAATTTAGTGCTGGTACTATGTCACTATAATCCTACTGCGATTCTCTCTCCAAATAAATAATTTTAATTTTAAATATATAAAAAGTATTTTTTAAACTTTAGATAAGCCCTCCGATGATTTTAACAAAAGCCCTCCATTAATTTTTAGTTAATTTTAAAAGCCCTCCAAATTTTAATTTAAATAAATAATTTTGAAAATAAAAATCATAAAAATAAAAAATGAATTAATTAAAAAACAAATAAATAAATGAATAAATAAATAAAAAACTAGAAGCACACAAAACACACACACACATAAAACTAAGCAAAGCACATAAAAATAAGCAATAACATAGAAGCAAAAAACTAAAATAAAAAACAAAAAATAAAAGAAAATACATAAAATCAAATATACATCCAACAACAAAAAATAAAAAATAGTTTGCTTGAAGGGGATATCCTGCATTTTTTTTTTAATTTTATAAATTAATTAATAATTTTTAGCATGAATTATTTATTTTCAAAAGTTAAATTTTGTTTTCTCAATTGTCTGATTTTGGTTGTAACAAAAAAAATTATGTGTTTTTGAAAGAAGAAATAAATGTTCCAAATGAAAGAATAAAATTTTAATACTGATTAATAAAATCAAAGATAAGTGATTGAAGTAAAGCATTATATGATTTAATCGACCAAGAACTCAAATCATTTTGAAATTTTACAAAATATTTAAAACCTTAATTAAATTTACTTAACAAGATAAATTGAATATATTATTATAAATCTAATTTATTTTTAAAAATTAAAATAATAGAAATTAATTTGATAAATATTTAATTCTCTAATAAAAAAGTAAATAATAGATATTTATATTTATTTTAAAATATATTTGTTTGATTAATCGCTATTCATCTATCTATCTACTAACCATCCTTTTTTTAATAGTGATTTTTAAAAATTTGAATTTGAAAACCTTTTTATAGATTGGTTGAAAATTGTATTCAAATCTTAACTCTACTCAAAAATTACTTTATTAATTTATTGATTTATTTAATTACTTAGTATTTTATATTCTAAAATTATGAATGAAAAATAAATTCAATCTAAAATAATAAACAAACATTTTGTTTACCATAAAATATATTTTTTAAATTGTGAATAAAATGAATAAATAAATTTTTAATTACTTCTTATAAATTATTATACCAAAATATTTTTATAATTTAAAATATTTCTCATATTTAAAATGTTGGGCAAAAAATAAAGTCTAAAGTAATTAAAGTGTTTAATTTTTAAATAATAATAAATTTAAATAAATATTTTAATCTAATTTATTCTAGTTATTTTAAAATGAATTTTTACAAAATTTACTGATTAATTTCATTTTTTTAAATAATTATTTTACTTTTTTAAGCAATAAAAAATATAAAAGATTTACAATTCGTTTATATATGGGATATATATTTTAAAATTTTAAGCAAGGATATAACATATTTAAATTAAATTATAAGCTTGAATATATACTTGAATTAAATTATTTAGTTAGTTTATTTGTTAGTCATGGCACTAGAATAATGAGTTAATAATAACTAAATATATTTGTTTAAAATGCGCAATAAATTAAAATAGCAGTTTTTTTTTTAAAAAATATCAATTTGAAGACTTTTTTTACATGTACAAAGCATTTACAATTAATAAGAAATAATAGAACTAAACATATAAAAAATAGAAAATGCTATTTATTTATTATTGAATATGTTTGTGTATGCATAAGAGTATATTTGTTTGCATAGATGTAATAGGATATGAAGATCCAGAAAAATTAAATAAAAAAATTATGAAATATTTAAAGAAATAGAGTTTAAATTTAGCAAATGAAGTATTTTATGAAATAAATAAAATCTAGGTAAATTAGGCAAACAAATATTTAGAAATAATATTCTATATATATCTAGCTTAATTCCAGCTAAAAGAGTTGACTTTAATAAGCAATTAAAAACTAAACAAAATCAAACAATATAATTGATAAAAAACTAGATATTTCAATATAAATAAGTAAGCTTGAATCATATAAATAAATAAAAAATTATGAAAACTCTCTCTTTTATCTTATCCTTTATATATATACTCTATATAGCCATCCCATTTAACGCCTATCCAATCCTCAATGGAGCTGACCTATAGAATGTTGCTTTAATACCTCTTGGTTACAATAACTGTATTAAAAATTACCCAAGAGCTTGCTGTTTTCAAGGATAAGCTACTCTAACTACTAAATATGATGATTAATCAATAAAGAGTTTTACCTTGAAGGGAAATTAAATTGGTTAAAATTGTCCAAACGAGTTAGTATTTTTACCTATAAGTGATAACCTTAACTAGATTATTATGAACAAATTTTATATAAGAACTGATTATGATCAGCTAACATCTTTTTTGTTTTATACTGGTTCTAGAAGTCAAGAAATCTAAGGATAAACCAAGTATGACTACCAATTTAGCCTTCATTTACATTCTTAGCCTAGGGCAAGCAATGTTTTCTAAGATTTTATGCTTAAAAATACTGATTTACCTATTGAGGAATAACAAAGTTAGTCCTTTTCTGATATCATATGTTCCTATTTTGTTTTATTTTTATTAGCTATTCAAATGGCTATATGAAATAAATATCTTTAATGAATTTATATTAATAAGAATATATACTCACTCACATTCATACATAATTCATTGATATATTTATAAATATGTTAAACCAATAAATTATTACTAATTATGCATCATAAAATACTATCAATATCACCTTTAATTAATTCAGTTATGTTACTTCTAGTAAATTTTATTCATATTTCAAATTGAATTAAGTAACTCTATAACTAACTAACTAATTTAGTTACCTATAATAACTTTTCTTTGTTTATTTATTTGCTTAGTCAATTTGTATATTAAATTTGAACACCAGTCCATAATATATACCTATATTTAGTAAATCTAAAAATAGAACTATTTATAATTGATTTTTTGATGAAAAGTTTTAGCCAAATTCAATTTTAAAAAAATAATAAGCACGTAAGAAATCTAAATATAATTATCAAATACAAAGCTATTAATTTTCAAAAAGTATAAGAAAACCATTATTTATTACTTTAAATTTTATTTAGTAATACCTGAATATTTTTAATATTATCTATAAAAGAATTTATTATCTCAATTTCGCACACAAACACAGCACTAGAGAAAAATAAAAATTTGCTAAATTTATGTTTATTTGATTGTAAAAATGTATGTTGTTTTATTTCATTTTTATAGAAAACTTCAAAAAGAAATTTTAATACATTGAACCTATTACATAAAAAATTAATATAAAATTAATTTAACCAAAAAATTAATATTTTTGGTATTATTATTGAATGTTGATAAATAATATCTATCTTCTTTGAATACAAACTAATTTATTAAAGCAGCAATTTGAAAAATATAATTTATGGATTAGCATAAAGATTTTATTCATAGAAAGTTAGCTGAGTTGTCGGACTTGAAGTAGAAGAAGAAAAAGAATCCAATTTACAATGAAAATTAAGACGAAGACATCATAAGAGCAAAAATTAACAGAGTTTTAAATGGCCCTAAGCATATAGTCAATATAATTATGATTATTATTAATATTTTTGGACTTGCTTTGTGCGCTTGCCAAATCTATAATAGATGTCTTAATCTTGATTATATCATTTTAATCATTTATTTTGTTTTGGCATGTGGGCCTCAAATTTATCTTTTAATAAATAAAAGATTCCCTTCAAAATTAATTGGATTATCATACTTAATGTATAGCATTTTCTATCTTGCAGGAGCTGTTATAATCATCCTCTTTTTTGTATAAGGTATTGAAAGTATCATATGCTAATATGAAGTATGCCACTAATATTATGGTGGTTCTTGGATTAAAAATAATTACAGAGAAAGCGAAAGTCTTTGTTACTAAAATCCTTCTAAATAAAATCTAAAATAAAGAATACTTGATATACTGACAGAGTATTAAAATTATCCTTAAGTGTAATAATACTAAGTAAAATTAAATTATTTATTTATTTGTAATTTAGTTTTTAAAAATGTTTTAATGATTAAAAATTATTTTACTGTTTATTTATTTATCTAAAAATAGCTTGATGATATAGCCTTGATACAATTTACAAGCTTTTATGTTTTCTTTAATGTACTAATTATTACAAAGCTAATCTATTCAGCATACTTGATCATTTGCTATATAATGATATTGACATACAAAAAAAAACACAAACAAATATTTAAAAAGATGAAAAAAGATATTAACAAAAATAATCTTAAATATAACTTTCCTTAGTATTGAAATAAAACAAATAATTATTAATTATTATCTATTCTAAATAATCTCTTTCATATTAAGAGAGCCTCTTTATTATTCAAATGTTTTGATTATATTGATTTCTAAAAGAATCATATTATTTTGATTGATTACCTTGATCACTCACTTATATTAACTTTTTAGTGATAGCTATTTATAAAAATTAAGCTTAATTTTATATACTCGAAAGTAAAGATTTTGCAAAAAAAAAATTCAGATTTTATATTGAAGATTGCAGTGTATTTTTGGTGTAAAATTGAATTTAAAATAAATCTAATATTTGCTTATTTATTTATTTTTATATAAGATTCTATAAATCTATTTACATATTTTAAATTAATATTGTCGACATATATTAAATATTGAGGAATCTTCCTTATTAGCTTGCTTAAAAATTATTTTTATTTTAATAATTCATTTATTAGCCTATTTATATGTCTATATTTTTAGTCAATCTCTTTCTAATAAAGTTTTAATTGCTTAAATAACTGAAATAGTGAATGTCTAGATTTTTATTAAAATGAATAAAAAATTTAGAGTTAAATTAATAAATAAAACAAAATAATTATGAATGATAAAATTGATTAATAAAATTTTTTAGCCTGTTTATCAAATGTAAATTAAATTGAAGAAAAATTAGGAATAATAAATAAATTTAAATATTTACTTATTTATTTAAAAACAAATATATGCCACAAATAAGTATGAACAATTTATCTATTATTAATTCTTCAATCCTTCCATATATTTAGTTTAATAAAATACTCTTTTTTTATATCTAATAAATAATACACTTAAAGAAAAAGAAAATTGATTGATCAACGATCAAATTCAATTCACACATTAACTTATTAATTATAAATAGTAAATTAAATTTATTTAGTATAAGTTGAATCAATAATATAAATCATTAAAAATAAGTTTAAGTTTTAAGATAAAAGGTTTATTAAGCAAAGTAAAATATTTAGGTTCTTTAAAAGGGTAACAATTTGACATTAGGCTCATCAGTTTCTCTATTAGTAAGTACACTATATGTATTAATTTAGCAAGCAAAGGTTTGCTTAGTTATTTAGGAAAAATTTTTTATCAGAAAATGTATTAGATAAAATTTAAGCGAGAGCATAGAAATAAAAAACAAACATCTAATTATTAGTATCACTTTTATTTTATATGAAGGATTTTAAATGCTTTAAACTTACTTATTCAATAAAGAGGAAAGAAATTATAAGTTTTTTCTTAATTACACTTTTTAGTTCATAAAAGTATTCTTGAGATAAGATATAGTTGTTTATTATTTTCTTTAAAATAACACATTCCTTAAAAGTAGGATATTATATATCAAGATATAAAGCAAAATTCATATCCTTTAAGTATTTTTGAGGTTTTTTAATCTATCTTATAAACCGAAAACAAGATGAAGAATTAATAGAAATTTTGAGTTATTTGTTATTGTTTATTCATTTATAAATTAAATTTAAATTTTTATATTTATCCAATAAACTCATATTTTTGAAGTAGTTTTTCAATACAATTTAAGTTTATTATTATAGTTAAAACCAAGTAATATTAGCAAAATTAATGAGTAAAATAAAAATTTTTGCAGCTTCGTTGTGACAATTTAAAATGCTAAGATACTTATAAAATTTAAATTCTTTTATTTAATTTCAAATAATAGAAAAAAAATACATTTTCATTGATATGATTAATATTACTTTTTTAATTAATTAAAATCTAAAAAATAATTTTATGGATTGATTATGCTATTTTCTTTTATTGGATTTAAAAAATGTAGTAATTTTGAAAGAGTAAGAAAATTTCTTATAGCTTCAAATGAAATTTTAGTTAGTATTATCTATTTCAAAGATTTTTATATCTTCTTTGATAGATACTCTCTATTTTATTTTGAAAGTATATTTATTTAATTAATGAGCCCTATTAAATAATTATATAAAATAATTAGATAATATCAGTATTTCTTATTCTATTTTTACTTTTAGCTGCTCAATTCAAACATGGAATTTTGAAAATTAATCTTATTTTTATTTTTTGCAAGCACATAATACTTTTTTTAAACTAGTAAACTCGTTTTATTACAAAATCAACAAGTTTAAAAATTTTCACTGTTACTGAATAACCATAAAAAAGCAAATATTTAAGGTGTATGTATTTGGAGGTTTGAAGGACAAGAATTAAAAGTATAAGATTAAATTTATTTTTGTACGTTCTAACTATTGCTATTACCATTAAACTAAATTTGAGCTTAATTGAAATTAAAATATGTTTAGAGTGATCAGTTAGTCAGTCAGACAGACAGAGATACTTATCAAGATATTAATAGAAAAGAGAAACAAAAAATACTGTAAAGAATAGATTGATTGAATTTTTTAGATCTAAATTGAATATTTACTTATGCTTTTTGTCTATCATAAACTATAAAATTTAAAATGCTTATAAAGCTATTTATTTGAGAAATTTAATGGATTTTTTGCATCTTAAAAATTGTAAATAAGTCTAATAAAAATAAGTATTTTTCCAAAATAAATGATTAGTGAGAAATTTAATATTTTTTGAGTAAAATTAAAGGTGATAAATTAATTAAATATTTAATTCACAAAGAAGTTTGCTTTCTCTTTTTCTTTCTTGCTTTCTTTTTTTTCTTAATTTGTTTCTTTTACTTCTTATTTAATTTTGTTTTATTCTTAGGTTGATTTTTTTATGAACAAAATTTTTCGTCAATAAAAATTTAAATAATTGTAATTATAAATACGTAAAAGAGAGAAAAAAAATTTTAAATGTGTAATCTTAATAAATTTTGTAAAAATCAAAAAATAATTCGCTTTTTCCCCTAATTTTTTTTGCAGCTAATGCACTTACACATTAATAAATTTTTTTATCTAGAAATTTGTATAAATCAATGTATTATTTTTGATTAATTGATTGATAAATTCTTTATATAAATAAACTACACATGAAGCTTGTTTTCTTTTGCTCATTCATATTTTAGTATTGATAAAACTTTTTGTTTATTTATTAATATTTCTCCTTATTTAAGAAAGGGTATTTATTTATTTTCTCTTTTATATCATACTTTATCCTTCTGCCAATTTTATCTGTCTGTCTAGTAATAATTATAAATACAAATTTATTTTGCGAAAAGGAAAACACTAAGAACAAATAAAGCCTAAGTATTTATTTTAGATAGATTTTTCTCAGAAAACAATATTCTAAAATATATTTTGTTTGCTACAAAGTAAACAGAGAGATACAAAAATTTTTAATAATCCAAAACACAATTTTTTTGTGAATTTTGTATAAACGAACTAAATATTTTAATTATATCATCAAAGCAGTCTTTGAAGTTATAAATAATTTAAAAAAAAGAAAAGGCATCTTGAAGAAATAAGATAAAGAAGACTTTATTTGAAAAAGTAAGTAAAAAAACCGTTTTATCTTCAAACTAACTCTGTGCCTATAAAAACATAGAAATGAGCCTGCCACCTTAACAGCAAGATCTATTTAAAAACGGGCATTAAAGATGGACTTCATATATAGCTGACTAGAAGTAATAAATAAAAATAATAATAAACAATACAAGAAATGAATGAATAAATAAAAAATACTTATTTTTAGAAGAATTTTTCTTATTTTCCTAAGCCACATTATTTTTTCCTCTCCTTAAATATGCATGCAATTATGGAGAATAATATGAATGGAATCTATTATTTTAACATGTAATCCTTTGGTTTTGATAGTAAATAAATTATATTGGTCATAATGTCGAGTATACTATTTAGCTTTAACAGCATCATTGTTAAATAGAAGAATTAAATTAACTTCTTGCAATGTTTTAAATTCCTTTTTATCAAGTAAGTAATGAAGGAAGGTATGGATGAATAAATAAATCAATAAAAGGAGTATTTTGGCTTTTAGATTTTTATCATTTAGCTAGTTATTTAGTTAGTTAGTAAGTAGTAATTAAAGTATTGCTTCAAGTTTTATTAATTTGATAAATTTGTTTTATGAGAAAGAAATTTTTCTATTATTCTTATTTATAAATTTTTTGATTAGATTTATTTATTAGTATAAATTTTTAAAATTTTCTAAACACAGGAAAATTAAATACATTGAATTTTTTCTACAATCATTCTGATTAAAACATCAAAAAAAAAAAAATTTGAATAAAAGATTAAATTAATATATATTTCCATCTACCAATTAGATCATACATAATACTATCAATAAATTTTTTTATATTTCTTTTATTTTTGCGTCTATGAGGTCTTCGCAGATAGATAATAAATATAATACAATCTAGAAGAGTTCTATCAAAAAATTTTCTTTTTCAAATAATACTTTTGCAATCCAGAAATGTAAAATAGAAAAAAATATAAAACGAGATATTTTTGCTAAAAATATTTTGTAGATATAGCTATTCAGATAAACAGATAAGTAAATAAATCAATAGATTCGAGATTAATATTCTCTAGAAAAAAATCAAACACACAAATAAATTTTTAAAAAGAAAGAATACATACACAAAAAATTAATGGATTAATTTTTGTAGTAAATTAAAATCAAAAAAGCTTCTAGATTTGTTAGCAAATAAATAAATAATTAAGTAATACTGCAACTCATATCTATCTATTATTGCAGCTAAAAAATATTACTAAAGTATAAACATATTTTTATTATAATCCATACTGCCCTCTTAGAAAAAATATTCATATTTCTTGTTTAAATTGATACAATTTTACTGTGGATTTGTACAATGTAACTCATCCCTTTTTATTTCATTCCTTCCTTCTTTATTTGTTTATTATTGCATGCTTATTCTTATTTCTTTGTATTTTAAATCAGAGAATAATTAATTTTAAAAAATCTTGCAGTAAAAGCTCAATTAACTAACAAATTAACTATTACTAGCAATTTTTAAGACAAATTATTATATCTTAAAATTTTTTTCTTTGCTGAATAAATTTTTTTAATTTGAGTGACTTTTTTGGGAGAAATTTAACACATTAAATGTTAATTTTTGTGTAAAATTAATTAAGATCAAGGCAAAAAATAATTAAGCTAAGAAAAAAAAAACAACCTTCATCTAATTAAGTAAAATAAGATTTTGAACAAAGAGAATTTTTTGGGATTGATTGAAAGTGACCAAACAAAGTTAATAAATAAAATAAATTAATAATCCATTCTGAAATTTTTTTATTTTTTTTTGATTTAGACTGCTACCACAAACGCAGATTAATAGATTGATTATCTAATTAATTATATAGATAACAGAGAAACGAATCTCAAATCTATTATTTTGAATTATTGTTTATGAAAAATTTTAATAAATATATAGTTTCTCATAAAATTAAAGTATCAACGGAGCGATGAGCTTTGCTAATTCGCAATAGACCAAATAAAATAATTAGATTTTAGCATCATTTTAAAATCCTCCAACAACAGCATCCACAACTCATATCCACCATACTTAGCAAGCAGTTACATAGCAATAACTATAACAGCAATAATAGCAGCAACAATAAGCAGTAGCGGTAGTATCAGTCCCAACACAGCTGCAGCAAGTATCCTAGTCTTCATCTGTATTTACTTACTTTTTTTGTTTTTTTCCTTTTATCCATATTTCTCCATCTCTTTTCTTCATTATCTTTTTTATATTAACCCAACTTATTTCTAGCAATCTTCAAAAATTTTATTTAATTTACCCTAAACTAGTAAGCACCACACACTGCCCTCATCATGGGATAGGTCAATTAGCCTCCATAGAATGCTCTTCCACTCGGATAGTACGACAAAAATTCATAAAACAAGTTCTATTCTGGGACTTTTCAGCCTATCCAAAGAAACGGATAATATAATTATCCTGTTTAATTGATTGCGTCTCAAGCAGGATCTTAAGCTTAACAAGTCTAGCCACCATATCCTAACAGCGCTGCCCAGTCTCTCTCTTCTTCTTAGCACTAAATATTAAATCAGTAATAGTCTAGTTAAAATCCCTCTTAATAGCAAAACTTAGCAGGAGTTAACTCATAGAATTCAGCATCGTCTACTGGTTCTTCTACTTCATAAACTTTAAACAATTCTTAAAACTAGGGATAGCAAGGCTAATAAGCTTAGAGTACTTAGAATAATAGTTCTTCTTTATAATAATAGAATAAAAATTTGTTAAATGTGAATGGTAATCTTGTAGGTACTTCAAGCGGAAATGCAAACATTTCAAATTAATTAGGCAGTTCTAGCAACAATACTAATAGCAATACAAATGGCTCTATCAATAACGCAAATTGTAGTAATTAGACTAATAGTAATAGCAATTAAACAAATGGATAAAGTAATATGAATGGAAGCAACCACAATAGCAATACGAATGGAGGATTACCAAAAGGAAACACAAGCAATAGCAGCAATAGCAACAACAATAGCAGTAATAATAACAATAACAACAATAGCAGTAATAATAACAATAACAACAATAATAATAACAGCAACAATAACAATAATAGTAGAGACAGCATCTCATCTAATGGTCAAATTTATCATAGAATGGGAGATGTAAATCTTTGCAAATAAAATCTCTGTTGCATGGTTTGTGAAAAGAATATTTGTGATGATTGCCAAGATCACATGAAAGATCATTATGCATTGAATATCGATAAATTATTTGAACAATCTTTTGCAAATTAAATTAGCTCCACCCAAAAATCATATCAATCATGCTTAGACAGTCTTGAAAAAAATGAAAAGACATTTATAAAATTTTAAGAAGCAATTCATGAACTAATAGATAATGCTTACCATAATTATAAAATAGCAGAAGCTTACAATAACAAGGACTATAAACTCTTTGGATAAATTTTTAGAAAGCACTATTAAATTACATCAACTTAAGAAAATCCTTCAACTTTATCCTACTAGGAGAAACCCGAAAGTTCTGTTAATTAAAAAGATATCATAAGCAAACAATTCGAAAAAAATTATGAAAAGCTTTATAACTTTATCTTAATCATGAACTAAATTACAATCGATGAAATTACTTAGCATTTAGGTTAATAAACTACTTAATAATCAGTACCTATTTTTAATGTAATTGGTTCTAATATTGCTTCTAATTAAAATACTTTAAATTAACTACAATAACCTAACTAAGCGATTTCTACATAACCTACAGTCTAATAATCTGGAGGCCAATTGTAAATTAATTAGATGAATGGAAATACCCCATAACAAATCCACTTACCAGGTCCTCCACCCTTAGCATAACATCAAGCATAAGGTCATCCAATTCAAAATTATTAATATATTGGAACTTAATTTATTGACCCCCATCTCAATTTTCCTTAGGGAGGAACTCACCCCTAAGGTTTTTATATTCACAACCCTCACGTAAGATATCCACCAAGTATTCCTATGCATAATTAGCACTTAAAAGTTGCTCCTGGTCCTGCTAACAATTATTTAATCCATTAAATACCATAAAACGGAGGCTTGAATAAACCAAATACCTACCAAAAGCAAGATTTTAATAGTTGTATTGACTAAGGCCCTACAAAAAAGATACAAACAAATCCTAAATAAAAACCTAATGTTAGTAATAGCTAATCAAATGTTTACAATTCCACATAAAACTCAATGCTTTCACTAAATAATTACTCTTCTCATTCTAAATAAGGTTAATAATACCTAAACAATTCCTCTACAGGCATGGCTTAGTCTCAGCTCTCTTCTGAGGATAGTTTACCTACCTAAAATGAAGGATAGATGGCAAATAATTAAGTAGGAGAACCTATGATAAGTGAAAATTAAAATAAATTACTATCTTCTGATATAATTCACACAAAATAGGAAGCCATAGAACTTAACTCCAAAACTTCATCACATTCTAATTTACCTCTAATATAAAACTTATCCTAGCAAGGCTTAAATACTACATCTAAGCAATCAGCCTAATAATAACTAGATAATTCTCAGCGCCTACAAAATACCTCACCATAATATTCAAACAATTGCTCAAATCCATAAAACAATAATAGCAACGGTAAAGTGATGGTTAGTCTTACAGCCTCTTATTTACCCCCTGAAGAAAACCAAGAATAACAATAACATAAATCCAAGGCACCAAAAAAACATCACTCAGATGAAACAAAATTAATGGCATACATAGAATGCAGTCGAGGAGTTTAAATTAAAGATTTAGCAAAAAAATACTCAGTTGTTGAAGGAACTATCAAAAAATGGCTTAATGATATTAGTAATAATAAAATTACGTTTAATCAACATTAGCTAAATTAATAAGGGATAACATCTTTACCTCTTCTCTAATCATAGCAATCTTCAACTGCTGTAACTACAATGACTTCTGTTTCACCTATTTTATCAGCAGTACCTCCAACACCATCTTCTAACAACTAAGTAAATAAATAAATTTTAAAATTACTTAATTTAATTTTTTTCCTAAAACTAAACTTTTTAAATATTATTTTATAAGGAGGATTAATAATTTTATTAATTAAATTATTATTTATCAAGTTTTAAATTTGAAGTTTTAAGCTTAAAAATTATAAATAATTAATAAAATTTAATAGACCCTCTTTAACTCTAAAATAATTTTTATTAATTCTTAAAAAAATTTGTGTCAGATTAATTTAGTATTTGATAAATTTAATTTTGAATAAATGAATTTGAATTTACTTATTAACTAATAAATTTATTTATTTAAATAATAGATAATAAACTAAAAAATCGAAAACTTAAATAGTTATGACAACGAAGCCAACTAAAATAGCAATTCTTAGAGTTAATAGGAAAATGAAATGGATTAAAATGAAGAACAAAGCGATGAAAGAGATTAGTATGATTAACAACTAGAGAAGGAGCAACATCAAGAAACAAAATTATAAAAGTAACCAGTAATATAAAAAATAGAGAACTTAGATGTCATAGATAATGATTTAGCATAGAATAGCTAGACAGAAAGCAAAGAATCTGTTGAAAAATAAAGCGAAATGAAATTGATTTGTTTTAGGATGTTGAAGAATAGCAATTTCCCAGAAATTCCTTTGGAAACAACTATCTTTGCTCTTTCTAAAGATAACATTTTGCAAATTAAATATATGCCAGGTGGCGAATAATAGGATAAATTGATTTGCTAGGAGCATTTTAATAAAAGAATAAAAGAATTGAAGTTTTAAATAATCAAGTAGGAATCTATAATTTTTATTCACTTGGAAGACGACTCTCTATATATGTGGAGATGGTAATTGAAAGAGATCTACTAGTTAATCTAAAGAAAAGTTTAAAACTTTGATGTTTTTGTGTATTTTGGACATCTTTTTGTAATTGTCTAAAAGGGAGATATGCACATTTAAGTCTATACTATGGACAATAAACTAATATCAAATATTTCAAATGTTCGACCAAAAGAAGACTGCTTTGGAGAAAACTACACTATTAATAACTTAGTAGGTTGGGGAAGCGAAGAGAATAAATAGTGGTACATTTGTTGCAATAGTGGAAATTACTTTTGGGCATATTCACTAGAAATTAATGAACAATCCTTGTAGACTTTCTTTTAGAATCAAGCACCTTTAAATGATTTCAAGATTATCTATGAGGCTTTTACAGAAGATTGCTAAGAAATCTTTAAGATGAGACTTCATAAAAACTAGTTAACATAACAAGAAGTTATAGGAGCTAGCGACTCTGGATTACTATATATTTTTGATATTTTGAAGGGTCGTCAAAGCTACTTTAAAATGAAGAGTTAGGGAGAGAAGTAAATGCTAGATATATAAGTCTTCCACCCGTACAATTAAAATCATGATGAATTATAATCAAACGAGTAAAAAGAGCAAGATGAGCCTAAGATTATTTTATGCTACGACAGTTTTATTCGTATCCGTAAATATAAAAAATTATAATTCCCACAAGGAATGAGATGCGCTACATTAGAGGTAAAAACATAAGAAATAATAATTTATTATGTTTAAAGTACACAAGACTAAATTCTTAAGCACACCTTGAATTCTTGAATTGAGCAAAACTCAATATGATTAAATCAAAATATCCTTAATTTAAAATCAAACAAACAAAAATAAACATATCAACTTAAAAATGTAATAAAAAAACTAATTAAAACCACTTTTTAATGAAATTTAACACATCTAAAATTGCTCATCAAAATTTAAAAATATTCTCATTTATATAAACTTAATTAATTAAGACATTCATATTCATACTATCAAGCAGCAAGTAAGCAAACAAATAAAATTCATATAAAGCCATATAAAATACATATTAAAATGATAAAAAATAAATTAATATACCTAATTCTCAACAAAAAAAAAAACCAAATTCAAGTTAAAGAATTTAGAAAAGCGTTTAGATAATATATTTTTTGATTTAAATAATTAAAGTTGCTAATAAGACACAAATAAAAAAAAGCTAAATAAATCTGAGTTTATAAGTAAACAGGTAGTAAAAGCAGTACTGTGAAAACGAAAATCAATCAATAAACAAATAATAATTTAAAATAATAATTTAAGAAAATAAAAATAATAATGACAAGTAATATAAAATGAAAAGAAATTTCTACTTAAATTTTAATTTCAACAGAACTGTTCTTTAAGTATAATTTATTACATATTTTCAACCTTAAATTATTTCAATTTAAAGCAAAACAAAAAATAATTCTTTGTTTTTGTTTTTCCTTTTATATTTTATAATCAAATTCCTTACAAACACTTTCTTTCTAATTAAATCTTCGAAATAAACAAAGAAATCTTAATTTATTAACTAAGTTCTTCTACAATTTAAAAAAATGTCTATTAATAAATAAATATATGCGTACTGCTATTATCTAACTATGGAGTATTAAAAAATATATAAAAATGTATCAAACATAAATTAATATTTTTATATCTTCAATAAAAAATAATATAAATACAATAAGAGTAAATAATATTTAAAAATGATAAAAAATTATGAAACATAAAATATCTATTCTGTTATTTATTGTTTTAATGTAATTAATAATATTTTTAATTTTTTAATTTTTATAAATAGATTCCATTTAGATAGGTTTATTTTATTTTCTTTCATTTTTTAAGTATTTATTGTTTTTTCATCTATATTTATTTATTTATTTCACAATTTTATTATTTGTTTATCATCGTCTTTTTGTTTGTTTTTTGCGAGATTGAATTTTTAAAAAATTTATTTTTATTTATCTTCTAATATTTTGTTTTAACTAAATGGTTTATTTTTTTTTCATATTTTTGGTAAAGTATTTAAATTTATATTTTTAGCTTTAAAATTGAATTAATTTTTAAACATATATATTTTACTATTTTATTATAGAAACTTTATATTTAAATTTCAGAAATAAATATATTGAAATGCTTGTTTGCTTGTTTATAAAGCTAATACATTTATACTCTCACTATCTCCTTTCAAAAGCAACTTTATAGTTATTAAAAACTTTGCCAATATCTCCAGTTATATGAGCATCTATAATGTATTTAAGCCTTTTATAATAAATAAATAAGTATGTAAATAAATAGTTAATTAAGTTGTAATAAAATATAAATTTACTCAGTAAATATTTCTTTAGATTGCTTTTGAAATTCTGCATCTTTTAACTTGATAATAATTTTTTCAAAAAGTATGTCTCCAATAGAAAATAAAAGAAGGACCATTATAAATTGATGAAGACTTGCAAATTTAGTATCCATTCTCATAAATTCTACTTGAGCTTACTCCTATCTTGCCTTAATAAGTTAGTTTCTTTTATCCTTTTATTGATTTAGAAAAAGTTGTTAAAAAAAATATATTTAATGGCATTGGTTAATTATAAATGTTGAATTTGCTTACAATGATTCTTTACTGAGTATTATAATTTTCAGTTATTGTACTTTAAGTATTTTATTAAGAAGAGCTGTTTTGTTAATATTAAATAGTTGAACTTTGTCCTTGTGTTGTTTAATTTTGTATTATTTAAGATTATGCTTGTTCGTATTCACTCTATAAGCTTTTAAATTAATTTTCAATTTCTTTTTCAGCATTATCAATTTAACTAGAATGAAAACACCTAGGAGGAATTCTAATGAAATAAGGTTACTTATTAAATATAATATAAGGGAATATCTTTTTTATTCCATCATGTTAATTAACCGTAATCCCTATTTTTTGCAAGCTAATATTATCATCTAATCCTTAAATGTGATTCATTTCTTCAACTAATTGAATTTAACTTTTTTTAAGGTTTTAATTTTTTATTAGTTTAATTATCAAAGAAAAAATTTATTTTAAAAAATTAATTAAGTATATTTGGTGAATGATTTTATAAGTGGAAGGATAAAGAATAAATAATAATGATAAATTAATACTTTAAAATTCTGTCGTAAAGATGAGCTATTTTAAAGAGAAGAACGATAGCCTATTCACTTTAATTTACTTGCAGATAGCAATTAATTTCTCTTAGAGTCATAATAACATGCCTGTTAATTTCGTTTTTGATATTACGGATAACATTTTACTATTACTTCACTAAGTTATTGTCTTTGCATTCTCTAAGTATTTTCTAGGTATCGTACGTTTCTTAAAAGCACTTGTCATAATTCTTCATTTTTTTATGAGTGTTTCCAAGATTATTCAGAGAAACTATGAAGGATTGAAGATGGGTTTGATTTCTTTGACAAAGTTCTTTCCACATTTTCTTGGCTAATTCTTGTACTTTGAGAGCTTCTTCATATTTTTCCTATTTTGTATAAGCAAAACCAATGTTATCTAGAGTAATAGCAAGATCATGATTATTGATTTAGACATATTCTGTAGTTTAGCTAAGTTGTCCTGCATCAATTGACTCTTACTTTAGAGTTTGGTATCTTACAGAGTATGAAATTCTATGGAAAATAATGGAGTGATCATATTTCTACATCTGAGTATAGGTATTTGCAATGTTGCTAAGAGCTAGAGAGACAGTGTTGTGCTTGTAACCCATTAATCTTATCCAGACATTCATAGCTTTTTAGTAGTATTGAAGCGATTCATTGTTCTTTTTTAGTCTTGTTAAATTCTATCCAATATTATTATATGTTGATCCTAAATCATTATGTCCTTTAGGATGCAGCTACTTTCTGATTTTCAAAGCTTTATAGTGATATCTATTCAGTTTAAAATGATGAAATGAGATTAAAATAGTTAAATTTTTTTTTATATCAAAATATTTAATGATTTAGATATTTTAGTTCTTAAAAGTAGTAATTAGTATATTTACCTCAATGAATTTTCTATTTCGTTGTTATTTACAACCAAGTAAGCAATGTTGTTATAAGATGTAGCAAGTTCTGCATTATCAGTACCTAAAATTTAATCAAATAGTAAATTAGTTTGTCTTTTGTAGATTTTAAAAATTTAAAAAAAAAAAAAATTTTAAAAATATGTTTATTTATTTGTAAGTATAAATTAAGCAATTTATTTATTTACCTTTGTAAGCAACACTCCAAAAAATAGCTTGCTCTACATATGACTGTGATTCTTTAATTTTTCTGAGATAAAAAAGCACATAACCTACTGAATTACACCCGTTTGCAGATTCTACGCTTTCCCAGCCAAACAAATTAAGCTTTAGCTCAAAATTTTCGTTTGTATATAAGAAAGCTTCTATCATCTTTTTAATACCTAATTAAAAATTATTGGAAGGAAATTTAGATATCATAAGCATAAAAAAAAAATCTTATTATTACTGAATTTTAAAAATTCAAAAATAAATTTGTGATAAAATTTTAAATTTAAAGGAGAGAAACATTTTACAATTTTAAATAAAAAGTAATCATTTTAATACTAAAATTTTAATTAATTTTTTTGATAGAAAAAAATAAAAACAATCTTAATTAAAATTTATATTTAATAAATAAATAAATAAATAAATAATTGTATAAATATTAAATTACCTATCCTACAATTGATCATGTCATCATAATAACTCAATTTAATGGGAGTAAAGAATATACTTTTTCTATAATTCTCTCTTTACTTATAATATTAATCAATCAAGTTTTAAACTTCTGAAAATCTTCTTTCATTTAGTTTTAGCTTTATTTTTGAAGGGACATCATCTTAGGCATATCTATCGCATAGTCTTGGCTTTTCTTTTAAGATTTAGATAATAAATTTATTTGCTAAATTCTTTTTCAGATCATCTTCTTTTATCTCAATATTCCTCAATTGGCATGTTTAATTAGATTTTTCCAACGCAACGTAAAATTTCACTGTTTGTTTACCAATCAATGCTCTACATAATTACTAATTAATTTTTATTTAATATAAACTATACAAAGATCAACTAAAATAAATTATTACAGTTTCAGTGAAGTGTATTGTTTCCAAGCTACATATTTTGTTAAATTGCTCTTAAACTTCTTTTTCTTTGAATTGGTAGAATAAAATCTTTTGCAATAAATAAAAAATAAATAAAATAAATTTAAATTTTAGTGCTAAAAAATTAATTAATTATTAAACTGGAATCTATTTATGAATTTATTTAATTAATTACATTTGTTAAATAGATAGATACTAAGTTAATCAGCAAATTCTAAGGACACAATTAAACAATCTTTTCTTGATTGTTGAGTGATTTAAGGAGTTAATCAACGTAAAGATAGATCCTTTCAGTCTCTCCTTTAGAATTAAGTTGTTAGAATTAATTTGTATAGTAAAAGAACATAACTCTTTCATAGATTCTTCGAGGGGTAAAAAACTCTTAAATTACTTTGGTGAATTTATTAATTTGGGTATCAATAACTTTCTACATATTATTTTTGTTATGTAGGAGAATACTGAAATCAAATTTTTATTTATTTTTAGACTACTACTCAATATAGTCTTTTTTAATTAAATTGATAAGAACACTAACATCATCAGTGCTTCCATAAATTAGAATAATTTCCAAAAATTTGCAGAAATTGGGATAATTCGTCTTTAAATTTCTTTAAGTGTTTCTGCATCCTATGTTTAAAATGGTTTCAGGATCTAAATTATAGATATCATCTTCATTTAATGTTATAATATGTAAAAAACTTAAACAGAGATTATAAAGAGTCTACTTTTTAAAATAGCTCATATCATCATAAGAATTAGGACTCCAATTCTGATTGATCAGCCCAGGACTAAAAGTTGGGTTGTAATATTGAGTTGGTTTATAGCAACTACTGTCGATATGGAACTTTACTTTAAATCTTTAACTACCTGTAGCCTTTATGTGTAAAAAGATATTTTTTGGGTTTAAGCTTAAAAAATGAAATCCATTTTTAAATATATTTTATAATTCTTTAAGAGCTAAGTAAAAAACCTAAATAAGTTCTTAGTCACCCAAAGTTAGGTTTCTCATTTTTTCCAAAGATAATTGATAGTAATTTGTTGCTATTGTCGTTGAGTCTATGTTATATGCACACTTTTTTAAATATTATTAAAAAATTTAAATTATATATCTTCTTAAATCTTTTTTAAACAAATCTAAAGTGCTTGTGATTTATTTATTATTTTAGCTTGTTTTTATTAAATTTTTTTTTAAAATAAAAAAATAAATTGTAATTGTTTTTTGATAGTAAAAAATCCATTTATTTTTTATTTATTTTAAAATTTTTATTTTTCTTAAATGTTTATTCATGTTAAACCACCTCATAAAAGGTTAAACTGCTAATTTAAAATCAATAAAAACGTATTATGCAAATAAATTTAGATCTCCCTTAAATTTAAATTATCAATTAACCAAATTTACAAATAGTTATTCAATAAATAAATAATTAAGTAAATTAATTACTTTTTAACTACCCTTAATTTCAAGAACAGCTTGCTTATGTTTGGAAAATTATGCATTTGACTCTTTAGTGTAGATGCTTAATACTTTAAGCTTTTTGATAGTATCATCTATATTTTTTTGATTTTTTGAATCCTGCTTATTTTTTTAGTCATCTTTATCAATATCTTCATCACTATCATACTCGTTTAATTTAATTTAATTTGCTTTTAAGTCAATGACTAACCATTTTTATTCATAACCTGAGCTTTTGAGCAGAGTGATTGGAAGGTAATTATATAATTTAATTTGTTCCTACAGCTCATTTCCATAATATTAGCATGTTAGTTAATAGAAGATTTCACACACTTTAGTTTCATCATATGAGAAATATCCATTACTACTTGTTATTTGATCTATGGATCTATTGACGTTTATTCTCAATACATCATTTTCATATTATATTTCTTAAGTTGTGATTAATTTATTATTGATTGTGTAACAGAGGTCGTTCATGAATTCAGAGTGAATACTCTTATTTAAAATTGCATACCTCAAATCTTTTAAATTTTAAATATCTCCATGTATTTCTTTAGCTATGCTTTTAATATTTTCATTTTTAGCAAATATATTTGCTATATTGCTAAGTTATTTATTATTGCTTAGTTTAGATTTTTCTTAATATTTACTCTTAAGTTCGTGAATATGTTCTTACCAGGATTCTTCATCTATTCTTTTTTTGTGATATATTTTAAGCAAAAAATTCATATTATCTTAGTTTATTTTGTCATCTTCTTTTATCTATTTTTCATTTTCAGAACTACTTTAATCGAGGATACCTATTACTACTTCAGATACTGTTTGCTAATTTTTTGAGGGAAAGTAATCGTTAGGATGATCTCTACTAACACTAGAAATAGGGATATTTGATTCTAAAATAGATTTAAACTCTTGATATTTTTTTAATTCCTTTTCTTATTAAGAATCTTGTTACCGAATACGATTATGTAGAGTGAATCTCATGTTTACTAATTCTTTTTTACCTTTAGACGAATGATAAAGGTAGTTATTAGCTGATAATATCGTTTTATTATGAGGAATGCAAAAATCATATCCAGGATCAGGATTCCTAAAACCATTAACTTACTCATCAGGATCGCAAAATTAAGAACACATTGTCAATTAATTTCTCATGATAATCTTATAATACATTCTCTAATTTTGATTTGCAATATATTCAATTTCATTATTCTTAAATTGTTAAGGATTATTTATCTCCACAAAACCTTGATTAATTAGATTTGGAGAATATGGTTAAGCAGATTGATATCTTGAATGAACTTTTTATTTATCTTCAATTATTGCTGGATTTTACTATTAAACTACAGCCTACCAATTTTATTGATTTTTACTAAAGTACTCGTTCACTTTTTCTATCGCTTTTTATTAATTTGGTATAATTTTATAGTATTAATCAGCTACCAGTATCTTTCTTTCTACAACCTTTCCAATTTTAATCATATAAAAATAAGTATTAGAATAAAAGTAAAAATAAAAATAAAAAAATTACAGGTATATCATTATTTGCTTAATTAATACCTAAGGATGAGTTAACATTCTGTTAAACTATTTAATTTAATAAATATATTAAAAAATTAAATATATTTTATTTTTTGACATACCTTGATTTTTATGTTCACTATGGATATTAACCTAATTTTTTTATTGAAAAAATTTAAGATAAAATAATAACTAAAAATTTAAATTATTTCCTGTAACTTTTCCTTATTATAATTAATAAGTTGTTGACACGGATTATTATAACTCTATTAATATAATTATGGTCAAAATTATATTTATGTTTTATTGATCAATCTATAAATATATTAATGAATAAATTCTTAATGTAATGTACCTAAGAAAAATTTAGTGTAGTTGTTTGGGTTATCTATTAATTTGATTAGCTCTAAGAATTATTTTGAGTTTTATTTTGACTTTACTATTTAGATTGGGTTTCAGTTAGTTTCTATTATTAATTATAATAAAGTTAATTAATTAGTTAATTAAAAAATTATTTACAAATGGATTAGTTTCTTTATTAGAAAACTTTTTAGAAGTTTCGTCATTAGGATATTATTCAATTGGCTTTATTTTTAAATTTAATAATTATAGTATAAAAGCTTTACAGAACAAAACAAATTTAGATTTTATTAATTTACATTAGATGAATTTTTCATAGCAGTTTGGAGTATTAATTAATTTTATTAGTTCTAATAATAATTTTAGCTTTAAAATTTTTATTGGGCTTCAGTTGGTCTCTAACCATTTATTATAAAAGATATATTAGTTAATTAATTAATTGTATCAAACAAGTATACGCTCGATTCTTTGTCTAATGTTTTTTTAATTTTAAAATAATTAAAATAATTGAATTTTTTATAAAATTTATAATTAAAAGCAAATAAATAAGTAAGTAAATAAACATGAAAGTAAGGAGGAATTTTGAGCGAATAAATAAGTATAAAAATATATAACTATTTACCTTGATCTTTTTGAGACTTTTAGTTAGTTTATTCCTAAATCAAAAGGATATCAAATAAAAATGACTAATTTAAAATCAAATTAATTTTACTTCCATATTTTAATTTTAGTTTCTACTCCATTAAGTTTATATTTATGTCTAAGTAAATTTTAAAAATAATTTAGTTTAAATTCAATTTCTTATTTAAAAAAAATAATATTAAGTAAGTATTTTATTTTTAAATTTGGTTAATTTACTGATGGTACTGAATAATCGAGAAAAGTAGCTTGACCATGTCCACTTGATTTTTACTTTAAATTGTCATTAAGAAAAAACATTATTATTTTTTTTATTAAATTAATTATATGTACGCTTTCGCTTTATTAGCCTAAAGTATGTTAAGTTGATTAAGTATTAGAGTGTGTTTAATAATGCATGGCGCTTTAATACATTTTTCTTTAATCTTCTATTTAAAAATAAAATTATTAAGCTAATATCATTCTGTTTTTATTTTATTTATTTATTAAATTAATCATTCATTCATTAGTTTTTCTAAATATCTATGTATAAGCTGAGCCATCTATCTGAGTTAAACCTGTAAAGTGCTAATTTAATTTTAATATCTATAATATATTCTTAAAGAATTATAAATAGACAAATAGACACCACTTAATATTTAAATGGATAAGAACTTTTTTTTCATAATAGAAATTTGTTTTATTTGTGCTCAAAAACTACCTCCAATAGCATATTTAGATGTTTTAATAACTTAAAAGCTAATAAATTTATTATTTTTTAGGGAGGTATTCAATTTTTTATTATGTTGAAAAATAGCATAGTAAACATAATAAATGAATGATTAACATAAATATTTATGTATTCAAAAACGATTTTAGCTAATAAAATATTTTTTTTTATTTTATGAATGATTTACCTTTAATAATTTGCTTTCCATCTTTTATTTAATAAAAAAAATTAAAATACTTATAATTAATATTAATTAAATTTTACTATCATATGACTGATTTTTTGTTAAGTTTATCAATTGATTAATAATAACTAAAAAACTATTAAGATCTTTTTAGTTCATGCCTTCCTTAATAGCCTCTATTATTATAACAATCAAATAGATTAGATAGTTTAAAAAGAAATTAAAATATTACTTTTATTCTTTTCTTTTGATTCTTCTTTAAAATTCATTTTTTCGACTAGCTCTATTAATTAATTATGTAAATGCATTAATTTAATCATTAAAAATATGAAGATTTTTAGATACGCTGTAATGGCTCTGTAAATTAATAGATTTGATCTGAATATGAATCGTTTATTGCCTAAGTTGTATAATCATTTTACCTGCTTTAATCTAAACTAAATTTCTTATCTGCGAAATTTTAAATTTCTGTGATTGCTAAACGTATGCTACACAAGCTTTCGAAAATATCTTTTTATGTTACTTCGAAATTTTTATTAAAACTATCTAACTAATCATTTATTTATTTTTATAATAGTCTAAGTTTATCATTTTATGATTGCCTAAACGACTTTGGCTTCTCACTAACGGTTTTTACGTTCATACAGCCTTTTAGATATTTGTTTCTACTTAATTATTTTAGTATTTCGAAAAAAATAAAAGTGTTTGTAAAATAAATAGTTTTTTTTTTGTATTTTATATTATTAAAAAAAGTATATAGATAATTTGCTGCTTTTGAATTGAAATCAGGTATTTCATGTATTTATGTATGAAATTTTTTTCTAAATGAAATAAAAGAAAAATTTCAGCAAGAATTAGAGTAAATATTTGAGAAGATATTTATATATATATATATATTAATCTAAATAAACAAAACTCTATTTTATTTAATCAACAAATTTGTTTTTAACATGGACAATTTCAATTAAATAGATTATGAAGTAATTAAGAAATATGACATTATTTTCAAAACTGTCAAATAATAATCGGATACACGTATATTAGAATAGAAAGATTTATATTTGAGTGTATTATTAAATCTTTTAAAATAATTAAATTTAAAATAGTTTCTGATATCTTAGAATTTAAATTATTAATTACTTGAATTATTATTAACTCTTTAAATGTATTAAAGATTTGTTTCTTCCTTTAGATAGTTAATGGTTAAACAAATATTTTCTAGTCAAAAGTAATATAATATAATTATTTTTTAAAAGTTTTCATTTTTCAAACATAAAAATGCTAAGCTTTTTCCAATGGAATTTTTAACATTTTTAATTTTGTTGAAATATATTAAAATTATGGATTAAACATATAATATCCAAATATATTTATACAAAAATTTTTTCCCTTCAAATGTTTGAAGAAATAGATCATAAAAACCATATAAAGAAAATCTAAAAGAAAATAGATAGATAGGTCAATTAAACAATTGATTGATAAAATAGATATTTTAATAGAAAATTTGATCCTTAATTGCTTTAATGAAATTTTTAAAAATCATAAAATATGTAATTTTAAAGATTAGATACATATTTCCTAATGTATTTACTTACTTAAATTGGTTAAAGTACAAAAAAAATATAATAATATTTTATTAAGATACTTTTAGTTTTTCAAGAATTATGTTAGAGATAATTTATGATAAACAATTTTTTCTCAATTAAAATGATGTTGTTTAATAGCTTTAAAGTAATAAATTAGATTATTTAAAGTGTTTATAATAATTGAATATCATTTGTGAATTTATATTATTTATTCTTAATGGATGTATTTGTATTATTATTTAAATATTCTAAATCCAATTTAAATTAGTTTTACTTTAAATAAAAAATATGAATTAGAATAATTAATAAAAGCTAATAAAGATAAAACTTTAATCGAAGCTTTTTCCTCAAATAAATCTTAAGGGAGGGAGTATGGTAATTTATAAAATTTATTCATTCAAATCAAATTTCAAATAAAAAATTTCTTCAATTAATTAATTTTTAATATTTAAAAAATTTTTGACCCCCCCCCCCCCCCCCCTATTTTCTATAAAAACCAAAAAATTTTTTATTTTGTGGAGGGAGGAGGTATTTTGATTGGCATATTATTCTAAAAGAGGTATTCCATTTAATTAAGTTATAAAAAAATAATTATTTGCTTTTTTCTTATCTAATTACATATTTAATTAAATAAAAATTCAATAACATAAATATATCTTTTGAAATTTTCAAAACATTTTTCTTGATCTATTACTAGTTTAATAATTTAACTAAATTTTTTAAAGTTCAAATTAAATTAATTTATTTTTAAAATATTTTAATTTTATAATTTAATTTTTTTAGCATACTTCAAGTTTGTTTAAGAAAATAAATAAAATTGTTTTTAATTGTAATTATTTGGATATGAATATTTAATTAAATAAAATTATTTTTTTAATTTTTGAAATAAAAAAAACAAAAAATTAAAAATTTTGATTAAAGACTTACTGATGATACGTTTTAAAACTATTAATTACACTCCTATTAATTTAATAGAATGATATGAGGAAGCTCAAAATGAAAACACATATGAAAGCAGTAAAACAATTACTGCTTGAAGGCTAAATTCCATATACTCATGAATATAAAAAGCTGAAAGAACTGCACTTCTAACTTTAACCAATTATTTTACTTAGGTTCAAAAAATATTTTAGATATAATTTATAAACATATAAATAAAAATTTAAAAACTGTGAATATGTTTTAAAATTTTTGTGTTAAATAATACGATACCCACTCTATTTTTTAAATTTGAATTCATAAATTTTTTTAATAAAATTTATTTAAAAACTATATATTCTTTTTTTCATTTTAACTAGAAAATAATGATACTTTAGAAAAAATTCTAATACTTCACCTAAAAAAATTAAATTTATTTTTATTAAAAAAATTAAAAATAAAAATATATTAAAACTTTTAAGTTCATTTTTAAAAAGTTAAATACTTTTTATATTATTTTTAAACAGTTTATATTACTTTTTGTAGAACTAATTTTTTAAAATATATCTTACATTTATTTATTTAAGTTATTAAACTACTTTAAGTAAGACTTATTTAAAATATTATTGAATTAAATATGAAAAAAAAATCTATTCTGATAATAAAATATAAAATTAGCAAAGAAAATAATGGATATTTTTTCTTTATATTTTTTAAGATAATTAATTTTATTTGCCTTAAAAATTTTGCTTAAATAGGATTTTAAGAAATATCAAGCATCAACTTAGAGTTTTACTCAAATAGATAAACCAATACCAATAGCAGAATAGCTTTAATAGCTAATGTAAGTTATGCTTTGAATTATTTTAAAATTTATTTATTTTTTAAAAAGTTTTTTATTAAATTTAGTTATTCAACTGAAGATCTAATATCAAATTAGAAAGATTCATACATTTTAATTAAATCTTATTTAATTTGTATACTCCTATTTCTCTAATTTAACTTCCTCTTATCTTTTAATAAAAATATTAAATTATTTCAAATCAGCGTTTTTTGTTAAAAATAAAAATATAATAAAGAATTTAATTTAAATTTTAAAAAATGTAGGTATGTTTTTGTATGAAATACTTAACACAGAAATTTTATTTATATATTAGATCTAAAATACCTTTTGACCTAAGTAAATGGTAAAACAATTACTTCTTGAAGGAGTTATTGTCATTTCTTAATTCCATATCAATCATAAGTGTGAAAAGCTGAAAGAAATTAACTTTAAATTTGACCAATTATTTATAAATATCATTAGTAGGTCTTTAAAAAAAATAAATAAATTTTTGTTAACCTTTTTAAAATAGTCAATATTTTATTTAGCTTTGAGATATATTTTTTTTGTAAATAACAAGCAATTTGTAAAATTAAAATAAGTAATAAATAATATAATTAATAATTAATTTAAATAATTTTTATTGAATATGTTTTATTGTTTATTTTTAAGCCAGTATTTTTCTGATAACATTTTGGAAAATTTTTGATTGTTTTATTAAAATACATAGAAATAAAAATTCTTGATATTAATTTTTAAAAAAATTAAATAAAAATTTAAAGTCTTTAACACCCAAAATTTTTTCAAAAGTTTGTAGGGGGAGGGTGTTAATATATGAGTACTTATAGTATAAAAGAAATGATTTTATTAGTTTAATTGTATAAAATAATAAATACTTTAAATATTTTATTGCTTAGTAAACTTTATCAATTTTTAGAATGCAGATAATCTTTACTGTAAATTTAATACAAATTTTGAAAAATATATTATTTAATTTATTACAAGTGGTTGCTAATATGATAAAAAATATTTTATTTTGATTTAGATATTTTTAATAATTCTTTTAAATAATAAATATTATTTTTTATTTAAAGTTTTTAATCAAATTTTGGTTTTTAACTTACCTTAAAATAATATTTAGATTGACAGATTTATTGCGATTGATTCTATAATATAGATACTTTCAAATTCAAATAAAATATTTGAAAAATGCCATTTAAACTCAAATAACTCATTATAGATAGAGACATAAAATAAAAGCTTACATTCCTATGATAATATTTTGGAAAGTATTTTTTGTGTTAAAAACTTTTAAAGGTGCCATAAAGAATGAAAGACGAATCTTCTGTTTTCAGCAAAGAAAACAATTAAAGTCAAAATAAAACACCAAACTATTTTAGAAATAGTTAGAATAATTGAAATTTATTTGTTAGTAAGTTAATTTGAAAAAAAAATCATCTCTTTTTAAAACTTTATGATAGAAAGAATATCATTTTTAATTGTAAGTAGCTACTATGTTTTTTTATTGATTATATTTTTTTAATTTAACTATGAATTTATTTTTACAAAAAACTTTAGAATTATTTAAGTCTTTAAAATTTCAGTATGTAATAAATAGAAGCAAATAACAAATTTATTTTTTATTTAAATATTGGCTTGAATAGCATTTATATACTTTCAATTTTTGCTCAATCAGAAGTATTTTTATGAGGAAATATTAATATAAATTTTAGTTAGATCCGAAGATCAATCAACCATTCAATAAATATTTTTTGGTATGTAATAAAGGTGAGAATAAATCAATGAACAAAAGTATGTTTTAAAAATTAATTCTAAGTAATAACATTCGTTTTCTGAGAAACTTTCTTATGATTGTTGTTTATTAATTTTAGTGTAATCTCATAAAAAGGATAGAAAGTATTACTTGTAAAAATTAATTAATATTGGTTGTCTCTACTTAATAATTTTTTTAAGTTAATTAACTTTTAATTATTATCATAAGCAAATAGAAGTAGGCAAATTCATTTCTTAATTAATTAATTAACAACTAACTAATATATTCATATTTTTTATTTGATATCAAAAGACTATAAATCTTTCTATTCATTATTTGATTTATATTTATCAAATTGTTTATGAAACACATTTCTCATAAATTATAGGTCTTAAATAAGTCCGAGCTGGAAAAATCACTTATTAAAGCTTCTTGGAATGATGAATTTAGCTCTCCAAAGTAAAAGCACTTTAAAAAGTGCCTAGAAATCTTCGAAGGAAAGTGTAGCATAGACAATTATGCTATCTTAGTAAATCATATGAAACAGATATCACTCAAAAAGTGGATTTATTCTGCTAAAATACTTTATATTGTTTAAGCAAGCATTTCGAATTCAAAGAATTTAAATTTATGTGATTATATTCATCATGATAGCAATGAATTTAAGAAACTTCGTCAGGATTTGCTAAAAAATGTTGTTAAGCCAGCACCTCATCTTGACTAATTTTAATACTTAGCATCATAGTTTATTTTCTACTATTTCAAGTATATTATGAAGTTTGCTTAATACACGAGGGTATTTTTAAAAATCCAAGAAAACAATTTAGATATTTGTGAAGAAGACTAAGAAGCAGAAAATAATTAAAAATAGGATATTTTACTAAAAGAAATAGAAGACATGGAAATAGTTATTAAGGTACTAGAGACTATTATATATATTTTTGATAAAATTTTGTAATATATGCTTGTACCAAAGTATTCTAATAAATATTAGTTTTTAAAGGAACTCACAATATCCCTCTTTGCAGATCTCGAGAAGTATTATGCAAAATGTAGGATTTTCTGTGAAAACTGCATGCTTCTGATATTCAGATAAAGTAACAATCACCTAATAGTATAGAGGATTTACTAGTTCTACTGTGACTTTATCAAATTCACTAAGAATATTTAAAAATTTGAGTTCGTTTTAAATTATTGTAAGCCTTTTGAAGCTAAAAAAATATAGTATTTTCAATTAAATGTAAACAAAAATAAAGAAATTGAAATGTTTGTGAATAATATCAACAAAATGGAGTAAATTGAACCAAAAAATACAACAATTTTTAGTAAGTTGGGTTATCAATAGGAAATAAAAGAAGTCTAAAATAATAAATAAAATATTTAAGAATACAAAAATTTAAATAATAATGAAAGGAATGATTGGTAGTGTGAAGAAATGAGTAAAGATTATAATTTAATCAATGGAAAAGAGACTAAAAAATGTAAAAATAAGGATGTGTAGAGAATTGAGAACAAATAAATTTATATGGTATAGAAGGAAAATAAGAATGAAAGTTTAAATTAATAAAAAGATTAAGCAGAAAATTAAGTTAATGACAAAAATAATTAAAATAATTGCAAAAAGTATTCAGAAATTTTTTTTAACGCTACTGATTAAAAAAATACTGAAAATCAAAGTTAAGTTTTTAATAATTAAAATTAGTTTTCAGCATCGAGAAATGCAATTAAACAGAATAATTTCATGTAAACTCACTGTGAAGAAACAATAAAATGTAAGTACAGTAACCATAACTTACTCAAGCAATCCAAAACTTAAGAAATGTATTTTGAATGTAGTTAATAATAAAGCAAACAGATAATTTCTTCAAGCAAAAATGGCAGCAATAACTTAACTGAAAAAATCAAAGACTCTATTTCATCTACAAAGGTTTAAAAAAGCGAGCATGCTGATAAAGAAGAAGAAAAAATTACTGATATCTAGTTTCTAAACTCTGCAAAATCTCAAACAAGCTAGAATTCACCTTCTAAATTCATTCAATTAGATAAAAATGAAAATATTTTAGGTTCTAAGAATAAGGACAATAAAGGATAGTGCGATAAGCCAAATAAATTTAATAATTAGATATTTTAATTTGAATTACCAAACTACCATTAATCAAAATAAGATTTATCAGATTATGGTGGAATAGAAAAAAATTATGAAAGCAGATCTAACTTAAAATAGAAATTCTAATAAATAAATGATTTTGGCAGAAATTCCAATTCTTCATCTCCAGAGTCTATCAAAGAAACATCAAAATCAAGTAATAACTAAAGCAAAAACAAAATAACTCCTTTGCATAAAGCATAGCATTATAGTACAAAAAACTCCTCAGAATATGATGACTTTAACTATTACTCAAGTTCTAATCTTTTAGGAATTAAAAACACTTAAAGGAGTAATCACCCAAATAGCTTCTTTAGTCCAAAGATTAAAAATGATTAAAAATTATTTTAATCTCCTAAAAATATAGATGTGATGGGATAAAATCCTTAGAGAGATTCCATTTAACCTAACAACTTCATTTTGAATTTAATGCAAAAAGTCGAAAAAAAAGAAGAAAAAAATATAATCAGCAATATATTTAATAATATCAAAAGGCAGGACTCCGCTATTGAAAATATAGTAGCATCTTAGCAAGAAACTCTACAACAATTAAATAGTAATATTAACAATTAAAAAATGCAATAATCTGAACTAACATAATAATAAATCGCTAATAAAATACGATTAGAATAAATTGATTAAAATTAATTTTAGTCACAATAAAAATAATTCTCTTAGTCAGTAAAATCTTCTCATAAAAGATTCAATTTCGGAAACAACTCTAAGCAAAAAAAAATAAGAAACACAAATACAGCTTCCTTAGTTAACATAGAATTTTATTACATGAGCGATTAGGAGTCAGAACAAGAATAGGCTCCTTTGAAAATATCTAAAGTTGTTTAGAAAATAATCCCAGATTAAAAAAAAAAAGAGATCAATGAATAGAGAGTTAAAATAGAGAATGACGATTAAATGTAATATTAATGCAAGGAGATATTTTCTATCTAAGAAGAACAAAATCATCTAAGTATTGATTTTATTCCTTCTATTTAAAAATAAAACTCAAAAGAAAAAGCTGAAAATGGTACTTCATTGAAAACCAATAACATCAATTAGCAAATTTAAATTTGCCCTCAACTTTTTGAAAAATAAGAAATAAATTAGTTTACTGAAATACAAGAAAATGTGAATCAAGATATAAAAGATAATTAAGAAAATTATTAATTTGATATCACAGAATTCAAAGATACTAACAGACAAAAATCAGATAAAATGTTTGATACTTAAAATAACAAGGATATAATTAATATAAGCAATGTACTTCAACCAGACGATTTTTAAATCATAACAAATTAAAAGGAAAGTGTAAACATATAGTAATTTATAGATGATAATACTGTTTAGAAGTAAGAAATACTTAATAACAATTACAATAATGAGCAAACTCAATTTTAAAACCAATAAGATGACTATTAATGCTAATTAGGTCAAATAAACCTTAATTAAAAAGATTCATTTAATTGTTATGAACAATATTCATTTGATAAAAATGATGACTCTTTTCAACAAAATTAAAAAGAAATTTTTTAGTAATAAACTTCTATTAATTTATAAGAAGAATAAATTATCAATTCTTAACCTAGTTATAAAGTTAACAGTGTCAAAATCCCTCAGTCTCCACAAACTTCAAAAGCCTTTCACAATAAATTTTTCCTAGGAAATAAGAATTTTTCTTCATTTGTTGAAAATGATGAAAGACATAATTACTAAAAAAAAATAAAAACTCCTCTAAAATTAAAATCATATAGAAAAACTGATTAAGATCAACTATAATTTACAAATTAAGAGGGATAATAAAAAGCTCAACTTCAAATGTAAGAAAGAAATTCTTTCAGATCTATTAGAAGATTTAGTAGTAGAAATAAATCAAATAATAGTTCCAACAAATTTTTTTAAGAGAGTGCTGTTATTGATAGTCAGTAGATCTAATAAATTGTATAATCAAAAAGTTAACAAAATGGAACTTCATTACCCATGAGTTATATGAACGCTAACTAAATTTTAGATGGCAACTCTAATATAGGATTTTAAATTCACTAAAGATAATAAGAATTAGAAAATAATTAAACATTATCAACAATAGCATCTTCTGTTTAATAATAGGATATGTTTAATCTTAACAATAAATTTAACATTGAAAAAAAAACATTTTCAAATCAATCAGCTTATATTAACATAAATAGTTTGATTTCTTAAAAGAAGGACAATGCTAAAAACAATTTTTAAGATTCATAAAAACCTGAAAATATAGATGTAGATTAAGATGAAATAAATAATAATAAGGTATTTGATAAGCTATTAACTAATCAATCTATTTATAATACTCAAGAAGATACTTCCAATTTCTACTCTAAAAACAAAGAAACTCTACTAACAAAATAAAAAATGCAAACTGAAGGTGCAGTACTAATGCCTATAGAAGATATAGAAAAATAAAAACTATTTCCTGGAAATTCTTTTAGAAGATCTATTTTATTAAAGATTGACAATGAAATACCGAAATAAAAAGATCCAGAACAATTTTAAAAATAACTTTCTGAGTAAGCTGAGTTAGATCTAAAATTACATAAGAGTAATTCTTCATAAAATTAAATAATTTCGCTCATATAAAATTAAAATATACTAGAAGTTGCTGTAAAAGCCATGTAATCTGCTTCTGTAAGGAATGTATCTTACAGTTAACATTAGTAGTAGAAGAAAATAATTTTTAAGGATTTAAATTTGAATAGCGCTAAGGACATTAAGAATAACCAAAAAAATTAATTGGATAACTTAAAAAGTTAAATTACAAGCAAGTGTACTGTGGATTTGCAACTAAATTAAGATAAATAAACTAAATTTTTTTAAAACAAAGAAAGAGCAATAACAACAATAGATTAAAAGTTAAATAACAACTATAGTACATTTTTTGATAAAATAAATTCAAATAATTAAATTTAATTTGGTTAATTAAGAATAAATTAAAACTAAAAGAGTTCTTTAGCAACTTAAAATATGAATGGCTTGAAAACATTTTATTAAAATAATAAACTACATACTAAAGATTTAAATGCTGATTCTTTTAAAAATATAATTCCTTCTAATTAATCAAACTTGTCAAATTAATAAAATTAATTATTTAGCAGCTCTTTGAAAAATAATAACGAAAGCCAAAACTCAAACATTTTAGGACAAATACCTAAACTAAATTACAATTTAACTAATATCCCATTTAAGAGCAAAACAACTACTAATAAATAGTATGATAATTAATAATTATTAGCTTAAATTTGAGTTTAAAGTCATCATCATTTTATTAGTTATTAATAAAAAATTTTAATTACTTCATTCTCTACAACCTTTCTTATTTATTTTAAATTTAAAAAAAATGTAAAATTTAGTCTAAAGTAATTCCCAATCAATAAATAATACAATCTTAATCAAATTGGAGTACTTTACTTGATACAAATATGAAAGTAAATAAACTAAATAAATGAATAAATAAATAAATACATAAATACATAATATATACATACTAACCTAAAAGCTGAAACATTTTCTAAATAAAATCTAATGTGTTATTAGTTAAATAATTATTAAGTTAAAAGGTAAAAATTAACATATAAAAATTAGTTAAGTATAAAATTTATTAACTAAGTCACTATCTAATTTATATCTATCTTATTCTGTTATTTTTAATAATCTATTAATTTTAAATTTTCATTAGAATTAAAAAATTAATTTTTACTTATTATTAACAATAAATTTACAGCAAATCCTTTAAATTAATATTTAAGTTTATAAAATATGTAATTTAAAACCTTATTTTTTTAAATAATATAATATTTTATATTAAATTTTAAATTAAATATTTACAAATAGACTGGTTTAAAAATATTCGAACTAAACTCTCTTTAAAAAATAAATTTATGTAGTATATTTAAAAACAAAAGTAAAAATAGTTATTCAATAATTATAAATATGATAATTTGAATATAATAAATTATCTTTTGTTAGTCAGTATCACTTTCCTTAATTTACATTTTTAAGAAAATAAGAAACAAATTTGATTTTTTTTTTTTGTACTATAAATAGATAATTTAAGAAAATTGTTCATTTTTTATTTTCATCTTAAAGTTTAAAATTAAATATTTTATTTTTATGTAATTGAGTTAAATTTTTTTTAAAAAATATAAAAAATAAGCAAATCTATTTCAAATACTATTTAGTTGAATGATAGATATCAAGCAAGAGAATTAATTTAGAAAAGTATTATCTTGTTTTCAAAAATTGCCTTTAAAAAATAAATGTTCTATAATTAGAAGGTCAAAAACTAGGCTATTATTTTTATTTTAACACTTTTTTTAATAATAAAAAAGCAGATATCTATTTTTTCAAAATATTTTGTAGGATTTTTGAACTTAAGTAAATAGCAATTATATCAGTTTGGAGTAAAATAAAAGAAAAATCTGTTTGCTAAATATAACTAGACTCTTTAAATTTATTTATTTACTAGTTATGAATAAATTACTGTGGCTTTGCTTTGATATTTCCAAATAGGAAAAATAATCTATTAGTTATTTATTTAATATATTTTTATTGAATTAATCATATGATTAGTTTAGAAATTTTTGTGAATTTTGTTTATTTTTTCTCTTTTTAATATATAGGTTCATGCATGTATAGATAAATATAGAAGGGTTATCATAAACGAATATTTAATTCAAATTACCTAATAAATAAATAAGTTTTTTTTTTTTTCGATGCTTTTCTTTTGTATACAAATTAAATAATCGATTTTAGTAATTTGAAATAAATATTATTTACATTGAAACTATAATATTAAATTTTAAAATAAGTAAAAACTAAAGTTAATAATATAATAAGTAAATTAAAAATGAAGTTATTAGGTATTTTGTGCGCTTGCAAAAACTCTACTGACAACTAGGTATATATCCCAGTAAGAGAATATGAAGATAGTTCAATAAGCGTGTTTTCAAGAGGTACTGTTAGAGATTCATTTAAGTTCATAGTAAGAGAATCATTTGTTGGCATTCAAAAAGGCTCAAGACATGAAGTTAAACATGAAGACTACTTTGTCTACATTTTAGCTTCTTTGAATCACAATGTAGTTGCATATGCATTTACAGAAGGTGCATATCCAGCTAGAAGAGTTATATATTAAGGTTTATAAAAAGCTCTAGATGGCTTTTTCTAGAAGCTAGGAAATGGCTATTAAGCTATAAAATCAGATGATAAAATATAAATTCCAGCAGTTCAATAAGTCTTAAAAGATTACTCAGACCCTGCAAATGTTGATTAATTAACAAAAGTATAGAATAAAGTAGACGAAATCCAAGTCATCCTACACGAAAATATTAACAAATTACTTGAAGCTTAAGGTGATTTGGATGTTTTAGTAGAAAAGAGCAAAGATCTTAGTGCTGCATCCAAAACACTATATAAAAATTCAAAGAAGATGAATAAAAAATGTTGCAATATTTTTTGAAAAATAGTTAATTATCTGTTTATATAAATACATTCTAAATTATTAAATAATTCACTATAAAATATGCTCTTCTTAGAAAAAATTAGCATCACTTACATTTTTTATTGATCAATTAATTTTATGTTGTTTTTTTTTGTTTTCTTGCCGGCTTGTAATTTTATTTAGTTATTTGTTCCTAACTCTTATTAAATTCCCATTAAAGTATACTCGTGAAATTAAGTTATCTCCTACCTTAATTGTGCGTAAATTTTAGATTACATCACACTCTTCTTTCATTGATAGAAATCTCTCTCAGTTTTGGATAATTTAAGAAGAATTTGTTCTTTTCACTATATTAATAATAAACAACTAAAATTTTTGATTTAGATTAGTACAATTAAGAAAAATCAGCAAACAAGCTAATTTTATGGCAGCTTTAAAAATTTTGTTAGTAGCCATCCTTTTGTGTTCTGGATGTCTTAGTATTAGTGTAACAAATAATACTACTTGGGACTACACAGTAGCTAAAAATAGACCTTTGGTAATTGCTCATAGAGGTTATTCTTCTCTTTTCCCAGAAAACACTCTTGAAGCTTTCAGAGCTGCAATCTATGCTGGTGCTGATTTCTTTGAGTTAGATGTCCAAGTTACCAAAGATAACGTTCTTTTAGTTTCTCATGATGCAACTCTTTCTCGTGTTACTGATGTTGCTAATAGAACTGAATTCAAAAATAAGAAATCAACTAAATTGATTGATGGATAAAATGTCACTGATTGGTTTATTTGTGACTTCACCCTTGCTGAAGTAAAAACCCTCAAAATTAAATAGGTATAACCAAATTTCTTGCTAAATAACTAAATAAACATCTAATTATATTTATAATTTTGTGAGGCATAACATAATTTTAATCAATTTAAGTTTTAAATATCATTTTATCTGCTAGTAAAGAAATGAAAATGCACATTTTTGCACTTTTTAAACATAAAAAACTAGCTATATTAAATTAGTTTTTGAATAAATAAGAAAAAAATAATTGAAATAACAATCAAAAAATATTGTAATTTACTGATAATAAAATTGATTAAGAAATAGAAAAATAAAGATTAAATGTGATTGTTTTCAATTTTTAAAGAATAACTAAGATACTTCAAACATTTGGGTTAAATTATATTTATCCACAGTAGACTAATTAGTGAAGCAAATTAAAAAATTATATTTTCAAATGAAATGTTTGTTTGAAATAATAAAATAAAATAAATATTTACCCTATTTCTCCCTTTTAAAACATGAGGATTTAATATAAAAATTTAGAATATTTATAAATCTTAAAATTAATATTCAATTTAAATATTTCCATGAGAATAATCTATAAGCTTAAAGAATGATTGCAGTGATATTATAAAGTATAATAAATACCATAAAACCATTTAAGATTAATATCAAATATTAATCAAAGAATAAAATAGCTTACTTTTCTCTCTATCTTTCAGAGTTTATTTGTGACTTCTTAAATTACAATACGATTTTTAGAAATTTTAATCAACAAACTCTTTTACTAATTAAATTAAATTTATTTTTTTAAAGAAATTTTATTGCCTCTACATTATTTTAGCTATAATTTTATTCCTATTATCTTCTAAAATTTTATTATTTTTGAAATATCAGGTTTAAGTTTAAGGAAGAAATCAAGATTTGAACACCTATTTTACTTTCCCAAGCTTAAGAGAAACCATAGAAATGCTTATATAATTCAACTAACAACATTAAGGTAAAAGAAATCTTGATAATAGAATTGCAGGAGTAGTAATTGAATCTAAGGATAGAGATTTTTATCTTAATAATTATCACTTTGAGTAAGGAGCAAAAATTGTTGATTTACTCAGAGAGTTTAATTTACACACTATGTACAATGCTTCTATTTATGCCCCTATTATATTGCACTCTTTTGATGCACCAACAGTCTAATTATGGCATAATATTACTGACTTACCTAACAGTTAACTTGGAAGAATCAATTCACTTCCTTATTCTCTCCAACAAACTAGTACATATGCCACTACAGTTGGTTTGGAAATTAGCTCATTCTTTAACAATACTTCCAAGAAACCCACTGGAGTTGTAGACTAAGTTAAAGCTGCTGGTTTATAAATACACGGTTGGACTTTCAGAGATGATCAATTGACCTGGGGTAATGACAGTATTGATTAATACGTTATTGCTTGCCAAACTTTAAATATAACTGGTATTATTTCTGAATTCCCAGAAGCTGCTATCAGTGTCGCTGTTATGATACGTAGATAAAATGAAAAGATAATAGCTTAAATTTGATGATAAGTATTTACATTTATTTAAATATACCTCCTCTTTCAGCAAAATAAAATAATTTGTTTTTTATCTATATATTAAATAATACAACAACATTTTTAAAAACTGAGTTTATATATATAAATAATTATTTATAATAATATGCAAAGAAATTTTTGTTTTGAAGTTTTTTGATAATGTGGAAAGTCTTAATAAATAAAAATCAGCAAATGCTGCTAAAATTGAATTATTTTGTAAATTAACATAAAAAATGAATTTGATTTTATATGAAATAAAAAACTTTTTAAAAATAAATAATAAAAATATTTATGATGATATATATTTTGGAATTCTAATAATCAAAATAAATAATTCTTTATATGTTTATCTATTTACACTATTATATATTTGTTTTAAAGATATTAATCTAATTATTAATTTATTATTGTAGAAATTAACTAATATTAATTGTTGATGCCAAATTTTGATTGTTATTTTTTGTTTGCTAATCAATAAATAAATAAATATATTTTAATAAAACAGTAAGTAGGTAATAAACAAATAAATAAATATTAAAATAGATAATTAGACTATCTTTTACTGAACATTAAATCAGTTTTGAAACTATTAAAATCTACAAGAAGCTATCATAGTAATATTATTATGTGATTTTTAGAAGCTATTTTATTTTGAGGCAAGTAAATAAAAATATCAATTTAATTACTATTATTAGAATGGGAAACGAACAGACCATAAAAAAGATAGTCCCACCAAAAGAAATTTTTGAGCAGATTTGTTAAAAATAAGAATCTAAGTAAAATCCACTCATCTTCTCATCTAAAATTTTCTGCGATATTTTTTAAGAGCTAGAGGCTAAAGGATATATTTTAACCTCATTCATAGGCTAAGTAGGATTAGGTACAATTTTTGAAGCATAAAAAGGAAATGAGTTCTTTGCAATAAAATGCCTAATCACACATAACCCAGATGATATCTAAAAAGAAATAAATCTTCTGAATTAATTTAAAATGAATTCTAGTTATTTTCAAACCTTCAAGGAAGGATTTTATTCTGAAAAATGTCATATCTATTTCTACATTGCAGAGAAATTATCATGTAATTAATTTAAAATAAATAAAAATGATTTACTTTTAGGAATATAGAATATAAATCCAGCAATAATTTATGTTAATACAACCTTAAAAAATAAGCTAAAATAAAAAATATTTTGTAAAATTTAAAAAATAGATTTATTGAGTTGTTTTTTTTTTGTTAGCCAAATCTATAAACTTTACTTTTTTTAATTTTTAGGTAATTTGCAAAAGGTTTAAGAAACATATTTATCTAACAATTAATAACTGTGCTATTATTCTATTTTGGCAATAGCAATTTAGATATCAAAAGGTCTTTGCATTTTAGAAGAAAATAATATTTATCATAATGAAGTTATACCAGAAAATATTATGTATGATAGTAAGTTAAAGACATTCAAGCTAGGTAAAAACGCAAATCATTATTTATGAATATTTGTAAAAATATAAATATATTTTTCATTTTAATTAAAATTTTAGGTGATGTAGGTATTTCTTAAATAAAAAAGAATATAGTAATCTAATAGACTCATAGAGTAAATTTAAGCTTTTTAATTAATAATATAGCATAAATAAACTATTTTAATTTCAGGAAATTCACAAATATTTTGCCCCAGAAAAAGTAAAGCAAATAAAAGAGATATCTTTATAAGTAAAATTTTAAATAAGACATTTATTTATTCATTTGTTGTAAATATACTCATTTAAATTAAAAAATAATAGAGTGATATTTATAGTCTTGGATTAATTTTAGTTGAACTTACTTGTGGAAGGTTCTTAACAGTTGAAGAAACCGATTTAATCAGAAAAGGTTTTTTGGAACAATATTTGAATCAAGAAGAATCATTCAAAGATCTGAATTAATTAATTAAATAGATGCTGTGTATAAATAAAGCTAATAGATTTAAACCTAGGGAGCTTGAAGAATAATTATATTCTTTGTAAAGAATTGAGGAAATAAAATTTTAAAGTGTTTTATCTAAGAAATAGAAAATACCTAAACTTTAATAAATCAAACTTTTGTAGTAGTTATAAAAATCTTTTTAAGAAGTAGATATTAATATTAAAGACTAGCCAGAATAACTAGGCCTTTCAGTAGAGAAATCCTTTAAAGAAATCAATTTAGAGATACAAAATTTCGAATAACAGCTTGTATACAGATTATGCATAAACGCAGCGTATTTATATCTTTGTTTAAAATTAATAAATAAATAAATAAATAAATAAACAAGTAAAATTTGTTAATAATTAAAAAGTGAAAACTAAATTGGGCAAGATGGGGCTAATAAAATTGGTTAAATATTACAAAGATGCTAATATCTTACTAATTTAAGTCTCAACTTATAGTAAAATATCGTTTAGCAATAGAATTTATTAAGAGTTATATTTATATTTAAATATATTTAATAAAGAAACAACTCGCTAAATGCAGAAGCAGCTAAAGTTATTAGTTCAAACTTGTAAAATTTGAATAATTTGATTAACTTGAAACTAAATTACAAGTAATTTATTTATATAAGCTTTTCTATTTTTTCAATTTAATATTTAAATAAAGCATGGCTACGGCCGTTCTATATACTTATTTTATATTTTAACTTAATTTTTCTCATATACAAATCTACTTTATTTCTACATCCAAACAAGATATTTTTAATCTTTAAATTCATAAAAATTAATCAAAATAAATTTAATTTTTAAATAATTACAGAATATTTTTTGATTATATTTTATTTATTTTTTAGAGTGAATTTTATAATTTTTAAAAAATAAAATTAATACAAAAGTATGAATTCTATAAAATCTGAAGGAGTCAATAGCATTTTTAAAATGCTATCGTGTTATAAGAATCTGAATATTTTAAACGTTGAATTGGAGTAACATATTTATTTTATGAATTAAACCATTAAATAATTTTATTAATCTCAACTTTTCAGATAAAACTCAATTGGAGCAGATGCTACTAAAAGTATTTCTGAATTTCTAGAAAAATGTTAAAACTTACGTAAGCTAAATCTAAGTTTGCAGTAATCTATTTTTTATTTAATGATTAAACATAAATACTATTTTAAACAATATTATCAAGTAACAACTAAATCGGAGTAGATGGAGCAAAAAATCTTGCTTAAGGCTTAGAAAACTGTAAAACAATAACAAAGTTAGGACTTAACCTCTTGTAAATTAAGTTCCATCAAAATTTAACAAGAATAAATATATCAAATATAATATTAGTTTCAATTAGATTCAAAGAGAAGGTGCCTAATTTATATGTAGTAGCCTTGAAAAATGCTATAATATGATAGAATTAAACTTGGACCTAGGGTAAATATTTATATTTTTAGTGGTTTTTTACTTATATTTCTTTAATAATAGAGATAACTCTATTGGATTGGAAGGAGCTAAAAATATTGGCTATAGCATAGAGAGATGCTTCAGTATTTAAACGTTATTTCTAAATTTATTGTAACATATCTAAACTTTATTAATCATAAATCCATTTCTCAATCTTAAAATATATTAAAGATTAAATGATATTGGCGATGAAGGAGCTAAAAGCATTGGAAGAAGCTTTGAGAGATGCAAAAATATTACAAGTTTAAATCTTGACTTAAGGTAAAAATACCATTGTAACACTTTTAAAAATAAATCAATGTAAAAGAGAGTGATAACTTAAATTAACTGAAATGATAAAAAAAATTTTATTTTTATAATTTTAATGAATTAAATAATTCTTTAAATACATCAAAATTCTTAAAATACTTGCTTTTTAAAAAATATACAAATCTAATTTTCTAATTTTGATATTTATTTTATTTTGATATTTTAAAATTATGGAAACCGAATTAAATTACAAGGCAATGTACTTATTAATAATTACAAATTTAATTAATATACTTTTGATATTTGTTTTAAATTTTAAATAATTATTGATTTATATTAAGATATCTTATTTATTATCAACTAAAAAAAGTGGAAATCAAATTGGAGAAAATGGAGAATAAATTATTTCTAAATGCTTATCTTAATGCTAATGGATTAAAACATTAAAAATATATGTTTGATATTCTTTAAAAATATGTCAATTTTAAAACTTCTAATATAAATTAATATTTATTCATCATTTTGTGAGAAATAGATGAGAATTCATTATAAACTCCAATCATTTCATTATCTCATTATTTATTTATTTATTGAATAATTAATTTATTATTTTATTTATTCATTCTTTTAACTTAATTAAAAAAAATTAATTAAACTTTTAAGGACATGATAAAATATTTTCAAAGATTAAAAAAATTATTATATTAATAACTTTAAAGACTAAAATAACAATTTATTTCTTTTCAAATTTGGCCATTCAAAGAAGTTAAATGGGATTTGTAACCACTAGTTAGCTATTATATAATAACTTTTAAGTTAGAGCAGAGCTTATTTAGATTTTCTCTAAAAAAATATTTATAAAATATAGTAATCATAATATTCATTGGTATATTTTATCATACAAAATCACCTTGATTTTTTCTAATGAAATTTTATTTTTGTAGGATCTTCTAAAAACCACAATATTATTGTGTTATTGACCATACAAAAGCTAATAATATTTTTTATATTTAGATAATTTAGTAAATTAATATAAAGGAAATATAAATCAATCAATTTAGTTGGCATAAATATTATTGATTAAACAACTAATAGGAAAATAGATACTCATTGTAAAAGATAAATTCAGCATATTTTTAAACAAAAATGAATAGGAGTATTACTCAAAGTCCCGGCAGATATTATGTTAACAATTCAAAGATTGAAATATAGTAACCTGTGCATGTACACACTTCAATTAATATATTAAGATATTTTTAAAGGATTATTATTTTTCTGAAAAATTAGAAAACAAAATACTTCTCAGGAAAAAAAGATAATTCATACAACAATGCAGCACCTACATTTGATGAATATGATAAGTATTAATAACTTTAAAATAGATTAACTAGATGTTTATTTTTTTAGTATTTGCTTGACATGAATTAAATTTTTATACATTTAAGGATGAGAGTTAAATGAATTTGTTTGAAATAAATAAAGGTGGCTAGAATAGGAGAAAGCCCATAAGTAACTGAATATTATGAACAGAGAAGTAGGTGAACTAAGATCAGACAAGCAAGCATTAGAAAATGAAAAAAAATAAAAAGATTTCGAAATATAAAAACTTCTTGCAGAAAAAGAATATTTAATGAGAGTAAATAATTGAATTAATTACATTTATTATTATGATTTTAATTGATTTTTGCAATGGAAAATAGAAGGCTGATAACTAAATAATAAATAAATAAATAACAATTAATTAATTCGTTCAATTTATAATTCACTATCACTTTTAAACCATACAAAATTTAATACAATTTCCTTTTATTTTTAAAATTTACAGAATGCCACTTAAAATAATGGTAAACTGAAAGACATAAAGAAATCAAATATTTATAATGTTTAAGAAGAAAATGAAAAATTAAGAAGAGAATTAGATGATTAAAAATAAAAGGAGTTATAAATGTAGACTATGATCTAGAATTAAAAATAATAAATTGTTGACTTAGAATCTAGATACAGAAATACTAACAATCATAGTACAATTAATGGAAGACCAAAACCTCTTCTTACTGAAGGTATTTGTTTATTCATTTATGTGTATTTTTTGGTATAAAAGTAATAATAAATTCATTTCTGTTATTTATCATCTCAATATATTACTAAAAAGATGATGAAGAAGGAGCTCACCCTAAAAAATTTGGATATAGCTAAGGAAATTATGGAAATTAAAGTACAAGAAATAATACACCTACAAATTCATTTAGACTAAGAAAATAAAAATATATGACACCAAATAAGGAATATCCTTAATCGACTACAAACGGACTAAAAATTGAAGAGTGGTAACCAAGAAATTTTACTCCTCATGATCAAACAACAGAAAGAAGAAGAAGTTTGGCAAATAATAAAAGTATATTTTAAGATCCTAGTTTAAATCCAACTTATTTGAAAACAAACGAAAAAACATTTAAGAGCTTTGACACTACTGCATTAAAAGAATAGTTTACTAAAATTCAACCCTTTGATTATGACACAATTATGCCAGGATTTGATGTAATTTTTAATAATTTACTGTTTAAAATAACTTATTTATTTAAATTTTTAACAGCCGAATGTTGCTTCAAGAGATGAAATGAATTAATACATCGGTATCCTCAAAAAACAGTTTGCAATTTAAGAAAGGAAATATATTAATGAGATAGAAAACTTAAGGATAAAAATTTAACGTATTGAAATAGAGAAATTGGAGATCCTAGACTAAAGCAAATAAAAAGTATTTACTGAAATAATTGAAAATAAATAAACAATTTATTTATTTTTTCATCTCTCTACTTTTGATAAATTGATTAATTAATTAATATGTTTAATTTAGGAGTTACAAGCAGCAGAGTGCGAGAATAAACTTAAAGATAGAGAAAAAGAATTGAGTCTTGCTTATATAAGGCTAAAAAATCCCGAATAAAAATTAAACAATGCAAGTAACTATAGTGTAAATACTCTTCCTCTCTCTAGACAAGATTTATAAAAGGTAATTTTTATTTTTTCTTCAAGTTTATTTATTCTAAATTTAACTTCAAGAATTCAAGAATATAAAATATCGAAACCCTTAAAGGATCTCTCAGCTCTGAGGATCTCATGATCATAGCTACACATGCAAAGCTAAGCAAAATAACAATATGGAGTTCTTCAGATCGTATTTAAGGTTTAACATTTTAATATACGAAACCTGATGGAAATACACTTGAAGCAGATAATTCATATTTCTTTTAGAGAAATTACAGGTATTTTTATTAATTTTTGACATAAATAACAAGCAAATGAACAAAAAAACAAAGATTTTCCTAAATTGAAAATTATATTATAAATACTGACTAAAAATTAAAATTAAATTGTGAAATAAAAATAATAAATAAATAAATAATTATACTTACAGATACGATACTTTTGCTGTTCAAGAAGAAGATACAGTTTAAATAATAGGAAAATATAACATTAAAGGTGTTAAGTACATTTAAATAAACAACTAAAAAGGCCCACATAAAAAATATAGACCTGTTGGTATTTAAGAAGAAGAATCTGACACTGATGAGTCTTTTGTTATTCCTATTAACAGAGTAAAAAATATTAAATTAATCTCAATTAATATAATTTTATTAACAATTTTTGAATGAATGATCATCATAGGATTGCAACATTCTTAAAGTGATGTTCCCTAATATTTTCAGCTATGATATGAAAGGAGCTAAAATATATGACCGTCATCATCAAAATTTTATATACGTAGAAACCAATAGAATCTCGTCCCTATAAAATGCAGAAGTTATATGGTAAAAATCTAATTACAATTCTTGCATCTATTGAGATTTAAAGATTTTTCATAAACTAATTAACAGGAACAGAGAAGTTTTAGATAGAAAAAATAAAAAAGACCCTATGGAAGGAAAAAGGACAGATAGTCCTCCAAGATCTTTTAATATTCCAGGATCTGGTAAGGGTATTTTACCATAAGCTTAGGCTTAAAATCAAGATGAAAATGTTGAATCTACTATGAACCCTGAGGGTGCTAAATACTATTATTCTGATAATATAGATGTAAAAATTTAATCTTACAAAAATATAAACTATTATTTATTATTTATTTTTACTAACAAAAAGGCATATAAACTCAATGAAGTTATGGATTCACCTGACGGAGGAAAAATTAATTTCTCTGACGGAGAACTCATATTCATGGAAAAAAAACTTAAAATATTTAAAGTGCTTATATGGGCTGATGAAAATTATGTTTATGGTTTAAAATTCAGCTATTTAACTCCAGATGGCTTTAATTTAATTGAAGGTAAACATTAAATTAAAATTTGTTGACATCTATTCATATACATAGATTAATTAATTGCCAATCTCAAAAAAATTTTTGAAATTAACCAAATAATTTAAAATTAATTGGAATATAAATATTCATAAAGCGAACAAACATTGTTTAGTTTAATATAATAGAAGTAATAACTTAAAAATCAAACTCTATTAGACACATTCAGTATTAAAATAATTAACTGCATATTAAATAAAAAATAATTTTATCTAATATTAAAGAAAAAAATAGTTAGTCGAATAAACAATTAAAACTTTTATTTATTAAATATATTTATGGAGTATTAAAAAATAAATGATATTTTAAATATTTGTTAAATATAAAATAAGGTAAATAGCATGCTGGTATTGATATACAGCATCTAAGCTACAAAGAAGTTGACCTTTCAAATCCTGAAATATTCCTTTCTCGTATATATTTCTACAGAAGAGATAATCTTTATATTGAAAAGTTAGTCTTTTTACTTTCTAATGGTTAAAAATTTTCTTGGGGAAGACAAGTTCCCTCTAGAGAAGCTAAAGAATGCTTAATAGAATTAAAATAAGTTTCTTCATATGTATATGGATCTCTAATACCAATTCCTTGTAATTTAAGTCAATTAATTCTATTATCAAATAACTAAACAATTTTTTTTAATTAGAAATGTAAACTCCTGGATAACTGGTTTTGTCTAATTTAAGGGTATCAGAAATACGCTGATAATATAAATCTAATAAGTGTCTGTATGATCAGTCACTATTGTATTTTTGTCAGAAATTTTTATATTTATATTAGCTAACTTATTTAAAGTAAGAAATTAGTATCTTTTTGTAATTTAGATATTATGTGTATTAACAAATCAATGAGTGAATATCTATTTATATTTGTGTAATTAGATTATAGCAAGATTACATATATTTGTTTTAATTAATTTATTGTTTAGATTAGTAAGTAGAAATAAGAAAATTCAAAAAAGTAATTAAATTTAATTGAATAAAAATATATAAAATAAAATGAGACAATTTTCTCGCATGGCATATATAAAATTTCTTAGATTGGGTCTGGGGCCAGTATTAAAAAAATTTTAGGGATCAATGTTAGATAGTGGAAACAAAAGAGAACTTCCTATTTGATTTTAATTAAAATATTATAATGAATATAAATAAATTATTGATATTTCAGATTAAATATAAACAATAGATAAATCTTTTATCAAATAAAAATCTTTGTGATTAGTTTTAGAGATTAGGTAGCTATCAGAAATATATTTATCTCTTTCCTAGATAAATAAAAAAATCAATGAAATGATTGATTTATAGTCAAAAAATATAATTAATTAATATTTCTAAAAGAATTAATTACTAAATTGTTTGATGAGAAATTTAGTTTTAATAACACTTATTTGTTTCTGTTATGGATCAAATAACTTTAGAAAAAATTCTAAAGAAAACCTTGATACTTCAAAACAGTGTTAAAAACCTTGCTTGAACTATATAGATAAAATTCTTCCTGCAGCTACAATAGGATTTAATAGTGGCTAAAATGGTTTTACATTCTAATCATTTGATGATAAAAATCTACTAAATTTATGCTGTGATTAGTAAAAAACATATGATTTCTTAAAAGGATTAATTGTTCCAGATTATACTGATGTTAAATAGCTAAAGATTTAAGACTCTAATGAAATTTCTGTTACTATAACTCCTAGTGATAAAATTGCTAAATATTATATCCAAGTACATTAGTAATTTAAAAGAGTAGCACTTTAACTTGAAGCAAATAATTAGCTGTAGGCAAATGTCACATACATACTTTCTACCCTATATGAACCTAATAGATGCGATTATACAATAAATTTTTTTGAAAAGAATTGGTTTTCAGTGTTTTCAAAACTTGGAAAATAAGTTTTAACTTAGACATAAGTAGGCGCCCAATTCGAAGTATATTTCTTATTTTACACTAACTCGACCTATACTTAAGAATAAGTAGCTACAATTTACAAAAATTACATTGATCACAATAATGTATTTACTGTTTACAAAGCATTTGATGCTGACCCTTAAAATTATGGCATTATAGATGTAACTAGTTAAGGAATTCATCTAAAAGACTGTAAAAACTTTTAAGATTATCTAAAAAAGATAGGACCTACAAATTATATTTAAATTGAAACAAACTAAAATATTCCTAATTTTAAAGCAATTGATTCCTTTTTGGTTTTTGATAAGGAATCAAATGAAATAAAATAATGCAGTTATGAAGCCTGGAACTATGTATTCAATAGACATTCTAAATAGATTTTTTGAAATATAAAAAAACATATATTTTCATATCTATATAAAAATAAATAAAAAAATATATATATATATTATAAATTCTAATAAACTTAAGAATAATTTTAAATTAGATTACATTTAAATTTATCATAATTAAAAAGAAATAATTTTTATGAATTTTAAATTAATTTTGGATAATAATTAATATTTTTACCTTATGATTTATTAATAAAATTTAATTTATTTGGTAAATTAAAAAATTTAATTTAAAAAAATAAAAATATAAATAAATAAATATTAAATAATTATCTTTCAAAGCTATATGTCATCTTATTTCTAATTTTTTTTAAGTTTATTAAATATGTTGTATTGCATATTTGTTGGCTATTTAATTTATGGTTCTTATTAGACATCTTCATCTTCTTTATTTTTAATTTCCTATTGAACTACTTAAGGAATTTCAATTTATTCTTCTTTTAGCTCATTGACAATCTAATCTTTTTACTAAGATACATTTTAACTAATCAAATTAGGAGGTAAAATTTTATTATCTTCTTTTAATTCTATTAAAATGTTGTAAGGTATTTTAGATTTCTTGAGAATTCTAGTTAGTATAATACCTTAATATTTTTCATTTTTAATTTGCTTATAGAGAAAGTAGTCTCTTTTCATTAAAAATAAATGAAAAAATATAATAATGCTGCATATATATGCAACAATCCTAATTAGCATATATTATCCATTTTATATGTTATTTTTAATATCAAGTGCCAGTAGAATAATAGTGTTGCAAATAGAATAAGCTCTGTAGAAAGCTAAGGCCTTGAATGCTAATGAAAATTAGTAGAATTTGTAGTCAGCAAATATTAAATTCTCTGAAGGCGGTTTCATTTATTTTATGGATTCACTTGATTATTAAAGAAACTCAATATATTCAGTAAATTTTTTTTACTAAGAAGTAGAGTTTTCTATCAAATAACTATATAATACCTTAAATTTTAAAAAATAGTAAAATGACAAAAAATTAAAAATAATTAATCTTGTTTTACTTTTTTTAGCTTCAAGAAAAAGAAAACACAGTAAAATAGAACAAACACTGTAAAACTCAATCCTAATCCAATCATAGCTGTTATAGTTCTTATATCAATTTAACTCTTTTCTTAAAGAGCTAGTTTCTTTTCTCTTTGAAAGCTTTTATAAACAACAGTAAAAGTAATTGCTGCTATATAAACAAATGATAAAAAAGCATGCATTAGTATAAAATTATTTATTTGAGTGCAGACCATCCAAAGTCCAGCTTGTGCTCCAATATTAATTAAAATAGTAGTTAAATCCTTAATGTGATTTGCATACGTTTAGAAAAAGCGGTTTCTTATTTCATTTGTAAGGCTGTTAAATTTACACTGTATTATTTAAAATTCCATTAGTTCTTTATTAGCAAGTATAAGATTAGCTAATGAAGATATGGCAGAAAGGATATAAATTGTACTAACAGTATCTTAAACACAAGCAGATATTACTAACAACAGAGAAGGTCCTGATAAAACTGTAGATTCAATAAATTTAGAAGCTATAATTATATCAATTCTCTTCACTATAACATTATACAAATTGTAATTTCTCTTTAATTTTCTTTAGTTTTCATAATTAATAATAGCCACATAATCTAAGAATAGTCCATTCCAAACTAAAAGCTATGGTAAATCTAAAGAGGAAAATAATATAAACTTTCCAATTCGTTCTAAAATAATAAAAAATATCTATTTTATTTTAAAAATAATAATTTAATAATTTAAAAACTATCCCTACCAAATATTTTTTAAAAAAAGTTATTTAATTCAGAAAAATCTTATATTCGTAGGGAGGTTCAATCAATAAATTCAAAGTGACAAAAAGCAAAATTATTTTTAAAAATGTTACCTATGCAATTAAGTATCTGTTTAATTAATTTTAGTTGTATTCATTACATAGAAATACCATCATTACTAGGTTAAACATGTATATCAAAAAATATATATAAATTTTATCATTATTTGAATCATTTTCTTGCTCATAAAATTTAGCAATTTAGTTTTTGTCATCATCTTTCTCTTCTTTAATTTCATCTTTGGGGTATTCATTTTCTATATCTATTTCTATATTTTAATCTTAGCCTTTTAACATAATTTCGTTTTCTTAAACCAATTTTTTTTAATTTTCGCTCTAAAATGGTTGGTTAAACTATAAATTTGACTTTCGTTTTTAAAAAATATTCATTTATTCATCTGAGTTCTTTTTTAAACTTTTTTCAAGCTAAATTTCTACTTAATCTCCAATGTTTATGTCTTTTGATTTTTTCTAAGAAACACTGATGCTAACATCATGAATGCTTTTTGAAACATTTAAAGAGCTTGGCTTTCTTTTTTAAGAATCGCTAATATTCATTGTAAAAATATCTAATTGCTTATTGTTTATTAAAATTTGATAAAGATTAATTAATAGTAAATAAGATTTTTGAATTCAAAAACAATCATCATAAGCTAATTAACTAATTAATTAATTAATTAATAATAAATATTATAAATCTATCAATTTTGCCAAATGAAATTTATGTAAATAAATAAATATGTTATTATATGATAATCTTTTACTATTTTAAAATTAAAAATTTCAAAATGTTTTAAGCAAATAAATGAATTTTAGTTAAATTAAAGAGTTGAATAAGTAGTTTCTCTCAACCTAATTTATTTAACCAGAACTAGCTAATTAACCAATATATTTTTTACAATTTAAAAAGAAAAATATTTTATAATTTCTTTATATAAAATTTGAAATAATAAAATAATATTTTTTCAATAATATGCTGATATTTTATTTGTAATTAGATAGATATTAGCTTTTTAAGGTAAGATTTTAAGAAGTTAAAAGTATAACTAAGTATAGAAAAAAATAAATCAGTTTACTTGCTTTTCCTCTTGAATAAAGTAATCTTGAGTAAAGCATCTCAAATAAAATTACTATCTGATAATATGCAATAGAAAGAAGATAATTTTATTAAAATTATAATTTCAAAATAGATTAATTTAATAAATTTTTTTATTAAAATAAAGAAAATTACTCATTTAAAAGATAAAAATCCTAATTGCTAGCTTAATTGTTGAGACAGTATATAATTTTTACTTAGTTGAGATTAAGGTAAGAATTATGTAATATGGAACAGATAATAAATTACCCTCTAATATGTCTATGCTTGTATAATTTTATTTAGTATTAATAGAGAATATATTAGCCTCATTTTAATATAAATAAGTAATAATTTAGTGGATAATATTAATTTTCTAAATATCCAGTGAGTTAGTATTTTTCTATGACTTTAAATTCAAGTTTAGTTTAGAAGAAGGATTTTGGTTTATTTTGATCATTTAATTTATACCTGATTTTTTTTATTTTATGGTAATAAATCAACTTAAAAAATAAATGAATAAATTAATAAAGATATATGCTATTATACTATATACAAAACACAATTATCTTTATTGTTTTTTTAAATGGAAATATCAATTCAAAAACCCAGTGAAAACTGAATATCAATATTATTAATTATTAAATCAATAATTATTATTTAATTAGTTAGTTAGTTAGATACATAGAAAATATAAATCAATCTTTATTAAGGGCAATCAATCAAATTCTATGAAATTAGCATTAGCCTTACTTTTTGTTATAGCAAAAAATATATTCTGTCTCCATTTATATGGTACAGATACTTCTTTATCTGAAAATCCTATTAGAGGACCAGGAGGTAGGACAGTTAGTATAGAGTTCAAAGTCTAGTTTGCTCCTCATGTAACTCCCTACGTTTTGATTTCATATTCTAAGTTTCATTTCTCGATGGCTAAAATAAATCACTATAAGGCAACTGTTGTTGGTGTTACAAATAAAGGATTTTCTATCATTTATGAAACTGAGACATAAAACATGGAGTTTGGAGCTGATGTTGAGTGGTTAGCTTTTGATGATACAAGCGATTTCTTTGGAGAGGTTTAGTACATAGAAGAATATGATACTGGTTTTTTGAAAGAATTCTACAAAACAGGAGATGAGCATAGAATGTAGCTTAAAGATGTCAAATTCTAAAGAACTTATTTGAGAACTCCAGGTATTTAAAATATAGCATTAGCATTTTATCCTATTTAACAAATTAATAAGTGTTATCATCTGATTTTTCAGCTAAGCATTAAAAATTTATAAAAAGGAGTAGCAATATATGTGATTGGAGCATCAAACGATGGTATAGAGAGATTAGTGAGTGCTAATTACACTGATGCTTCTCCTTTTTCTTTTACTTTACAAGTATTGGCCTGGCATCACACAGAGTTAACATATTACAAATTTGCAATTTTGGTAATTCTTTCAAACTATATTACATTTTAAATATTTTTCCAAATAATAAAAAGACATACTATAAAGATGAATGCTTGCAGAAAACAGGAAGAGAATACGTATGGAATGAAGAGCATCATAAAGTAATTTAAAATATATTACTTATTTTTAAATGATAACCATATAAACATGCATAATTTATATACAATAAGTTTTCTTTATTAGATGATAATTTAATTAAAGATTTTAGAATTTTGCTAGTTTTTAAGATCTATCAAAAGATATTTTTATGTTTTGTTTATAAAAAATGAATGAATAAATAATAAAATAAAAATTAGTTAAAATGTTATAAATATAAACAGTTTAGACCTCATCCATGGAATTAGATCCACTTATATAGTGATAAAGACTTCCGTCATATGCATTATGACTTTCCTATCCAACATGAAAATAGCAAAAACTTTAGACCTGATTTCATCTATACTGGTTTTGTTGGATATGACATCAAAAATTATCAGTAAAATAGCGCAGAATTTAATTTAGCTCTTAGAAATGTTGAAGTAACCAAAAAAGAAATAAAAATGGATGTAGGTACTTGGAACAAAACTTAAGTTGCAGGAGCTCAATGGAATTATGTAGTATGCGAAACTAATGGAGATTTTGTTAGCTAAAGAAAGCTTACTCTTATATAAAAAATTGTAATTGGTGTTGCTGTCGTTGCTATGCTAATTACTTTTGTTATATTACTATTAAAAATCCCTAAAATGCTAAAAAAATAAAAGAAAGTCAAAGATCTTTGATTAAATAAATTATTTATCTATTTTTTAATTTGTTCATGTAATGTAATATTTCATATATTAAGACTTCTTGCATATTTTAATAAAATAATTATAACACTTTTTAAACTGCTAACTGAAAGATTATTATAGTAAAAACCATAAATATCAATAAAATAGAAGTTATAGTATATTTAATGAAAATCTTAGAAAAAAAAATAAAATCTTACATAAAATATTTTAAAAAAATACAAATAATTAAACATCAAGCAACAAAAAATCAGCATATAATTTTGTATTAATTAAATATAAACCAATTTACTTTTTATTATTCATTATAAAAATTTATTAAAAGTTGTTAAATTGATACACTTTTAACTTTCTATTCCAATTCCTTAAGAATTTATTTCTCTGTCCTTTTCAGTATTGTTACCTGCCTATTATTAAAAATTAATTCTTTAAATATGAAAATATCAATAGTAGTTTTACCTTTTCATCAATTTATTCTGAGCTAAATAAATAGTTTTACTATTATTACTCAAGTTATGCTTATTTAAGATTATGTTTAGAAGTAAATATGTTTTTATAAGATTACTATCTATAACTAATTTATTAATTACTATTTATGTTGATAATATTATATTGATTGGCATAAATTGAACTTTTCAAAAGTTTCCAAAATCTATTTATTTTATATTAATTTACTTGCCTAAATTTTATAAATTTAAGAAATGATGGGCAACTTTTTAATAATCTAAAAAGAGCTCTCTTTATTTTACTAGAAATAGTATTCTGATCATTTAATCTAATCACCAATGAATTAGTTAATAGCGATATAAATATTCCTAAAAAAATAATATTTAAAAGTATGATCGCAAAGTAACTTATAATGATAAGATAGTAAGATGGCTAACTTTATGTTATTATCATTAGCAAAAAAACAAAGTTAAAATTCAGAATTAACATCATAATTTTTTCACAACTCATTATCTAATTGTTTTAGTGAGGTTTTTTAAAAGTCAAGTAACTTGTATAAAGTAATAAAATAATTATTATGAATGTTATTTTTATTGCATCACTAAAATTTGAGTTTATTACTATCATCATAGCAAACTTTTAGAAAATTTTTATAATTTCCCAATTAAAACATTCTATTTTATAGCCTTAATAAAATACTGAATAGATTATTCTTTTTTAAATATTTTTGACTTCATCCATATTTGATTATAATTTATTTAGCTATCTGTAGATAAGTAATGGAATTATAAAGCACCATAATAAGCAAAGTGGAATAATTATTGAAAATAATATTATCATATGAGTATTTGTGTAGCATTGCTAACTTAGATCTTAAATTAAGTAATATTTATCGCCAATTTATCTACAAAATATACCTGAAAATATTAGATTTGATATTGAAGGCTAATAAAATAAGTAAAAGATCATGAATGAGGTTTAAAGACAAATTTTCTATAATTTTTTCTTTATATATTACTTATAATTTCTTTAAATATAGAAAAAGCGATAAAATAGGGTCACAATTATGTACTATATAATCAAATTAACTATTTAAGTAACTATTCTGTGAAGCCAAATTGGGTATTACTAATTTGTTAGTATCAAACAATCTAAACTTGTAATTGTTAAATTTAGGGGATCTCCAAAAGATTGAATTGGAGCACTTAATTCAAAAGGAAAGTTAATTTATAAAGAGAAAATCAAGGAAATGATTTAGATATAATGAATAAAGATTTTCATCCATATAGTAACTGCTTCGCCTTAAGAAATAGACTTACTTGTGAGTAACACATTTATTTTTTTAAGCAATATTAATTTGACTATTAAAATATTTTATTCTACTAAATCTTGTATGCATATCAAAAGGTATATTGCATAAGAAATCAGTATAATTGAAAAATAAATGTATTAAAATTTTATTTCTTTACATAAAAGACAATATTTACCCTGTTTTCCATATTATTAACCCCAAATTTACTTTGACCCATCACAAGAATCACATAGAGGTCCTAAATAACCTTTTAAACACCTATCAAAAGTATCTGTTTAAGTTTCTGAACAGCCATAAGACTAGCATTAATATATTTAATCAATAAGAACTGATTCTCTCCAATATCCATCTTTGAGAATTATAGTATCTTTAAAGCATTTAATTGCTTCTTCAGGACAAGGCAAGCAATTCAACTCGTTTATATTTACTTCTTGTGGCTATTCTAGTGAATATTTTCCCTCTGAACATTATTTGCATCTAATGAGTTAATTATAAAAGATTGTATAATAAAAAAAATAAATTTAACTTTTTAAGGGGAGATATTGAAAAAATAAATAAATCTTACAATATTTATTTTTAGGGGATAAAATTGTGTTTTTTTTTTAGATTTTACAAATATAAATTATTTGAAACTCTCCCCTTAAATTGAATCTATAATAAATTAAAACAAATTGAAAAAATACTCTATAAAACCGTCATCATTTGATGAATAGATTTCGCCTTTAATACAGTTTCTAAATTTCAGAATGAGATTATATGAGAGCTATTTCTAATTGTTAAGGGGATTTGAGTGGATTAATATTGATTATTATTTATTATTTTTGTATGAAGAAGACATCAATAGCTAAAATATGCCTAGTTAGTTCTATTTTAGTAATGTTTATCCTTACTTAATAATAATATTTTCATTTTAATCCTATTATACTGACAAAAAGTAATTATCCATTTCATTTTATATTTCTAGAGATTAAGGATACTATTAATAGCTTGTGAAATTTAATGGTTTGTTTTACTCGTCAATAAACGTGAAGTAAATTTCTTCATCAATTAAATTTCCACTTGAAATATCTTCTATAATATTAGTATATATATATGATTAATTTTATGATACTCTTTGAATTTTCATGGGATATGAACCTATATCTTCACCATAAAAAAATCCTTTTATTAAAAAAAATTTATTTATTAAATATAAATATTTAGGCAGGCTACTAGATAATTTACCTTTATTATTGATAAAATAATTATTCTGAAACTGTAATTAATCATGCAAAAAGGTTTAATTATAAGGTCCATACCATATTGCTCCGCCTATTTATGCTTAGTTATTTGTAAATGTTGAATTATTTAAGTATAATAAGTTAGAGAATTATAAAGCTAAAGCCCCTCCTTTTTCTTAGAGAGCACTATTATTTAAGAAAGTAGTATTCTAAATACTTATATTTAGTGATTATTAAATATAAACAGCTCCTCCAGAACCTCTTTTTACCTTACAATTATGGAAATTAGTGTCATTAATCTATATCATATAATTATTTTAGTTATCTATATAGATTGCTCCTCCATTATCTAAAGAGTATGAGTTTTAAAAATAATCAGCTATAATAAAAATTTTATTTATTTATTACAGATTAAGAGATCCTCCTAAGCATTAAGTATTATTATTTGTAGATTTACAAGAGATATCTATAAAGTTTGATTTTTTTATTATCAGAGTTTATGTATTCAAAGAAGAAACAACAGCTGTTACTTGAGAATATATCATCTAAAAGGTGCAATTATTCATAAGCATATCACCACCTTAAATATAAAATAAAGAACCACTTGATAAATTTATTTTTTTAAAAATAGAGTTTTATATAACTCCTTATTCATTTGGCTCTAAATATATTGAGTTAGTTTTAAATTCTGAATTTTATACGATAAAATTGTCTAATTAAATTCCATAAGCAATTATCGATATAAATTTGTAGTCTTGATTATAAACTTAATTGCTAATAAATAAGTTTTACACCATAATAAATTTGTTAAATTCTGGGTTTTTGATGTTACTTAAAGAATGTACAGAGCTTAAAATTCCTATATTTTAGCAAGACTTAATTTTAAAGTTGTAAAAATAGCAATCAAAGCATCCTTGAATTTTAATAAAGTAAATTTCATCATCTTAATTATTGTTATTATTCTATTTATTGGAGGAATTTATGATTTAATTATTATTGAAATTTTGATTTTGCTCTGCATTAAATGCTTGGATAGTTAATATATCAATATTTTAGAACTAGAAGATACTACCTTTTTAAATATAAGAATTATTAATAACTATTTCTTAGATTAGAATATTAGAGCAATTTTAGAATTCTAAAAAATTCCAAGATAATGTTGAGTTATTGATAAGAATTTTATTAATTTTTATGTTATTAATATTAATAAAGGTTAGTTTATCTAAAGTCGACAATGTTTATAAGTTCTAAATTATTAATTTATCAATTTTAATTTGATAAATATTTTAAATAGAGAGTGGAATTTATTTTCTTTATAAAGTTTAATTTTGTATAATTACCTCTTACCAAATTAATTCTTTACAATCATTTATTGTTAAAGTTTGAGTGTCATTGAAGAATTTAAAATAAACTTTATCAAATATCAATTTTTTGATGTTGTAAATTTGGTTTAATAATAACAACTTTTAAGTTGGCATAATATAAAGTTCTATATTAAAGAATATGATTGTAGCAAAATTGAGTTAACTGAAACTATCATCATTAATTATTAAAGTATTAATTATATTTATTTAGCTATCAATAGTAGATTATATTTGAAGCTATGTCTAATTTGTAAATATTTAATTATAGTAAATAGGAATGACTCCCATATTTTATTTTTATTAATCAAATGAGATGACATACTACCCTATTAATTTCTTCTATTTATAGACTTCTGTTTATAAATAATAATGCTATTTAATAAAAAAAAAATTATTAAAAATGTTTTTATTCCAAATAATTCAAATACGTATTAATTTGACAATATTGAATTTTGCTTCTCTCTTATTTCTAAGCTAACCTCTTTAGAATCTATCAAGCTATCAAATAGATTTATATATAATTTAAATAAATTCGCATCTGTATTTCCATAAACTATTATTTCAAATAACTATTCTTATTTATATATTTTATCTATCTTAAATATTTTAGGATTATTAAGATTGTTAAAAGTTTAAATTAGTTTATTGCTTTGTAAGTTTAATTAGATAAGCTAAATTCCTTTTTTTAATAATATTATAAAATAATCCTATTCTAAATATAATATTTCATTAACATTAGAGAACATAAATTAATTAATTTTGTAATAATTAATTCTTTGAAATGTATTTTTATCATAAAGAATGAAATTAGCTACTCCAATAAGATAGATATATTTGCTATCTTCTATTATTTTTTAGTAATATTGAGCTGCATTTTAAATGGTTGCAAGCTAAGCATTTTATTTTATATCGATAACAAAACTATTCTAATTAGTAGAGTAAATTAATAGATATGCTATTTTACCTTTAATTATTACAAATGATTAAATTGTATCAGTAATTTATTTCTCAAAAATCTTTTAAATTTATAAGTTTTGTGATTTCTTTGAAGTAATCTCGTAAATTGTAATATTTTTAAAAATTTGAATCCCTATTAGATTGTCAGCTATTGTTATCTTTTTTATTTAACAATTTTAAAAAAATTAAATCAATTTAAAATAAAATTACTTTGAAAGGATGAGAAATTGTATCAATAAAATTAGATACTTATGAACTAGATATCTAAAAAATACTAAAATATTTGTTACTATACTCGATTATAATATAATCTTCAGATATTATTTGGATGTCTATTATAGCTTAACTTGAAGGCTTTTAAGTAATTAAGTCAAAATTAAAATTTGAATTATTAAGTTTGTAAATATCTGATTTTTCATTTAAGCAATAAACATTCATACCATAATGCTTGAGCTATAAACATCTATATAAAAGTTTGTAAACATTATACTAATAGCTTTAAATATCTATAATATGGTATTCACTCTCTTTTACAAATACTATTGCATTATTTTTAGATATTTTTTTAAAAAAAAGACTGTATTTTGATATAGTATAAGGAGTTTATATTTTTATTTACTATTTTAAATTGTATGATTAAAACTCTTTTATTTCTACTACCCCTGAATTCTAATTGAGTTATGCAACAGCATTCAAATCCTAGAAATACAAGAAATTATTTTCAGTAGATAAATCTATATCATTTGGATTATAAAACAATGATGTGCTTAAATCATAAATCACAAATGAGTCCTGAATGTTAGTAAAAATTATTTCGTTTGATTCTTCAATAATAAATCCTTTGATTAAGTTTTACTTGTCAATGTTAACATAATTGTAAGTGAGTAAATAGTTTAACGTAGAAAATTAATAAGCTTCTAAACCTTCAAGTGAAATAAAAATTAACAAATCTGAATCATCTATTAAAATTATATTCTAATTATTATAAGTTTCTTCTTATCCTTAAGTGATAAATTTAATTCCCATAAGACTTTATGATTAAAATTAGCAACTATTTAAGTGTAAAACTGTAAAAGAAGATGCATCCAAAAAGACAATTATCTTAATTTTTTATTTGATAAATATAATAAATAAATTTTAAATAAGAAAGTAAAATAAAATTACATTTTATTTTTTAAAATAGTTAACACCGAGTTTTTATTGTTGTTACTACTGATAGCATACCATTTTAAAAGAATTTAAGTCAAATGCCATAGTAAATATTTATTGATTTAATAAAATTAATTAATTCATCTCAAAATTAAAATTGAAAGTTAATTGTCCGTTATTTTGATTATAAATATTCAAAAAATCTATTGTAGGATAAAATTATTGTATTAGTTAAACTTCTTTCTATTTAACTTAAAATTTGTAAATAGATTAATATTCAAATGTCAAAATTAAGTTATCTTAAATATAAATTCCATCTTTAAATAAAATTTTCTGCTAATCATTCAAGAACTCGAAGTAGGTGGCCTATTCATAATTTACAAAATATATGTTATGACCTAGAAAACCTAAAAGTATTAAACTTAGATCTTCAAATAAATGGAATTATAGCTTAGGATTATATAGTATGCCTTATATTTTTATACTTAAATTTTAATTGTTGTTAAGTAAATAAATAACTAAATCAATGTTATTAGTCCCAAAAGTAACTAGAATATTTGTTCTAGAATCATAATGTATTTATTAGATGTCTCCCAAGTTTTTCATTATTTTTAATTATCAATTACAGAGATATGACTATTAATCTTAAAGAATAAAGTAAAACTACTAATTATACATAAACCAAAAAGTTATGTTTTTGCCTAAATCTATTTTGATTAATATTTTATTTTATAAATCTTTAAAAATAAATAAGTCAAATTATAAATTTACTTATGATCTCAAAAGTTTAAGTGCTTAAATCTAAAATACCTAAACTCTACTTGTCTTTTTAAATTCCGATTAGCCTACCTGAAAAATATTTTAAAGATTCTACTTTAAAGCTTGAATTTTCTAAAGTATAAAAAACATTAGGTATAAACTTTAAAGTGTAGAATGTGTCTGATAAAAAAATTTAGTCGTCTTATAAATTAAAAAATGTTAATCCAAAATTATTTTAATTCTGTGAGAAATTTATTCTGCGTTAAAATTGTTGAGTATCTGCGTTAAATAATAAGCTTAATCCCTAATGTTTATTGTTTAGAATCAAAGATAGTTTAAGATATTTTATAATAATTAAAAAAAATACTTAGTTTGGAAAATAAACAGGAAAATAGGCCTGATTGCTCACTACAAAGTAACTTAGAATTAATTGTTAACTAGGCAATGATATTTAAGCTTATTTTAAAGTTTCTATATTAAAAATGTAACAAATAAAACCTTATGTATAGATAATTTTATTGCCAACTAAAATAGAATTTTCAAGATTAGTTTATGGTGTTTCGCTTATAAAAGACTATTGAGTTAGATCAAATATTTATAAGTTTCTTCTATTAGGCACATATAATAATTTTTATAGGTCTTAAAAGTAATATAGTTAATTTCTTAAATAACTTGATTCACTAACTTAAAAAAAAACATATTCAGTAGTCTATTTTTTAATGTCATACATAGTTAGATAAATACCAGAATCTTCTTTACAACGATTGTATGTAAAAATACTAGTTTCGTTTACTACCTAGTAAAACAAAGAAGAATAAAATGAACCAACTAATATTAGTTTATCTTACTCTAATTGATAAATCAATACAGTATTCTATTCTGAGTTAATATAAAGCAAATCATTATAGCTTTGTATAGGACTTTATATAGTTGTATTATTTTAATCAATATATAAATTATAATTAAAACGATAACCTTTAATTCCTTACAGTCCATTCAATGTATATAAATTAAAAGAATTATCTTATAAATGAATTACTATTACAGTAAATTAACTTGTGCTTTTTAAGAATAGATATTAAAAAGGGGAATCTGAAGTGAATTATTGAAACACTTGCAAATATATATCAAATATCAAGCATGTTTATTTAAAATTATTTCCTATAGTTAAATAGTTATCTATTAAATTAAAGATATTAATTTAGAAATCTACATATCTATATATGGATTGCTTTTTGTTCTAATCAAATATTATATTAAAACCGTATTCATATATTATGCATATTCCTTCATCAATTTTCAAAGGATATATTTTTAATATTTTGCCAAAATTATTTCTTATTCTACCACTTCCATATCTGCTAAAAAATTAAATTTGTTAATCTTAGCTAGGAAAGAGATGAAAGAGTTAAATTTCATTTCTGTTTGAAATTATATAATTTTTTTATAAATCATCATACTGAAATGTAAGCTTTGAGGGTAGAAAGCTGAAACTGTACATTGATCTTAATAAAATATGCTATCTGAAAATTTCATACTTTTCTGTGTCATGCTTATAAATTTAAATACTAAGATTTAATTAGTCTGTTTTAATTGTAAAGACATATTAATTGCTACTAATTATGAATTTTTCATTTAAATAATAATCCTCTCTAATTACTTAATTTTATTTAATCATCTTAACCATCATATAACCTTAAAAAAAATTATTATAATATATTTTTAAAAATAAAATAATTTTTACCATTTAATCCTTACAATATTAATCTTTATGATTAAGATAAATATTTACAATCTTCAATATTACCTATCTCTTTATATTAAACTTGAGTTGCCTAAATTTAAAAATTAGAGTTTTATTAGAAGAATCAGTAAAATTAGTATGATTGACTATTTTGTATAGAAAATAAATAATTACCTCTTTTTAATTAAATGTGTACTTGCCTTAAACTAAATTACTAGTTAAAAAGAATACTACTTACTGATTACTTTAGTCAGATAGTACTAATTAAATATTATTATTATATGAATATGCGCATATAATATTGCTTACATTCTAAAATTTAAAAAGCAAATCTTAATCATTTATATTATTTTGGTTAATAGAATAGAGATATGAATATCGCATATCAAATAATAATAAAATATTGATTTCCTTCAAAATAAAAATTATATTTATTTAATTAACATTTTATTTTTAAATTTACTTTTATTTTAAAGTATTGTTAACAACCTTAAGGATATTATTTATCTATTTAGGCTAATAATCGAGCTGGCTTGGAAGATAGGTATTACAACCAAAATTATCAATATTTTAAGGAAAATTTTATAAAATTCTTATTTGTTTCCTCTCTTCTTCCTTTTCTATTAAATGATTTTTATTCATCGCATATATATCAGTAAAAATATCTTCATCTCCTTATTGATTTTCATATTTATTAATTGAATTTAGATTTAATAATCTATTTTTTTATTAAAATTAGAAGACTTAAATCTATGATTTATCTAAATCTATTATATTGAATGATATTTCATTTCCGCAAATAATAAAATTTTATTGTGCAATTGGACCATCGCAATATTGCAGCTTAAAATAATCTATACTTCTAGTTTAATAGTTAATACGAGCTAAAGTAATTTGGTCTTCAAATATAATAAAAACGAAGCTTTTTCTTAAGTAAATAAAATAAGCAGTTGAATTATAACTTATTTCAAAATATGGTATTAAGTCAGGATATGTATAGTAAATTATTCTTTCATTGTCTAATGCAATCACCTATTTAGTTTAGTTAAAGAATAAATAATTTAATGATATTTTTAATGTATAAAAGTCTTTACAGATTACAAGCCATCTATTTAAATAATTTTAATTTATTAAATGTCCAGATCTTTTCTATTATCTATCCTAAACATTTCAATATCAATTTGACCTATTTTCATAAAACGGATGCATTATCTAGAGTTTTAATTATACCCTTCATTGCAATAAAGTTGACAAGAATCTATGTCTTCTTAATAATATACATCATCATTATTTCTACATTTAATATTTTAGCATATTGAACCTTGATCATTAAGAATATATCCCTCTTTGCACTTTTTGCAAGTAAAAGCATCTTCACAAATCAAGCAATTGTTAACTTTACATTATTTGCATTCCCTTAAGTAATGACTTTCAAATTGATTAATTTGACATTAGCTTACACAACTAGTTCCCTCCTATGTTTGATTTATTAAGTTATATATTTTTAAAAATATATTTAATATTTACTAGATAAGACTATGGTTAGCAAAATAAGCATCTTACATCATCAAAGCAATATTGACAATTTTTAGAGCATTAATCACATTTATTAAGCTAAGCATTGTAATATTAACTCTAACTTAAGCAGTCTTTAAATCCTAAACTTTGATTTTAAATTTACTGAACAAGATAAATAAGTATTACAAAAATCGAATTTTTAAATATCATCTTAATTATTTTTGTTATTTCTTTTTTACTGTTTTTTTTATTATTTGTTAATAAACTTATTATATTCTTTCACTTTTAATCCAAAATATTTGCAAAAAAAACGAAATCATTGCTAATAATAATTCATACAAAAATGATTAATGTAATAAAAACCAAAGTCTTAAATATTCTTTAAGAAATGTTAAATAAATAGATAAAAATTGTTATTTTTAAGCAAATATATTTTTAATCATAGCAATATGCCAACAAAAAAGTTAGTGTTTAGATTCCACTAAAATTATTTGGAATATTCTAAATATAGCAAAATGCCATTCAAAAATTTCGTCTTTTGGAAACGACTATATTAGTGAATGTGAATGGCATTTAATTACAGACATTTGTTTTTGATTAATTAATTGTTTACCTTAGCTAAGCTAAGTAGAAATAAGAAAATTCAAAAAAGTAATTAAATCTAATTGAATAAAAATATATAATATATAATGTATCAACTGCCCCACGGGGCAGTTTTGTAATTTTCTATTATATATTTTTATAAAGAAAAATTAATAAATTAATTTTTAAAAAAAAGTTATTACATTTAATTTTTTTTTTTAAACGAAAAAATATTTTACTTGAAACATTAAAAGTAATATAAAAACAATTTATTTTAAAGTTCAGTAATAATAAAAAACAAAAATTTTATTTAATAAAAAACAAAACAAAAAAATATTTTAATTTATTTTATGTAAAGATAGATAGATAAATAGATACAAATCACTTTTACATTTTATCTCTATTAAAAATTTAGTTTAAAGTAGTAAGCTAAATTTCTTTTTAACTTCCTAAACCTCCTTTATAGCTAGTTTCATTACCTTTTGTAGCCATGTTTTCTACCTAATGTTTAAAAAATAAATACATCAATATTTTAATTATTAATTCAAAATGCTTTACCCTTTCATCTATTTGTTCAGATGAGAAAATGAAATTTTATTAATCTTAATCTAATTAGTCCATTCTATCTGATTTAAGATTATTTAAAGATGACAGTATAGGTTTTTTATTATTCTTGTAATTAACTATCAAAATATTACTTTTGCTTAGAGAATCTCCTGTATTTTGCTTGTAAACAAAATTTTTTATATGTCTCCAGTGTTTATGAGTTTTGTATTGATTGACTTTCCTAAACTTTATAAATTTAAGAGCTTATGGAAATGCTTTCCACAATCTATAAAGTAATTTTTTAATTTTTGTTGAAGTAGAATTCTCATCATTTAATCTTATCACTAATGAATTAGATAATAGTAAGACAAAACTGGATATTGCTATGACATTACAAATTATAATAAGAATATATCCGGTAACCAATACAGCGTAAGAAGGATCACTTTCATTTAAGATTAGTAACAGGAATAAAAAATTAAAGTTTAAGATAGCTACCATAATTTTTTCACAATTCATAAGCTTGATATTTTTATGAGGCTTCTTAACTGATAAAAATATAGTATAAAGCAATAAAACTACAATTATAAGTGCTATTTTAATTATATCACTAAAGTTAGAGTTAATAACTATCATTAAAATAAATTTTTAAAAGATTTTAATAATTTCCCAATTATAGCATTATATTCTATAGCCTTAGTAAAAAATTCCATAAACTATTATCTACTAAATATTTTTAATTTTATCTACATATTATATAATCTTTTATAGTTGTTTATTTATGTAAAATGGTATTAATAAACACCACAGTAAGCAAAGAGGAGTAACAAAAGAAAGAACTAGAATTATATGAGAACTTGTAAAGCATTATTAATTAAGATCTTGAATCAAATAATATTTTTCTCCTATCTATCTACAAAAGTATCCTGAAAGAATAAGTTTAGCTATTGAAGGCCAATAAAACAAATAAAAAAATACAAAAGTTGTCTAGAGACCTGTATTCCAAAGTTTTTTAGTTAAATTTGCATGGTAACTTCCTCTAAGATAAAAGAAATAGTAAAATGCCATAACAACAATATATTAAATTGCAAAATTGATAATTTAGACAACCAATCTATGAATCCAAAATGGATAATTTTATGATGTATGTATCAAACAATCCATACTTGTTATTGTCAAGCTAGTAGGATCTCCAAATGCTTTAACTGGGACACTTAGCTCATATGGTTACTTAATCTAGAATGAGAAAATTAGAGAGGTAATTTAAATGTAATGAATAAATATTTTAAACCATAAAGTCACTGTCTCACCTTAAGAACTAGACTTACTTGTCATAAGTAAATCTATTTACTTAAATAGTAGCAATTTTATTATAAAAACCTTTTATTCTATCAAATCTCCTATACATATCACAAGATAAATTGAATATACTAGCAAAATAACTGAGAAAAATATGTATTAATATTTTATTTCTTTGCACTTGAAGCAGTATGAATCCTTTTTACCATAATAATCTCCCCACACTTACTTAGAAGTATCACAAGTGTCGCACAAAGGCCCAATATATCCCTCTAGGCATCTATCTTAAACTCCGTTTTGTGTTTCTGAACAACCGTGAGACTAACATTGGTATATTTAATCAGTCAAATTATTTTCTCTCCAATATCCATCTTTTAGTATGATTACATCTTTAAAGCATTTTATAGCTTAAAACGGGCAAGATTAGCATATCAAATCATTCTAATTAATTTAGCCTGGTTCAACTAAAGAATATTTGCCTTCTTAACATTAATTACACCTTTATAATTTTTAAATTTTATTAATAAGATGAATATATAGTTTTATTTATAAATGTTTCCTAATAATAAAATATTGTAAGTTTTCAATTTTAGGTCTTTGAAACAGACAAAAATTTAGAACAGCAAATTTTTATAAAATATTCAAAATCTTTGCCTCTTCTATGATCACTGATCAGAAACAAGAGAATACATTATTTCTTTTTATTTGCACTTATGCACAGCATAGGCATTTTACATACGTTCAACAAATTTAGAACATTAAATAAAAGCGAACTTGTAAAAATGTGTGTAAATTAAGTTTAAAGATAATTTTATTTTATTAGAATAATTTAAAATTTTTTAAAAAAAATTTACAAGTCTCAAAAGAAATTAATTAAAATTAATTGAATATTTATATAATGAGATAATTAATAATTACTCTATGAATCCATTATGAGATTATTATATTTCACCTCTTTAGCAATCTCTAAATTTAAGAGTTAAATTATAGAACAGCTCTCTTTGATTCATTAGAGGATTAGATTTTATTTAAATTTTTTATTCTTTACTATGAGAATATGATGTAGAAATTTGAAGTTTAAATAGGCCAAGTTAACTTATTTTTTCTAAATTTTATCCTATTTTAATTAGAATATGAGGATTTTAATCAGTAGAGACTTTCATAAAATAGCTTAATCTCTCATTTTAAACTTCAAGAGATTAAATGTGTTATTCAGATTTAATAAAATCAAAAGGTTTGTTTTATTCATCAAAAAATGTAAAATAGACTCCCTAGTCCATCAAATTTCCACTTTAAATATCTTCTAGTTAGTTATTTTGTATTTACTCAAAATTCTTAGTTATTCTTTATATATATTACGGTTAAGAACCAATATCTTACCCATAAAAAAATCCTATTTTTATTAATAAATATATTAAATAAATAGTTTAAAATAGTAATTTATACCTTCATTTTCTTAAAATTTATTATTTGTTAATAAATTTAAATCCTTCATTAAAGTTTAGTTGAAAGGTCCATACCATATTCCTCCTCCTATTTAAGCTTAATTATGTATGAATGTAGAGCTGTTCATGCTAATTAAATTTGAATAGAATAGTGCAAGAGCCCCTCCTCTTTCTTGCAGAGCACTATTGTTTGAGAAAGTTGAATTATAAATACTTATGTTTTCAGATTCTTAAATATAAATAGCTCCTCCAGAACCATTTTTAGCTTTACAATTATTAAAGATACTACTTTAGATTTATGTAGAATAATCATTTTATTTATTGATATAGATTGCTCCTCCATAATTATCAGAAATTGAGTTATCAAAATACCCATTAATAAAGAGATTATTAATTTATTAAAGATTAAGGGATCCACCCATACATTTTTATTAAAGACTTTATGACTCACATTTTATATCAATAAATTTTGATTATTATATTTGTAAAGTATTCGACTAAAAGCAATATATGGCTGCAGTTGATTAAGAAGAAATATTCTGGAAAGTTGTATTTCTAAATAGTAAATCAGGACCTTATAAAGAAAATATAGAACCATTAAACAAATTAATTCCTTTGAAAAATGAATTTTGTATAACTCCTTTTTGTGAAGCACGAATAGAAATAGAATCCATCATAAACTAAGAATTGATAATTTATAGATTATCAAACACAATAATATATCCAATTAAGTCAAAAAGTTAGTAATCTTACTTAAATACAAAGTTAGTTACAGTTATATTTTTCATAACAACTAAATATGTAAAAGATGGATTTTTTAGGTCTTGTAAAGAATAAAGGGACTTTATGATTCCAGTATTTATTTAAGAATCTACTTAAAAATTGCTAAGGTAATTTGAAAAACACCCTTTTAATGTAAGCAAGTATATTTTGAGATCATCACTATTTATATTTTGTTTTTCCTAACTATCGAAAATTTAATCTTTATAAAGTTTATTTAATGTTTTGTCAAGTTATGCATTTAATTTAGTGATATTTAGTATATCAATTTTTTCAAAATAAAACATGCTACCTCTAGTAATTAAAGTGTTTTTAATTATTATTTCATTGATTAAAATATTTGAGCAGTTATAAAATTTTAAAAGGTTTGAAGAAAAACTTGAGTTGTTAACAATAATTCTATCTATTACAATACTTGTAATGTTAATAAAATAAATGCCATCATTTACTGAAGATGTTTTTATATTATCAACGAATAGTTAATCAATTTTTATTTAGTCTATATTTTAAATCTAAAGAGGGATATACTTTCTTCTTAAAGTTTGATTTTATATTATTACTTCTTACCATATTAGTTATTTACAATCATTTATAACTAAAGATTGAGATTCGTCAAAAAATCTCAAGTAGACTTTATCAAATATTATTTTTTCAACTTTTTAAAGTGGATTTAGGATTAATTATTCTTAGCTTGGCTAAATATAAAGCTCAATATTAAAGAATAAAATTCTTTTAAACTTCAATTAAGAAAATTTATTATCATTAATGACAAGGCTTACTACTTTGTCTACTATACTAGTAGCAGATTATATTTAAAGCAAAGTATAGTTTGTAAAGATTTAATTATAATAAATAGGTATATCCCCAATTTATTATTATTCTTATTTTTCAAAAGATAGAATATAAGATCCAACAACTTTATTTTATTTTTAAACCTCTGTTTGCTTTTAGAAATGCTTTATTTTAAAAGTAATAATATAAAAAAATAAAATATTATGTAATTAAAATACCATTTATTATGCTTGAATTTAGGTCTCTTTGTATAAGACTTCTAAACTGACTTCTCTAGAGTTTAAATTATTATCTAGTTTACTTACTTCTAATTTAAATAAGTTTGAATCTGTGTGCCCATATATATAAATAGCTGAAAGCTATTTTTATGAATTATATGTTTTTTCTATCTAAAGAATTGCTGCATTGATTAAATTACTAAAAGTCTGAATTAAATTATTACATTTTAAATTTATTTTTGCTAAAATAAGCTATTATTCTAATATTAAAATAAAATAATCTTCATCAACATGAATAACGTTTTAAATGCTTGAGTAAACAAATTAGTTAACTGAATAATAGTTTATTGTTTGCAATGTATTTTGATCATATAAAATAAGATTAGATATTCCGACAATATAGATAAATTTATCATCTGTAAATACTCTTTACTTGGATTGAGCTGCATTTTTCATTGTTCCAATTTAATAATTTTAAAATATATCGTAGATAAAAGTAGTTTCTTAAGTAGAGTAAATTAGTTAATATGAATTAATTGTTTTAATTATTGTAAATGATTAAATGTACATTTTATTATTTTACTCATAAATCTATTGTATATTCAGTTATTAAGAATCTCCAGAACCAATAAAATAAATAGATATTTTCTATCTTGTCTAAATGCCAATCAAATTATTTACCATTGATATCTAAATAAAATTTAAAATTGATTATTAAAAAAATTCTTTTTTCAAAAATAATTTACTTTTAGTGCAGATGAAATTAAGTCAGTCTCTTTAGACTATTTTTTTGTGGATATTTAAAAGATAATGAAAGTTCTATTTTTTTGCTATATCATTAAGAAGTCATCTGAAAGTACTTCAATATCAGTTATTGATTACTCAGAGATTTAATTAAATATTAGATCGAATTTAAAACTTGCCAAATTAAGCTTGTAAATTTGAGACATTTCATTCAAACAAAAAATATTAAAGTTTTAGTTTTTAACCTTTAAGCACCTAAAGGATATTTTATAAATATCATAGCTATAGTTTTAAACATCTACTATGTGATACTCATTCTATGAAACAAATACTATTATTTTACTTTGAGATACTTTCTGAAAGAAGAAGCTATATTTTTAAATAGTATAAGGAGTATTTAATTTTATTTATTTTATTAGATTTTATTATTTCACATTTTTAATTTCTATTACCCCAGAGTTTTAATTTAAATATGAAACAATATTCAACTCATTAAAGTAAACAAAATTATTCTCAAAAGATGTATCTAAGAATTTCGGGTTATAGAATAAACTTGTAGCTAAATCATAAATCTATATTTAGTTATCAGTAGTAGTCAATATTATTTCGTTTGAGTCTTCTAAAATAAATGATTAAATTTGAGTGTATTTGTTATCATACTTATAGTTATTTGTTATTAAATAATTTAATGTACTAAATTAATAAACCTCTAATCCATTTGTTGATACTAAGACGAGTAAGTCTGAAGTCTTAATCAAAAAAATATTGAGATTGTATTATACATTGAGTTGAGGTTATGCAGTAAATGTTATGCCCATCAGATTTTGAGATTTTACAATGCAAGAATTAAGGTATAATATTGTAAAAGAAGAGGTCTTCAAAGAAATAACTATCTAAATAAAATATAATAAAAAATAACTTTTAAAATAAATCAACTTTATTAAAAATTTACATTTTATTCTTGAAAATAAACAAAACCTAGTACTTGCTAATATTACTATTAGCAAACGTTAACAAAAGTATCTAAATCAAAGGACATAATGTATTTTTACAAATTAACTAATATTAATTGATTTGATTCAAAATTATAAGCCAAGGTTAACTAATTAGAATATTGGTTATATATTTCCAAAAAATCTATACTAGGTTAATATTGCTTAATCAGCTTAATATCTCCCTGCTAAATTTAAAATTTATAAATAAATTAGTATTCAAATGTCACTATATACTTATCTTGAATAAACAATCCATCACTGAATTTAATTTTCTATCCTCCATTTTCAAACTTAAAAATGATCCCCTGCTCATAATTAATAAAATATGCTTCTTTGGCTGACATAGTTATAAGGACTAAGCTATATTCTTCAAAGTTATAAAATTAAAATGAAGGCATATAACGGTACTTTTCTATTTAAACTGAAAGTAAAACATCGCTGTTGAGTAAGTAAAAATTGAGAGTATCTTAACTTACAGTCTGGAATACTAAAATATTTGATTTATCATCAAAACTTTAGTATAAAATATTTCCTAATTATTTTATTAATACAAACTATTAATTGTACAAATAACCTTATTCCGTTTCTTTAATTATAAAGTAGAACTGTTAATTATAGAAAAACCAAAACCATATTTATTTATCTGCATCTTTTTAAAATTAAATTAATATGTTTTAATAAATAAATAAGAAATAAATATATAAACTTACTTATTGTTTCTATTGACTTGCTATTTAAATCTAAAATTTATAAACTATCCCTTGAAAAGGTTATGCCAGCTAATTTGTTTTTGATTAAACTGAAAGTATTAATTTAGAGAGAAGTTACTTTTAAAGCTAAAGAAAAATATGGTATTATTTTTTGAGTTTTATTTTAATCAAATATTAATATTTCTTCGTTTTTAATTACAAATTTTGAGTTTTAGCTTTATTCCACGTTTACTGCTTGCTAGAATTATTAATTACTGATATTAAAAACTAAGCTCTTCTCCTATTAAATAAAATTTATTAGTAAAATATAAGAAAAAAAAATTATATAAAATAGAATAAAATTTTAATTATTAAAATAAATTTAAATAGGAAAAAATATAATAATAATTACTAAGTTGGGAAAATAGACTAGGAAATATGGTTAGTTACTAATCATGAAATAGTTTTATATGTTTGGGTAAGTTGGAAAAGATACTTAAGTTTCCTCTAAAGTTTACATATCAAAAATATAGCAAGATTAGCCTAGTAAATAGATAATATATCTATCAACTAAGAGACTATTATTAAGATCTGTCTATGGAGGTTTTTCAATAAAAGATTAATTACCCATATCAAATATTTTAACTTTGTATCTTCCAGATTAAAATAATATTTTTGCGTAACGCAAGTATTAAGTCACTTATATCTTTTGGTAGGATATATCTTCCACTTAGAATAATATAAAATATGTCGATTAATTTAATATATTGAAAACAGTTAAATAAGTATCAGAGTTTTCTTTGCATTTAGAAAATTAAAAGATTACATTTGGACCTACAACTTGAAAGTATTGAGAGTAATAAAATGATGTAAGAAAGCTCAATTGGTCTTGTAATTTATAAATTAATACTGTTTATTAATCTGATATTATATATAGCTGATTGTAAAAGCTTTATATTGTTGGAGTATAACCTTGTTAGAGTAGATTATAATTAAGAGAATAACCATTTATACTTTGTTTTCCGTTTATTGTGTATAAATTAAAGGTACCATTCATCAATGAAATGGCTACTATAAGATATTCAGAGGATTTTGCTATGAACAACTTTTAAAATTATTGAATTTCATAATTTAGTTCATTAAATTGTTGTAAGTATATATCAAATATAACAATCTTTTTTTATAAATTACTTCCTAATACTAAATAGTTATCTTTTTAATCATAAATTTCTATTGTGAAATCTAAATATCTTGCTATTGATGATGTTGTTGTCTTTCCAAATATTATATTAAAACCAAATTAATAAATTATGCATATGCCATCTTCAATTTCTAAATTAAATATGGTAATAATTTAACCAAAATTTTATCTTATTTTTCCTCCAGCATATCTACTAAATACTTAAGATACCTAATCTTATTTTGGTAAAAGGCGAATAAGTTACATTTCATTTCTGTAGCTCAAAACAATATTTTTTTCTAGATCATCATATAAGAATGTAAATTTAGAAGGAGTATCACTAAAGTAATACTATTATACATCAAAATTAAACTAATTAAATATTTTGAATATACTATCATCAATTTCATAAATGTTTATAGTATAATTTGCCTTATCTAGAAGAAAAGTGAAAATATAGCTATTTGTATTTGAAATAATAAATTCATTTTTATAAAATGCACTTTTTTTTGAAATTTATTATATTTCACTTGTCTTAATTCTCAAATAACCTTTATTAAATAAATTAAAAAATAATTTTTTGTTTTATTATTTAAAATATTTATTTACCATTTTAGCCTTGTAAAAGTAATGTCTGAAACTATGCTAAAAATAAGCAATTCTATAAATCGCCAAGCTCCACATCTTGAATTTTTATTGCCTGAAATTAAAAAAAATCAAAATTAATTGGGGTGTTTAGTAATTGATTTATTTTGAATAATAAAGAAAAAAATAATACATTTGCTTAATTAAATTAGTAATAGCCAGAATCAAATGTACTAGTTAAGTAATATCCTACATTTGAATAATTTTAATCAGCTAACAATAGATGGATTGTATTGTTAAAGTACTATGAACATAGAACTTAGCTTGTATTATAAAGTTAGATTGTCATAATGATACTTTGTACATTTTTACTATCTAAAGAATAGAGTTTTTGAGATATCTTATCAAAATAGAGCAACATGCTAATTTCTTCTAAAATAAAAAAATTGAAATGTTATGTATCTTCTATTTTAGAGTATTCTTAAATTATTTGGATAGTTCTATTTTTTAAGACATTAGTAATTTGCTTGGGTTAAGCATCAAATTGCTTTGGATAATTAATATAACAACCTAGTTGATCCTAATTTTAAGGTAAATCCTATAAATTTCTATTTTGCTTATTTACTTAATTTACTGACTGATTTTTATATTCTTTGTTTGATTAACTTTCAATTTCAGCTGGTGTTTACTAATTAAAAGCTTACCTTAAATTATTTTCATTCGATAATACTTCTTGAATAATCCTTGCTTATGGCTAAAATTAAAATATTTTAAATAAAGGGTTGTCTAAATCTATCATAATGAGTGCATTATATTGAATGTATTGACAAATCAGATAATTTTATTATACTAAAGGATTATCGCATTATCCAAGTTAGTAATAGTCTATTTTTTTTGTTTAAGCATTAATGCGAGCAATTTTATTTTAATCGCTGTATATTACTAGTATATAATTACCTCTTATATGTGCGAAATAAGCAGTTTAATTGTAGGCTATTTCAAAGTATGGGATTAACTCAGGATATTTATAGTAAACTGCCCTTTATAAGTCTATTGCAATAACCTTTTTTATCAATTAAATAATAAAATATAAATTAGAATTGAATTTATAAATATATTTATTTAAAATTTACTGTATTTTAGTCTTCAATTTTAATTGCTTGCATTTATATAATGTTGCCTTATTATTGGTCTATTCTTATCATTTCAGCTTCATAATCCCCAAGTTTTTTAAATTTAATACATTGCATAGAATTTTCATCATATCCCTCCTTACAATAATATTTACATGTATCTGTTTCCTCTTAGTAATATGTTCCTTCTTCTGAAATACATTTTTCATTTTAGCAGGTATTCCTTTTTTCATCCAAAACCCATCCTTATTTACATTCTAAGCAAATTTGTGCGTCATTACAAATTTTGCAATTATTTACTTTGCACAATTTACACTATCTAAAATAATTGCTTTCATAATATCCTACCTCACAAGATCTTGCACAGCTATTTCCTTTAAATTCCTATTTAATAAATTTATTTTATTTAAAATTCAGATTAAGTTTCCGTTTTTTCATTTATTTACTTAGTACTAATTTTGCTAGCATAGTAGGCAATTCTAACTATCAAAACACTATTAACATTCTTTAGAGCACTCTCCGCAAGACTATAGCTTTGAGCTGTAATATTTTCCTTAACTTTGGCAATCATTGAGCTTAAGCTCTTAGGTGTAAACTATCACGCTAAAAAGTAATTGTACGAAAAGAAGTTTTTTTATCATAAACATTTTTATTAATTTTCCTAACTTTAAAATTTTTTGAATTAATTTTTATAATAATTATATTAACTAAAAAATTGCTTAAAAACAAACATAGTACATGATTTAATTTAAGCTTTAAATAAAAACATTCAGCATTTTTTAAATAACTATACAGTATTATTAACTTATCCGTATTTTAAGGGAAGCGAAAATATTAATATGGATAATGTTAATTTTATTACTTATCTAGTAATTAATTTATCTTTCAACTTATCAATTTTTACTATAATTTACTGACATTTATAATTTATATTATTAAATTAGAATTATAATTATAATTAAAGATAATTATAGTTTATTTAGTTCAAAAATTGAAAATAGTTGGTTTAACTATTTTAGTTTTAAATATATTAAAGTTAAATATAATTAGAATATCTATGTTTTAAATTCTTGTTGATCTTGAAAAGCAAAATTTAATTCCTAAATTTGCTCTTACAATTTTTAGCTAAAAGTTGTTTTTTGGTTTTAAATTTTAAAATATTTTTAAAATAAAAAAAAATATATTTTTTTTTGAAAATATAATATGTTGAGCCAATTTAAATAAAGTAATAATTATTTTAAAAAACAAATAATTTCCAAATTCTTTAATTTTTAGGTAGGGAACTTATAATTGATAAATAGTCTTTATATGAAAATAGAAAATTTTAAGGTAATTAATATTTAAGAAATACAATAAATATTAGATCATAATTTATAATTAATTAGCTTTAAATTATTTTTCACTTTTACTAGAAAATATTACTAGAAATTTCGTTAAATGTTTATAATTAGTTTATTTTTTAGGTTTCTATTGTGCCTCCTTTATAGCTTAAGTCATTAAATTTCGATGCTATATCATCCACCTATTAATAAAATAAAAAGTAAATTAAACATAAATTTGATAATTAAATGACATATTAACCTTTTCATCAATCTGAGTTTAAGAGAAGAAATAATTTTGTTAATCTTGATCAGTCTGATCTGATCTCAAATTATAATTTGAAATTAAAATGCTTTTGAATGATGAAGCTCTAAAACTGAGTTGTTTAATATTATCTTTCTTGTTTGGATTTGAAGAATTTTCATTCTTTATGAATTTTTTTATAAGCTTCCATAATTTATGTATCCTGTATACATTAACCTTCCTAAACTTCAAATGTCTAAACAATTTTGGAAAACTTTATGATAACTTATAGAGGGCATTTTTAACTTTAGTTGAAGAAGTATAATCATCGCATAATCTAATCACCATTGAATTAGACAAAAGATAAATAAAGCATATTACAGCAATTATATTACATAAAAATATGAGTATGTAACCCAAAATTAAAACATAATAATATGGATTGCTTTCTTTTATTATCATCAGAAGGAATAAAAAGTTAAAATTAAGTAAAACCATCATCATTTTTTCACAATTCATGAGTTTAATATTTTTATGTGGTTATTTGATAACTAAATAAACTGTGTATAATAGCAGTATTACTATTATGAAAGTTATTTTAATAATATCACTTAAATTAGAATTAATCACTATCATTAGAATTAGTTTTTAGAATATTTTAATTATTTCCCAATTAAAACATTTAATTTTGTATCCTTAATATATAATTCCATATATTATTACTTATTCTATTTATTTTATTTAATCAACATGCTATTTTATACTCTACAATTTTATATTCAAGAATAAAGGGATTAACAAGCACCAAAATAAGCATAGTGGTAATATTACTGAAAGTACTAATATAATATGAGTATCTGTGTAGCATTCTTAGTTTAAATCTGAAATTAGTCTATACTAACTACCAATTTATTTACAAAAAATTCCAGAAAATATTATTTTAGTAATAGAGGGTTGATAGAATAAATAAAAAAAAACAAAAGAAGTCTTCAAACAAGTTTTAATGAATTTTTTCTTGTAAGCCTTGTTATAACTATTTGTGAGATAGAGAAAGTAATACAATACGTTCACTAGAATATATTAAATTACTAAGCTTGTAATTTAAATTATCAATCGATGTAACCAAATAGGGTAATTTTAAGATAGAGGAAATAAACAATCAAGGCTAGTTAAAGTAAAATTTGTAGGATCTCCAAAAGTATTAACTGGAGCACTAAGCTCATATGGATACTAAATTCCAAAAGAGAAAATTAATGAAGAAATCTAAAGGTAATGTACAAAGATTTTAATCCAAAAAGTGACTGTTTCACCTTAAGAACAAGATTTACTTGTAATGAGTAAATCTATTTTCCTAAATAAAATTAATTTTATTATAAATATCTTTTAATCTATTAAATCACCTACGCATAAGGTTAAATAAATTGAATAGCATATTAAAAATACTGTAAAGTAAATATATTGATATTTTAGCTATTTGCATAGAATACAATACTTTCCCTTTTTGCCATAGTAGTCTCCCCAAATCTATTTAGATCCGTCACAACTATCACATAATGGACCAATATAGCCTTCTAAACATCTATCTATAACTCTTAATTAAGTTTCTGAACATCCATCAGTTTAACAAGAGTAAATTTAATCAGTAAATAGACTTTCTCTCCAAAAACCATCCCTCAATACTATAGAATCCTTTAAGCATTAAATAGCTTAGCTTGGACAAGATTAGCATACTAAATTATCTATGCTAGATTTATTAGGTTCAATCAATGAGTATTTACCCTCTTAGCATGGATTACACCTATATATATATAAATTTATTTTTTAATAAAATAATTACCATAATTCCTCATTAATTAAAGCATCCTTTTATTAAGGTGATTTTAGAAAATTTTTGGAAAGTATTTCAATTAAAGGAAGGGTTAGATAAAATAAATTGGCTGAATTTTATTGAGTTTGCAATAATATTAATTAATATAAGCATAATTGATTGATTATTTTATAAAATTTAAAAAAATATTCTAACCACCTTTTCCTAGCTCTTTTGATAAAATTTAGGTGATAAAATATAAATTTATTAAATCAACAAAATAAATTACTAAATAAAGCCGTTTTATGACTGTTGAATCTCACCTCTTATGCAATCTCTAAAATTAAGTACTAAACTGTAAATTAATTAATATTCATTAAGAAGAGGATTAGATTAAATCTGAATCAATTGAGTTTTATTTTATTTATACAATAATTAAATTTGGAGCTAAAACACGCCAAGCTCAGCTCGTCTCTCTAAAGTTTATCCTTATTTAATTTGAATCATAGGATTTTTATCTATTTATACTTTTAGAAAGTAACTAATCAGTTCATTTTAAACTTCAAGAGATTATGGGTATTTTTCTGATGTAATGAAATTTAGTGGTTTTTATTATTCGTCATAGAAAGTAAAATAAATTTCCTCGCTGATAAGATTTCCACTCTAAATTTAGTTAATTTAATTGCTAGTTATCTCTTCAGACTTTGAGGTTACTCTTTAAATTTTTCTTGGATAAGAACCAATATCTTCCCCATAAAAAAAAACTATAATAAAAATTAATATAATTAATAATTTAATGGATAATTATTTATTTACCTTCATTTTTTCCAAATAAATTATTTTTAAAATATAATTCATCTTATAAAAATGTTTAATTGTTAGGACCGTACCATATTCCTCCTCCGATTTGTGCTTTGTTATAAAGAAATATAGAATTTTTCAACTCTATCAAGTCAGAATAGTATAAACCTATAGCGCCACCTCTTTCTAAAAGTGCACTGTTATTAGAAAAAGTCGAATTATAAATGGATATATTCTTAGATTGCTAAATAAATATGGCTCCACCAGAATTATTTTTAACTTTACAATTATTAAAAATGGTGTTATTTATTTAAGAGAAATAATTATTCTAGTTATTAATGTAGATTGCTCCTCCATAATCAGAAGAAAAAGAATTGTAGTAATTGCTGAAAATAATTTTTATGGTTTTTATTTACTATAAATAAAGAGCTCCGCCTAAACACTTTTATAGGCTCTTTTAATATTTACATGAGGTATTTATAAATTAAGAATATTATATTAATAAAGACTTAGTTTATGAACAATAAATAGCTGCGCTTGTTTCAGATTAGATTGATTCAAAAGTGCTATTAGAAATAGTTATTAAGCCACCTAATATATTCAAAACTGAACCTTATAGTAATTAGATTTTCTTAAAATTAGAATTTCTAATAACACCAGTAATCTAAGGCTTAAAAGATATACTGTCTATTGAAAATTAGGAATTCTATATTTTTAGATTATCAATATCCATTACATATGTCATCAAATTTAGAAATTCAAAATTTTAATTACAAAAACAGTTGCTTATTGTTATGTTTATCATCTAAATTGCGTATGTAAAGGACGGATTACTTAAATCATCCATCAAATAAGCAGATTTTAAAAGTCCAAAATTATGGTAGGAGTCTATTTCAAAATTAAAAAATTAATTTACATAGGATCCTAAAATATATATTAAATATCTTGATTAAACACTGTCTCTTTAATCTTGGTTAAAATAAGTTAAAATTTTACTATCCTAACTTAGTTCATAATCTCTTTTAGCTTGAAATTTTAATATTTTAAGTTAATTAATTTTTTTAAATGTTATAATACTACCAGAACCTAATTAAACATTTCTAATTATTATTTAATTGATGATAATACTAGAGCAATTTTAGAATATTAATATATCATATAATAAATTTGAATTATTAATTGTTATATTATTAATCTCTATTTTATTGATGTTATAAAAAAGTAAAAATTAGCCTATGGATGTATTTACATTTTAAATTAATAATTTATCTATATTTACTTAATCTACATTATTTATATTTATAATCCCATCCTAATTAGTAAAATTTTAATTTTATATGATTACTTCTTACCAGATTAGTTATTAGCAATCGCTTATATTCATAGATTAAGAATTTTCATTAAATTTTAGAAATGTTTTGTCAAAAACTATTTTTTTCAAATTTAAATAAGGATTTAGAATTAAAACATTATATTAAGCCATAATTTGAAGTTCAATATTTAAAAATATTATTGAAGCAAATTATTTTTTTATGAAACTGTTATCACTAATTACAAAAGATGTTATATTATCTTTTTCATTTTTCATTGCTGATTGTATTTAAATTTAGGTTTAATTTGTAAATATTTCATTATAATAAATTGGAATATCAATTATCATTTGTTAGACTTTATCAAAAGAAATTATATACTATCCTAATACTTTGTTTTGATAAAAAACGGCTGTTTATAATTAGAAATGCTATTTATTATTATAAAAATAAATTAGATATTTATTCATTTTATTATCAATTTAAATATAATAAAATACTTACCAATTCATTCGTTTGAATTTAACTTTATTGAAAAGTAACTTCTGCACTAACTATTTTGAGGTTTAGCTCTTAGTCAAGTTAACTTGCATTTATTTAAAATAAACTAGTGTCTGAATATCCAAATATTATTAATTCAGTTAGCTTATTGTTAGAATTATAATTTTTTTGGAAGAAAAGAATTGTTGAATAATATAAATTATTAAAAGCTTAAACTAATTCATTTTATTTTAGATTCATTTTTACTAAGTGAATACTTTGTTTTAATATCACAGCAAAATAATCACTTTCTATATGCTTAATATTTATAATATTAGAGAATAAAAATTAATTCACTTTGTAGTAATTGATTTTTTTAAAAGAGTTTTTGTCATATAAAAAAAAAGTAGATAATCCAATAAGATAAATGTATTCATCTTCTATCTTAATCACTTGCTAATCCTATGCAGCATTTTACATCATTCCTATCAATACATTTTAAAGTATATCATATATAAAAGTGGATCTATTTGTAGAATAAATTAGTTAGTATTCTGTTTTTACTTTGTTTACAGTAAAAGTTTGTATTTTATTGTTAAGTTATTACTCAAAAACTTATTAAAAAAAAAGACTTTAGGTATTATTCAAATATGTATTGTAAACTGTTAATTTTTATTAAATTTAAACTACTAGTAAGTTATCTATCATCGACATCTAAATTTAATTAATTAATAATTTAATATAATATTTAATTCAATTATAAATTACTTTATAAGGATAATTTATAGTATCTATAATATCAGATTCTAAAGATTTTGGCAGAAAGAAAAGAGTGAAATTTCTATTAAGATACTGGATTTGCATATATTCATCAGAGAAAATTTCTATATTTGCTATTAATTAACTTGGTTTTTGATAAACTGAATCAAATCCTTTGCTTAATTAATTAAACTTTAATATTTAAGATAGATCATTCAAGCAATAAATATTAAGTTTATAATATCTTAGCTATAAGCATCTAAATGGTATTTAATAAATTGTATAATTGTAAGATTAAATATCAATAATATGATATTCTTGCATAGATACAAATGTAATAATTCTATTTTATGATATTTTTTAAAAGAAGATACTATATTTTTTAGCTGTGTATTAACTTTAAATTTTTATTTATTATTTAAGTATCTGTGAATAAATTTCCTTTATTTCTATAACTCCAGAATTTTAGTTTAGCTGTGCTATAATATTGATTTCATCAAAAAATAAAAAGTTATTTTCAGTAGATATATTTAAATCAATTGGGCTGTAAGATAATGCAGTACTTACATCAAAAATCTGGAATGAGCTATCAGAGCATGAAATTACAATTTCATTTGTATCTTCAATAATATAGGATTATATTTGATAATAATAGCTTGAGTATTAATAATAATATGACAGCTGGTAATTTAATGTAGAAAATTAATAAACCTCTAATCCATTTGTTGATATTAAAATGAGCAAATCAGATAAGTCTAATAAGAATATATTCAAGTCATACTATATTTTATAAAAAACTTAAGGCGCAAATGTTATATTCATCAAATCTTTAGATAAAGCTATACAATTATTTAGGTATAAAATTGAGAAAGTATTTCCCTTCACGTAAATTATGACCTATAATTTTTAAAAATTAAAATGCTGAAAATAAATTTTAAAAAATTTACATTTTATTTTTCAAAGTAAACATAACCTAATTAATTCAGATAATAGTATTTACAGTTTATCTAAAATGTATCTAAATCAAAGGAAAGTGTAAATTTTTATAAATGAATTAACATTAATTAATTCATTTGATAATTATACTTGAATTATAATTAATCATAATTTTAAGTATAAATGCTTATATAATATTCGCTAGGCTAATATTTCTAAATTAGTTGAGCTCCTCCTTAATAAACTTAAAATTTTAAAATAGACTAATAAGAAATTATTAAAATGTTATTATCATTAACGAAAAGACCATCTTTAAATTAAATTTAGTCATTATTATTCAAGAACTGAAAGTATGTTCCTTGCTCATAATTAACAAAATATGCTTATTATTAATTGAAACTATTTAAAGTTACAAGGACTAAATTCAAATTTTAAAATAAATAAAAATTAAAACTCACATTGGTATTAAAATTAGAAGTCTATAAATCGATAGTTTTATTATTATTAAATAAATAAAAAATTAAAATATTATTGTAGTCTAATGTTACTAAAATATTTGTCCTGTAATCAAATATTTAATATTAAGTAAATCCTATATTCTTTATTAGCCCAAACTAAGAATTACACAAATCATTTTCATATGTAATGTAGTAATATTATTACTAATAAATAAACCAAAAAATTATATCAGCTTTTAATTCTTTATTCAAAAAAAAAAAAAATTTAATTTTAAAAGATTTTAAAATAATAAATTTACATATTTATTCAATAGTTTTCGAAATTAAATTTAAAACACCTAATTTATTTAACTAAATTAAACCTACAAATTTATCTTCAAATAAAGTTAATGGTCTTTTTTAGAGGAAAAAAGGATCTGTTTATAAAATTAAAGCATTATTTATAGTCAACTTTTGAGTACTATATTAGTTGTATATTATAACTTCATCGTTTTAGTATTAAATAAACTATGCAAAAAGGTTTTGGATAGTATTAATTACCTATGAAAATTTTTAGTCGTCCAAATTATAAAGATAAAATTTTCCCTATTAAGATTAATATTTGTGTGTATTTTATTTTAATTTTTTAATAAGGAGGATTTCTCAAACATTTTATTATTTATCAATTATTTTGAAATATCATTATTTTCAAATATGATATCAATTTTTTTAATTAAAAATGTTTTAAGGAATCCCCCTTCTTTGTTAAAAAAAATAATGCTTTTTAAAATTGAAAATATTTATTTATCTATTTTTAAAGTAATGATTTACCTATGATGGAATGTACACAGGGAAGTTTTATTTACTGTTGACTGACAAATTATAGAATTTTACAGGAACATATGGTAATTATATTTATGTTAGATTTAACGTCTCTACGTTATACATGAATATTGTTTGGTATGAACTGTATACCATTTATTTATTAAATTTAAAGAATTATAGTAAGTAATTATCATTCTGAATTTAATCAACAATTTAATTTTTTTAAATATCAAAAATCTAAGTATTATATCTACCACTTTAAAAAACACCTCTTTAAAAATCTTAAAAATATACTAGTAATATTCTTGAGTAAGTTAGTTCTTATACTTTTAATACTAGTTATTTATTAATTTGATTTTAGATATTAAAAATGGTTAAATAATAGCTAAACTTCCCTTAGCACTCAGAAATAATAAAGATATTAAATTCATCGATTATCTGAAAATAGTTAGAATAGTAAAAAGAGTTAATAAATTTTAAATTATTCTGTTATAAATTATATATTAAGACAGTGTTTTAGTCTGATATGATATAGATTAAGTCTTAAAAACTCTGCAATGCTTGTGTGTAGAATTGGTACAATAAATTATAGTTGAAATGATAACATAATATTCCTTGATTTTAATTTATTGTGTATAAATTAAATGTATTGTTTTATAATTAGATAGCTATTGTAATAAATTGATTTGTTTTTGCAGTTAAAATCATCTAAAAAGGTTAATCATCATAATTTAAATCTATGAATTCCACCAAATTAATATCGAATATCAAGCATTTTTTTTCTGAGTTACTTCCTAAAATTAAATAATTATCTTTTAAATCATAAATAAAGACATAGAAATCTAAATATTGAGTGATAGATTATTTTTTATTGTCATTAAATTTTATATAAAATCCATTTTCATATATTATGCATAACCCATCATAATTTTCTAAATTATAAACAGTTAATACAATTCCAAAGCTCTAATTTATCTTACCGCTTCCATATCTACTAAATACTTATTATTATTGATCTTAATTTGGATACATATGTATTAGTAGTAATTCATTTCTTGTAGCTAAAATAATATTTTATTATGATTCATCAAATTTTAATGTAAGAGGAGAAGGATAGTTTTTCAAATAATAATATTAGTTGCTAAAATTAAATTACTTTAACTCAACAAAATTATTTTAATTCTACTAGTAGACTTTAATCTTAAAATTAAATTGATTTTGTTAGAAAGTTATTAAGTGATTACTATCATACTAAACTATTAATTCACTTTCAAAAAATACGCTATTTTAAGGAAAAAGCTGCAATTAATCTATCTATACCGTTAAAAAACCTTTTTATAATAAATTTAATAGTTTTAAGAATTTTAAATTTAAATTTTACCGTTATTTCCTTAAATAAAAATAGCTTTTGACTAGTTTACAAATTTGCAATATTGTAAATTACCAAGATTAGGTTATTAAAATTAAGTAGCCTATATTTTAAAAATAATTGAAATACCTTTTTTTCATTTTATATTTTTAATTCTATTAATACCTCCCATATATTTTTATTTAATTTTTTTAAAGATAAATACACCTTATTTTTGAAAAAATAGGGAGGGAACTTAAAGTAAATAAATAAAATAAAAAAATTTAGTAAGTAAATAGAATACTTTTGTTTAATTAAATTGATAATTGCCTGAATCTTAAGTGCTTGATAAATAATAGCCAATTGAAGAATCTATTTTGTTGATAAGGAATAATTGAATATCGTTATTAAATGAAGAAGCACAAGCAACTTAGCTAATATTTTAGAATTAAATCAACACATTATAATTATTAAAATTCTAAGTATCAAAAGAATAAAGTAAAGATGTTATTTATTAGTAAACTAAAAGCAAATTAATATTGCTTAAAAGATATACATTAGTTTATTAATTATCATTATCTACTTAAGATTTCTTTTATTCAAACTGATAAATTTTACTTTATTTCAATATATTTACTATTAATTTTGGTTAGTAATCAAATTGTTATGGAGATTTTATAAAGCAACCAAAATTATCAGTATTTTAAGGTTAATTTTATAAGTATCTTTTTTCATATTATTATTCATTTAATAAGCTTATTTTTTCTTCAGCTTTTTAATTTTTCATTATTTTCTATTATAAATCACCAAAACGAATATTTTATTTGGCATCGAACTTTTATTGTTATAAAACCCTACTTTAAGATTACAATTTGAATAAATTAAATGGCTTACTATCTAAATCTAATATATTAAAATCATTTAAGTTATTTTAGATGCAAATTAAATAATTTTATTCAACAACTGGATTAACACATTGTTCTAGCTGGTAATAATCAATACGTGTAGTTTAAATATTTATTCTTGAGAAATTGTTTTAATCACTAAATATCACAAATATATAATCTCCTTTTAAGAAAGTAAAATAAGCAGTTTAGTTAAAACTTATTTCAAAGTAAGGTATTAAGTCAGGGTAACTATAATAAACTGCTTTTTCGAGGTCTAAAGCAATTACCTTTATTTTAAAATAATCCATAAGTTAAAAAATTAAAATGATTTTTAAAGAATATACATACAGTTGCTTAACGTTCAATTTACAGTATTCCTATCTAGTATATATCTAAATTATTTGAATTATTTAATCTAAGCACCTCTTCAGTAACACCATTAATTTTTCTAAATTTAAAGCATTACATAGAATTTTAATCTTAACCTTCACTACAATAAAGCTTGCAAGTATCAGTTTCTTAGTCATAGTATGTTTCTTCATTATTTTTGCATTTAGTGTTTTTGCAACTTGAACCATCATCACTTAAAATCCATCCTTATTTACATTTTAAGCAAACTTGTTCTTCATTACAGACCAAACAATTACTAACTAAGCAATTTTTGCATTCTCTAAAATAATGATCAGCGTATTATCCTTCCTAACAAGAATTTACACAACTAGATCCCAAAGACTCCTTTTTATTTATTGTAAATTAATTTGATTAACTAAATAATTTTTTATATTTGATGATGTTTACTTAATAGTACATTTACTGACAATAAATGCATCTCTAATCATCAAAACAGTTAAAGCAATCTTGCGAACATTATCCACATTAGGGTAGCTAAGAGCTATAGAATTATCCTTAAGCTTGGCAATCTTAAAGCTTTAAATATTGTGCAGATAATAAGTAGATATAATAAAATAAAAAAGCTAATGTCTTTTAAAATTGAAACATTTCTATTTATCTTTTAATTTTTACCTTTATTGATTGAATTTCTAAAAATATAGTTAATATGTGAAATGAAAACAAAAAAATAACACTATTGTTTATGTTAGTTAATATAAAACTAGGTTCTACTTATTTATTAAAACAGTAATTCTAAAAGCATATTCATAATCAAATAAAATTTATAAAAAAATAATAACTATATATATATAAAGTGAATTCAAACCCAAATGAATAAATATCCAAAAATGTTACTTTTTATTCTTTGAAAACTTCCCAAAAAAAACATTAAAATTTAATAAAATTATGCTTAACATTTTGAATAAGCAAACATATATAAGAATATAAGAATTATTTATTATTTCTTTTATTATATTGAAATTAATTTCAAGAAGAAGCAGGAGGAACTAAAGGAGTTTTGTTATGTAAAATGGGAGTAACTATTTAGTAGAAATAGGAAATATCCCTAGCCCACATAAATGTGCCATGACCACCTTCAATAACATACATTTCTGAATTCTACAACTTATTGTGTAATAAAGTTGCATCTGTAATATCAGCTATTCTATCATAAGCACCTGCAACTAAGTAGACTTTCTATGTAATACTGCTAATATCATATTCAGGAGCATGAATAGAACCATATTTCTTCAAATTTCCAATTAATCCATAATCAAATTTTTTCATGGAAGCATCCTTCTTGTTGTTGAGCATTTATTACCAATGCTCAATAGTTCTTGACTATTTTTAAAAATATAATTTTTGGAGTATTTCTAATTAATATAATTTAATCATACACTAGTACTAGTTGGGTAATGCCCAAGAATGACTTTAAATCTTTCTAAGTTATCAGTTTTAGGGTCAAAATTTGCTAATGCTTAATCAAACAAACCACAAAAGCTAGGGAAATATGCACATACTAGTTGAACAAAAGAGTTAACTTTCTATTTAAATAAAAATAATTTTTAATCACTAGAATAGATTTAAAATATGACAAGTATATTTATTATACTTGTTATTAATTTTATTTAAATTCATTTAATATTTGCTTATTTATTTGTGGTGATTAGTCATGATTAAAATAATGAAATTCTTTTATAAAAAACCTTATTTATTTTAAGTAAGATTTACGATGCATTTAATTATTTAATAAAGTGTAATCAAAAAAATACTTGTATATAAATGCATCATTTATACTTTTATTGAATCATTTATCACTTAAATAAAAGGTTTCTGAAAATCAATATAAAGAAAAAAGCTTCCTAACTAATTAAAATACAAAGTTAAATAAATGTGTTTGATTTATTGTTTTTATAGAAATTAGAGTGAAGGTATTTTCGAAGTGGTAAGTAATTGCTAATACTTTAATCTTATGTGTTTACTTATTATTTATTTTTAATTTTGGAGCAGTAAAAGAAATATTTATAGATAGATTTTGCATAATATAATAGAAAAATTATTAAGCTTTATTACCTAGTTTGGCATCATCACATAATTAATATTAAATTTACGGAGTAAAGCAGTCAACTTAACTTTTTTAATTAAATCAATGAACATAGCATCTGAGTGATTTACGTATGCTACAGGACCCATAGCTATAAATTTGCCAAGATATTTGCTAACAATTGGGTCTTTTTCAGATAAAGAAGCAAACATAATTGATGTACCTTTTTTGTTATTTAGTAATAGATTTTAATTTGATGTAGTTGGTTTAAGAATAACTAAATACCTTGTGAATGACCAATATAATCAATCTTTTCAGCTTATGTAACATTAGCAATATAGCTAAAGGCAGCTGGGAGGTCATACTTGCTCATTTCTTACCATGAGAAGTTCCAGTATTCAGGATCAGTCTACCAATTGAGGGAAATGTGCTCTAATGATTGATCATTACCTCTAGAGTTACCCATCCAAACATCAAAACCTTAATTGGCAAGAATGAATCCTGGTGCCTATAATCAAGATAATTTATCAATTAAAATGCATAAAAAATAAATATTTTATACCTTTGTAACTTCGTTGATAATGAAGTCAAAACTTGAGTCTACCAAACCATGTTGAAGATATACAACTGGTAAATTAGAGACAATTGTAGTTCCTGGTCTTTAAATACGATAATATGTCAAAATGTATCCATCTTAAGTGGTTATTTTGTGGATTTCTACTGGATAATTGTACTTTTGACAAATCTGAACAAAAGAATCATTAGCTAGTTCTTTGATATCATCATCAGATAATTGTTAACTTTGAACTTAGCTAAGAAGTAGCAAAGTAAAAATGAATAGGCTAGCTTATAATTTCATTTAAAGGAATCCTCTACTTTTATATTAAATTTCTTTTATAGATTTAATTGTTTCTAAAATATGATTAAAATTTTTCTTAATTTAATTAAAAGCAATGCTCACTCTCCTTAATGTACCAAAAAGTCTTTTGAATATTCAAAGGAATAATTTACTATTTAGCCTTTAAAATTGTGATCAGGAAATTAAATTTATAACAATTAAAGTAATAATCAAATACCATTTCTTAATTTGTATATTTTATAAGTAAATCCTATATTTATTCTATTTAATAATAAATGATATTAATTTTATTGACCATAAATTAATACTTATTAAGATATTTTTTGAGATAGGAAAAAGAAATTACATAGTCTACCAAAAGCTTATTAAGAAATAGTAATCAAATTCTTAAAGATTCATATCATAAATTAGAGGTTTACGGATTCTAATTTTTTAGTAGCAAAGCAAGATTTAAAAGTAAGATAAATTATTTTTTGAAACTTATATTATCTTAATCATATTATAAAATTAAATTTTAAATTTCTTTAAATTTTTTTGATGGAAATTATCGTATAATTTAAGTATTTTTATTTACCAAAAATCTATAGTGCAGATATATTTTAATTCTTGTTATTTATTCAAGTATATAATAAAATATTCATTTGTAGTTTATATTAATCATTTTTTCTCTATCGTTTTGAATTTATCTTAATAACTTTTTATTTGTTTATTTGTTTATTTATTTATTACTTTTCGACTAGATGAAATCATTATTAATTATCTTATTAAAAAATTATTTATGAAAAATTAATAGAAAAATATTTTTAAGCAATACAAGTAGCATTTTAATTATAGTTTTTAAATAAATTAATTAGTTTATTTAAATTATTCTATTATTTTATCCTATTTATTTTTAATATATAGGTGTATTAACATAATGGATATAAACAGGACTTCTAGCTAAATAAAATGGTATTTTGTATGTAAAATTTAAAAATATATCAATACCTAAAAAAACAAATAACTAACTATGCTTATTTTAGATAATTAATAAAAATATTTAATATTCATTAGGTAACAATACTATTTTTAAAAATATGTAAAATTTTATTTTGAATTCAATTAAATTTGTAAAAATCACATTCGTTTAAATCATTATAATTTTTCAACAGAAATGACTTGAAGAATATCTAAATATATAAAAATTTTTACATTATTTAAACAAACTATCATTATCTGTAAGGTTTATGGATTATCTTTTTCAAATTATTTAAATTTATAGTAAAAATCAATGTTTAAATATAATCCATAAATGTATAAAATAAAGTCAATATCATAACTCTTAAAATTATTTCCATATTAATAATAAAATTTTATTAAAATACAAATTAATTTACATATTATTGACTTAATTTATTCAAAAAAATTGTTTTTGATCATATTTAAACTTTGATTATTTTAGTATTAAGAAAATAAAATATGTAATCTTTTCTTCAAATTAAAATACAAAGAAAAAGTATAAAAATAATAAAAACATATTTAAACATACAATCATAAAAAAAGGAGTTTCTTAATGTTTACTATTAATAACTCTTCAAGCAAGAAAAATAAACACACTATTATTAAAAATGTAATTATCAAAACTCTACTTCGCTTTAAGATTTAAATAATATTTATGGTTGTCCGTCCTTTTAGTGTTGAAACAAAAAATTGAACTTTAAGAAATATTTGAAATGAATTATTTCAAAATATTTTTTGTAGTTAATTTTTTTAAAAATATTTGTTTTGATTGTAACTTCCTTAAATAATTATAAGGGTCTTAATATTTAAATTTTTATTTAAAAATTAAAAATGTAAGTTTAATTAACTTATCAGTTAATTTAATGTGATTCCTAATATATTTAAAAGTGATTGAATTTTATTATATATTTTGTATTAAAGATAATTCTTCATATTTTTAATGCTTATAATGTAAAAGTAATTATCAGAAATATTTAAAGAATCAAAAATATAGATCAAAATTAATTTTAGACGAAGAACATATTATAAAATTTAGCTTACTCAATAACGAAAAGTTGGTAGTTAATAAAAAATGTCAATTTACTTTTATTGAAAGTAATTTTGTTATTATTTAAAAAAGAAACTTAAATTTAGCGCCAAGTAAAGCAAACTAACTCAACTCAACAGAGGATCTATTATTTTTATGGGAGTAAAAATAGTGGTAAAACAAATTTTATTTTGTAAAGTAGAAAAATTATTAACTAAAATTAATGAGTGAAAAAAAAAATTAAAAATAGACAATAATCAAAAGAAAATAAAGATTAATTTGTATTATGGATTAATCAATTGGAGTGAGTGAGTGAGTGAGAGAGTTAATGAATATTTAAAAACTAATCAAAATATATACTAAAAAAGATTAAGATTAAATCATTAGTAATGAGGAATTGATGTACTTTATTTAGATTTTATACAAAATACAAACAAGAGTAATAAAGGTAATGTTTTGATAAATCTATATTTTGGTATTAAGGATTTCGTAAAATGATGGATATACTAACAAATTTATTAGTTGGATTAAATTTACTCTTCTTCTTATCCTTTTTAAAATTGGAGATGAGATAATATCAAGCTAGTTTGTTTGTTAATTTATAGATTGATTTCTTTAATTATTTTAGTTACTTATTAATTAATTCATATTAATAAATTGACTCTAATATTCATATTCATTCATTTTAAATAAGTAAATAGCTATCTTTTTCAATAATAATTAATTTTTAAAAGAAGTATATTAAGCTCAAAATATTTAAAAAAAAGAGTGTAACAAAAATAGGAGTATACCGCAATTAATGTATAAAAGAAATGAGTCAAAACAATCGTACGATTCACGTCTCAAGCTAAAATGATCGCAGTAAATCAAAGAAGCCTGAAAATTAAAGCAACAACAACAAAAATAACAATAATACAACCAATACCAATTCTGGTAGCGCAAACACAAACAGATTTAATGCCGAAGAGCTTGCTTAAGTGGCTGGATCAATTTTACACCTTGATCAGTCTCGTGAGCCCGTTAAATAAGAGACATAAGTTACAAATATATTCAATTACTTGAAGCTTTCCTTCCTAAGCACAAGAGAGAGATAAGATTAGTTTATGGTTTTACTTAATTCATCATTAAAGACAGCTCTTTTTATGATGCTTGAATGGATTCCTTTCTTAGTTTAACTCTATCATATTGGTAAAATTGATGATCAGGAGAAAACTGGTGGTTTTGGTATGGGTCTTGTATGGTCTAACTGTTTTGCTGTTGGTCTATTCGGTGGTTTAGGTGTAGGTGTAGAAACTCTAGCAAGTTTTGCCTATGGTGCCTAAAAGTAATTCAATGAACTTATTTTGATTTTTTTTAAATTCTAATTTAAAATGCCATTTTATATGAAACTTTTTTATCAAATTTATATGCATTAAAAATAAAGACCCCCACTACTAGATTTATCATTCATAAACAAACAAACAAATTATTAATTGAGTTGTGTAGCTTTTTTGTTTTGGGTTTATTAATAACAAATTTATTAATTGATTAATTCATAAATTTGTTTTTTCATATACAAATAATATTTCCATAAATATTTGGTCTGTTACCCAAAACTATTTGCAATAGAAAGAAGGCTCATTTGGAATTTCATCATATCATATTTATAAATAGATTTCCCATTAAATTAAAAAAGTCTTTCACTCAAAATTAATTTATTTTTTTGCATCATTAATAAATGAATTACTCATCAATCAACCTAAATATAAAAATATATAAATTTATCTGGGTGCATAAATTAGTCCAAACATTAAAAATAGACAAAGCAAAACTCAATTAATTCATTTTTTTGAGAATAATATAAAATCCTCTTTAATTTTATCTATTTTTACCTTCAAAAATATGTTTGTTTTTTTGATAATACCTAAAAATGAACAAATTTTTTTATACTATTACATTGATCTTTATTTTAAATAATATTGATAATAAAATAAATTAAATTTACTCCAAAAAACATATTAGTTCTTAAGTTTAAAGAAGATTTTTTAAAAAATTATTAATAATCTTAATTTATTATAATAGATATAAAATGACAGGAGTTATATTCTAAAGAGGTTTTGCAATAGCTACAACTGCAATGATTCCTATCATATTATTGATGTGGATGTCTGATGATATTATAACTTTTGTAAGTGGAAAAGCATCTCTTGGTAGATATGCAGCTGATTACTGCAGATGGGGAATTCCTGCTTTTTACTTTAGTGGAATTTATAACATATTTAAAGGATTTTTAACTGCGTAAAATGAATATAGTTTACCCCTTATTACTGTAACAATAACAGCAATATCTTCATTCTTTTGGAATTGGCTTTTTATTACTGAGTTTGACCTCTGTATAAAAGGTGCTGCTATAGCTCGTATTATTACTGAAGCTATGAATCTATCTATAGTTTATTATTTAGTCTGTAAAAATAGAATTAATGAACGTTGTTCTATTTAACTTACAAAGCTTGCTTTCTAAGAATGGGGAAGCTTTTTGAAATTTGCAATCCCTATCGGAAGTCTTTTGACTCTCGAGTGGTTTAGTTATGAATTATTTACTTTGTAAGCTTCAAATCTTCCTGATGATTAATTTGGTGCTCACGTTATTATGAATAATATTAATACTGTTTATTACTAATTCGGATATGGAGTATCTATAGCTATTACTACTTATGTAGGAAATGAAATGGGGAATAAATGCATTGAAAAAGCTCTCGATTTCTCCAAATAAGGTATTATGATTATCTGTACCTTCTTAATTCTAACATAATTACCTTTTACTATGATGAAGGATTCCTATGTTACTTGGTTTAGTGTTGATATTCCTACCTAGATATCTCTTGGTGAATCATTTACTCTTTTCTAAATATGTATGATTCTTGATGCCATTCTTGCTGGTGTAACAGGTGTAACTAGAGGTATAGGAAAGTAAAATTTTGCAGCAGCTTCATTTGTTGTTTCATATTTGGTGATTGGTCAAATTATTGCTTATTTTCTTGGTTTTACTTTTAATATGGGTATCACAGGTATCTGGATAGGTGTTATGTTTGGTATGATTGTTACCACTGGCGCTTAAATATGGTGTATAACTCAATCAGACTGGAATCATCTCTTATAAATCATTCAAGCTAATATCGAAAGAGATGAAAAACGTAACATGGAACTTATGATGTTAGAGGAAGCAAATGCAGAACCATTACTTCCAATTAAAGGAGAAGATATCTCTTAGGCTGAGCTAGAAGCTTTAGCAGCTAAAACAGTAGAAATAGAAATGAAAGAAATTAAACATACATCAAGTTGATTAATTAAAAAAATTAAAAATCATATTTACCAAATATGTGAATTTTTAATTAACTTAATTAAATCTATGTATGGCTTAAATCAAAACTTATATGAACATACATATACATATTGAACATATTCAAACATTGAATTTAGATTCAACTTATCACAAAAAGCATGGAAAATAATAACAATAACATTTACTTCCTTTAATATAACAAAGTTTCTTACATTAAGATTATTTACTACTTAATTAAATAATTTATTTTCTATGTAACTTATAACTATTATATTTTTCATCACACTTCATTCACATTTCTCTATAATTAATTGTATCATTTTTATGATCCTTTTAGTGCGATCTTAATATTTTTTTATATGCCAATTATTAAACAATTCAACATTCTTCTTTTCAATAAAATCTTCTGATAAAAAATGTAGTAAAATATTTTTAAGATTTTAAAGTTCTTTGTAAAAATTGGATTATCATTCAAATTAGGTTTATTTATTAAAAATAAATAAATGAAAAATAGGAGAAATAATATTAAAATTTAAAGAAGATTATTTATTTGCAATGATAAAATGATAACAATAAATTAAAATATTGTTTTAGAAAGTTTAAAAATGATGAACTAAAGCTGATTAACTGACTTGACTGGCTGTCTATATATCAAAACACAAATTAAAAAAATAAATCATGCTTATTATTGATTATATTATTTTGATATTTTTATTTTATAATTCTAAAATATATCAAGCAAATAAGACCAAAAGTAAACCAAATAAGGAAGAGATTAGTATTTTTGATGAATTAATACAAGCTGAACCATCTGATTTGGCTTTTTGCTTAGTATTTCCACTACAAGTTTAGCAATCTTAAGTGGTCCACTTGACACTGTTTACATTTCTATTATTACAAGAAGCTGAGGATTAAACGCAGGTATTCATAGCAGTATTAGCATAGTAGAGTGTTCCTTTACAAGATTAACAGTATGAATCAGTAAGATTTGTAGTAGAACAATCACAATTAGATACAACACAAGAAGGTTATGTACCACTCCAAGCACAACCTTAAGGTAAAGGATAGCTTGCAGGGCAAGCAGTAGTGCAGTCAGCAGTTCCAGTACCACAGCTAATTGCATTACCAGATGCAGCATAAGTGACTGAAATAATCAGTAGAGACAATGTTAAAACCTTTAATGACATTTTTATTTATTTTTTTTAATTCTCTTAATAATTTTAAATATCTTTAATTTAATTAATTATTATTTCAAAAATGTATCTAGATCTTTTAGGTAAATTTAAATACTACATCTTTCTTTATTAATTAGTAGAAATATTAATTAAAATTAATCTATTTGAGTTTAATATATAGAAAATACTATTAATTAATAAAGTTATATTGCACTTGAATTATTTATTAGTTTGCCAAAATAATATACATACTATAAATCTTCATTTTTAAACGCCCTGTTGAATAATTATTTTCTAAGAAAGATAAATATATTAAAAGATTTTTATAAATATGAAATTTGTAAACTTTTTTTCATAGTGTTGTGTGCTATTATTGATCAATATATATTTAAGAAATATTTTGAAAATTAAATTTTAATTTAGAGGTTCAATAAATGAATTTTGAAAAGAAAAGATATCAGAAATAATTGCAATTTAAATTGTTAATCTTTTTTTCCATATTAGAAATGAATAGATATTTTTTCTATTTTAATTGAGTTACAAAATTTTCTTAATTATTATTCTTTATTAAAAATTAGTAATCAAAAAATATTTAGGTTAAATTTGTAAACACTCAATAAATTATTTTTCTTTATTATATTAGCTAAATAATTATTAAAACATTTTTCAGTAATGATAAATTTGCTTTTTAATAATAATCTTGCTTAGTTATTTACATTCTAATTGTTTTTATTTATATTATTAGTAGTAATAAGTAATTAAAGAATTTTTATACTTTAAAATAAAAATCTTAATAATTTTAACATCATTTGATTTAATAGTTTATAAAAGCATTTAAAAATACTAGATAATTATTTTTTTTATAAATAGAAATTTTAATTAACTTAATTTCAAAAATAATCATTTTTATTATTTGACAAGGGTTCCTTATTTAAATAAAATATTTTACATTTAAAATAAAAATAATAAAGAATCTTTCAAGAAATATCAATAATATTCAATAGGTAGAAAAAGAAAGTTTTTATCAGAAAAGAAAAGTAATTTTCAAGAAAGTAAATTAATCAAATTAGTAAAAAGAATATAATACTTGGTAATGCATGATCAAATTTCTTTATTATTTTTTACATTCATATTTTATGTAAGATAGTTAACAGAATTAATCAAAAAATTCATTATTGTGAGTTATTAATTTTTATCTGCATTTACATCTCAATTTTTACAAAACATTTTTATCAAGTTTAAAATTTAGTTCATACTTTTGAAATTCAAATTACTAATAGTTAAAAAAAAAGTTTCTATTTCATTTTTTTAAATTTATTTTGTTTGCTCTCAAAAAAATAAATAAATTTCTTTCTAATTTATATAAGACTAATCTAAATTTTATTTTTTAAAATGAGTAATAATTTTTAAGATATTTTAACAAAATTTTCTTATTTAAAAGAATTTAAATGGCATTTTAATAAAATTTTTATCAAATATTAAGAGTATAATTAACTTGATTTGATGTTGATTAAAATTAAACAATGTTTAAAGTAGTATATAGAGATAAATATCTTTAATTTAATAAATATAATCAATGTATTTTATTGAGGCTCTAACTTTTAATCATGTGTAAATAAGAAATTCATAATAAATATTTAATAAAATTTATTTATTTTATATTTTTAAATAAAATAAATTATCATCTAAAATTTTGATATAACCATATATTAAACAACAAATAAATATTCAAAATATTTTAAAATCAATATAAAAATTATATAAATAGCAAAAATAAGAAGCCTTTTTAAAAATTTTTGAATAGAGATTGCTTTGATTTTTGAACTAAAAAAAAATTAATTTAAAACATATGCAAAGAAGAATTTAAACCAGTAATTAAACACTTCTCACTCGATTGAATAAATTCAAACTATTTTTTTATAAATTAAATTGAAAATATTTTTTCAATAGATTTTGTGGTTGTGGATATATTTGTTTTCTGTTTAAAGTATTATTCTTTTAGCTCAAATTAATAATGAATTTCAAGATATTCTTGAGTTATTAATTAATTTGGAGTATGAATATTTTATTGTAAATTAAACATTTAAAAATGAACAAATGAATTATCTTATAAACTTTAATTTAAATACTGCACCAACTAATATAAATTTTGCTTATTATTTTTGTAAAAGAAATTAATTAATTAATAAATAAAGAAATATTTTTGTTTTGTTATTGCAGACATCAAATTATAAATTGATTATTGCTTTGTCCAATCACTAAATTAATTTGATAGTTAGATTCTATCTAAAATTTTAGATAAATTAATTATATATAAGTTATTCTAAATGAATCTAGCCTAATACCAAACTCCTCTATTTTAAAAAGATAACGAAATTCCCTCTTCGGGTAGAGAGAGCTCTGGAAGGGGTTTATATGACCCGCCTTTGTTTAATAACAAGCAAAAAAAGGAAATACATTTAGAGCAATATATAAATGAATCTTTCAATTAGGAATAAGAATAAAAATATTCCTAATCAGCAACTAATAAGAAAAAAAATGATACGCAAAGATAAAAAAATGTTGAACGCATTTTGGGTAAACCGTAAAAGAAATCTTTGAGTGAAAGTGGAAGTGTAGAGGAATATAAAATGTAAACAGATGATAAAGGAAGTGGTAGAGGTAGCTTTGAAAATAACTTTAGAGAAAAAAATGCTCTTTCTAAACATACTATTTTTACTTAAGGTGAGCATACATAAACATCTTTAACTACTTCTTACATTATGAATACAGATTTTTGGGCTTTATCATATACAAAAAATTAAAACAATAAAAAAAGCTATTTTATAAAACTGCTATTGCTTGCTGGGCAAAGCGCTTTATTTTTACTCCTTGAGTGGATTCCTTTTATTATATCTTTGCATTTTATTGGCACTTCTGATGACTCAGCCACAACTGGTGGATATGGAATGGGTATTGTTTGGTCTAATTGTTTCATTGAATTTATTTTTGGAGGTCTTGGCTTAGGTTTATAAATTTTAGTCATGCAAGCCATCTAAGAAGAAAGGTAAATAAATACATATTTATAATTAGATTATATTGATTAATACATTTTTATTTTCAATTTACTAAGTAAAACATAATCAAAATATTTGCGATAAAATTCGATATTAGATTCACTCTAGTATTACTCTTAATTTTATATTTTAAATACCACAAGTATCTCTAAAATGACAACCCATTTGTGCATTCTATCAATTTTGAATTTTTATTATTTTTAATTTATAAAATTTTAATTAATGGAGAAAAATGATTATTTGTTGATTTTATAAGAAATACATTAAATAAAAATAATATTTTTAATGATAACTAATTAAAAAATAGAATGAACTAAGCTATGAATTTGTTTAAAAAAGGAATAGTAATTGTAACTATATCTATGATTCCTATTTCGATTCTAATGTTTTTATCAGGATTCATTATTGGAGGTATCAGTGGAAACAAGCAACTTGGAAACTATACCTATTAGTACTGTACCTATGGAATACCAGCTTTTTATTTTAATGGTATTTATAACATTCTAAAAGGATTTTTAAGAGCAAAAAAGCAAGGATTTCTCGCTTTTATTTCTATTAGCTTTGCAGCAGTCACTTCCATTTTCTGGAATTGGCTTTTTATATTGAAGATTGATTCTTAGTCTGAAGTTATTGGAGCAGCTCTGGCTAGAGATATTATAGAAGCAATTAATGTTATTATGCTCTTTATTTTCCTTTACATAAAAAATAAAAAAGAAGATAAGTTCTCTTTAAAATTTACTAAATTGGCTTTCAAAGGATGGTCTGAATTAACTAAGTTTTGCTTACCCATCGGCGGTTTGCTATTCTTAGAATGGATAGGATACGAGTTATTTACCTTCTAGGCAACTCACTTATCTGACAGCGAATTTAGTGCTCATGTTATTTTCAACATCTTTAACACAGTTTATTACTAAGTAGCTTATGGAATATCTATTGCCATAACAAGTTAAGTCAACCAAGAGATGGCTGTTTCTGATTTAGTTTCTTCATTGAAATATTCTAAATATGGAATTCTTATCACTTTTATTTATATTTTTATTACTATGCTTCCTATGGCTTTCCTTAGCGGTCCTTTTTCAAGAGCTTTTACGAATGATAGTTAATCGTAGTAAACAATTTAACAAAGTTATGGGCTTTTCCTTACTTGTTTAGCAATGGATGCTGTTTTAGCTAGCATTGTTGGAATTACCAGAGGTATTGGAAAATAGAAAATAGCAGCAATTATTTTTATCCTTTCATTCCTAGTTTTAGGATAAATATTAGCTTCTATATTCTCTTACTTACTAGAGGGTGGTGTAGTGGGGATTTGGTTATCAATATTGGCATCAATTTTCATAGCAAACTTTTCATAAGCTATATGGACAGGGTTTACTGATTGGGAAAAATCATTAATTGATTTACAGAGTGTTAAGTAAAAGGAAGAAAAAGAAAGAAAAAGAATGATGTTAGAAAGAATAAAGTCTCATAACTCATTAATTTAGTATGAAGATTAATACTTAGATACTGACGAAGATATAAAGCACAGAGAAGAAAAATCTTAAGCAATATAACCTCATCCATCTAATAACTAGCTAGAAAAATACAATACAGATTAAGTCATATTAGAAAAAGAAGAAAATAATAGCACAATTAACAATACAAGTAACAATACATTTTTGGGTAAATTAAGTAGTAAAAATAGTAATAAAAATAACTCAAATACAATTAATTCTGAAAACAATAATGATTTCAGTCATTAAGACAACACTTCATCCATTTTCAAATAAAATGCAATAAATTCCTCAGATAAAATAAAAGAGAATAGTTTAGAGGATTTATCTGATTAATAGAGTAGACATAACCTCTAAGATATTACAGAAGAAGATATATCTCAAAATTCAAAAATATAAATGTGAAAGATAAATAGATAGATAGATTGCTTGACTGATAGATCATCAAATCTAATCAAATAAATAAATAAATACATCAATCAATTATAATGTATTAATAATTCTTACAATTTTAACAAAATTTCCTAATTATTTATATAAATATTAAAATAGTAAAAACTTCACCTTGCAAAAAAATATCTTAACAAATTGTATTTTTTATTTTATAATTAAAACAAAACAACAAAAATATTTCAATCAATCAATCAATCAATCTTTTGTTTTAATAATATCTTTCTACATTAATAAATTAATTTTTTTTGAAAGAAAATAATATTTTTATTTATTTGAATATATTAGATATTATTTTGTTGTTAAAATGCATGCATAAATACACACATTCATACATACATACATAATCTTTCAAATAATTTTATTTTGCAATATTATTATAATTACTATTAAATAGAGCATAAAAAAATGTATTGAAAAATTCCTTATTTTTTTTATTTATGAATCTTTTTAATTGAAAAATAAAGATGGCTTGTCTAGCTGGAATTATTTATATTTTTGTTTGTTTATGATAAGATATTAATAAATTCAATATAATTGGCTGAATCTTTTGATTTTTAATTATTGATAAATAACTTTACAAAATTTACTTAATATTGATTTGGCTTTGAATTAATTACTAATTCTTAACATTAATATTTAGTTTAATAAAATCTATTTATTCAAAATATCTAAAAGCAATTTTATTTAAATCCATGTCTTCAGATAAGCAAGAAGAGAGAATCTATTATGGTTCTCTTGAAGAATAGGAGAGACAAAGAATAATAGATGAAGAAAAGCAAAAATAAGAAAGAAAATAGCAATAAGCTTCTCAATCTGCTCCTAATAGCAGCTCAGATTAATAATAATCATAATAAGTCTAAACAGGATAATTAAAAAGCTTGGGAGGAAAGTAATTAAAATCTTTAGCTGACAAAGATAAGTCACAAACAAATGTGTAGATAGAAGTATTGGAATTATCAGAACATGCTCTAGAAGAAAAGAGAAGACATGATGAAAATATGAGAAAGTTAGAACTTCAAAAAAAAGCATCAACTATGATTGTACCTACAAATGATAAAGAAGTAAAATATAGATTGAGATAATTAGGTCATCCTATTTGCTACTTTGGTGAAAATAATGCTGACAGAAGAGAGCGTTTGAAAAAGGTTTAAGCTGAATATATTATGGAACACGGCGATTTACCTCAATTTATTAAATTAGAAGAAAAGCAAAAGTAAAATGATGAGAATGAACATTTCTACTACCCAGGTATTAAAGAATTGAAAGAAATTAGAGAAGAAATAGCTACTTACTCTCTTCTTAAGTCTTCGCGTAGAGTCTATAAATCTAAAGTTGGTAGAATGGAGGAAGACCCATTAGTAGAAGAAAAAAAGCAAATTAGTTCTCTCAACAGAGCTATGAAATTTGATGTTTGTGTTAGTTAATTCGCTGATTCAAGTATTGTTTTAAGAGGTGCTTTTTCTCCTGAATGTGATCTTTTAGCAACAGCAGGCGGTTCTGGAGTCTCCAAAATATGGAATATTCCTAATTCAGATTTAAAATGCAGATTAGAAGGCCATCTTAGTAAGGTCCATGATATTGTTTGGAATCCAGAAACAGGTAGTATGAGTCATAACTCTTTTGGGCATTTGGCTACAGGATCTAGTGATACAAATATTCGTTTATGGACTATGGACCCTGCTGCTGAATTATAAAAATCAATTGTTTTAAGTGGACATGAAGATAGAGTTAATAGACTCAGTTTCCATCAAACAGGAAAATATCTCTTTTCTACTTCTCACGATATGACTTGGCGTTTTTGGGACATCGAGCGTCAGAAAGAAATTTACGTATAAACTGGTCATACTAAAGGAGTATATGCTAATGCACTTCATCCTGATGGATCTCTTATTTTTACAGGAGATCTCTAAGGTTATGGAATGATTTGGGATTTAAGAACTGGTAAAGGTATACTACCTTTTTCAGGTTATCATGTTAAAGGTATTTTAGCAGCTGATTTCTCTGAAAATGGTTTCTAATTTGTAACTGGTAGTGAAGATAATACACTTAGAGTATTCGATATTAGAAGAAGGGCTTGTATGCATACTCTTCCTGGTCATCTTAAACTTATCAGTGATGTTAAATTTTAGAAAAATGGAAGCAATTACTTTGTCTCTGTTAGTTATGACAACACACTCAAATTATGGAATGCAAAAGACTTTTCACTAGCCAAAACATATAAATCCCACGAATCTAAAATCACTTCAGTTACCTTGGATTAATCTCAGAAGTATTTTGCAACTACATCTCTAGATAGAAAGTGGATGTTATGGGAATATAAAGATTTCTGATAGTTAGATAGATAGATAGCATATAATAAAAAAATAGAAATTTAACAAATTCCTAAATATTTAACTTGTTTATATATACTTAATCAATACTTATTTTTAAATCCTTTTATAGATATTTATTAAATTATAAATCAAAAAATTACTAAACTAGAAACTTATTAGGCTCTTTCTTTATTTATTTATTTAGTTATAAATACATGTTTTTTCATTTACCAATTTGCATTTTAAAACAATTCTCATTTTTTTCTAATTTATGTTTAAATTGAAGGATTATTCTATTTAGAAAATATCCTAGTTTGTTTTTTTAAAATGTATGTATGATTTAATTTTACATATATTTATAGCTAACTCACTATTGTTTTACTAAATTGATATTACTTACTCAAGAAATAATTTTCATAAATAGCTATTTTTGTTTTTCTGTATTTTTCTTCATTTATTATAATTAGGTGTGATAAATAATCAAAAAAACAATAATAAATCGCTATTATTTGATTTTAGGATCAGTTCTCATCACAGGTAAATATAGTAGATAAGAAACTAAAAAAATTTTCGATTTTCGGAAGTTAAAAAAATTAAAAATTAAATTTTTCCACTAAGAAATTCATTTTTATAAAGTATTTAGTTTAATTTAATTTATAATGCAGGAATGTTAGAAAAATGTTTAATTAAATTGAAAAATAAATTTTTAATTTGTAATAAATACTTTACTATTCGTTTTATAAATTGGTAATAAATTTTTATAAGACAAAGAAGTTGAAATTAAGTTAATTTTTAATTTAATTAAAATCTTTTATTAAAAAGTTATATTTTATTTTTAATAAATTGTGAGTTCGTCAGAAACTGAAACTAGTTTTTAATTAGACTAATTTTTTGATTTTCTTCAATGCATTTTTAAAATTAATTTCTGAACCTCTTAAACTAAAATCGTCTTGTCTTGTAATAAAAAAATTTTATATTAAAAATTAAATATGTTAAATTAAATAAATAATTTGTGGCTTTAAAAAATTTAAAACTACTTAAAATAATTTATCATCTCAATTAAAATTAAAGAAGTCTAAGTAAATAAATAAATAAAATTAATTTACCCAAAAGAAACTGAAACTGTTCTTAAATTTTTAAAGGATGCAAAGGCAGGTAGTAATTCAATTAATGCATAGTCATTTATGTTGTTATTACTTTTAAAATTTTAATTAAAAATGTAAAAGTCTTACTTGAGTTATTTTAATAAAATAAATATAAAATAAAAATGAATTGTGATTTACTAAAGAGCAAGGATTAAATTTTATAAGCTTTTAGATTTAGCTAAATTTATAAATAAGGCTATAGCACCTGCATTTTAAATACTGTTTGCACTTTGTTACGAATTTCATAAAAATTAGTTAATAAGTTTTAATTAAATAATTAAAAAAATAAATCTTCTATTAAGCTTTTAAAATAAAACAATAATTAAAAAAAATTAATCCTACCCTAGATTCAGAAGCAAATATTTAAGCTTTAAGCAATTAGCTAAACTTGAGCTAAGGTTAGAAATACCTTATTTACGAATATTGTTGGTACTTTAAATTAAAATTTTTATTTAAATATTGTCACTAATTAATTATATTTCACATAAATTCAATATAGCAATAAATCTTTTTTGATATTTATTAAAATTAAGATAAGATAAGTGATTTACTATAGACTAACACTTAATGCTTCCAGGTTTTTACAGTTTTCTAAACCTTATCCCAACGCAGAAGCCCCTTTTTCTTATATCTCAATCTAACTTTTATCGTTAAATAAGTAATATATATAATTATATTAATTTGGAATATATTTTTAAAAACTTTGTTAATTAGTTTGTTAAATAATTTTTTAATTTTTGTTAATAATGAATTTTATTTTATTTACTATAAATTTAAAGTTAAATCTTTCAGATTCTCAAAATTGACTAAATTTTAACTCAGAATAGAAATTCCTTCATCTCCAATTTTGTTCTGACTTTTTATAAAATTAAAAGTAAATTTATTTGATAATCAATCTATACCTTAAGTCCTTCAATTTATTTATTTTTAGAAGAACTATTTGTAATTTTGTAAAAATATTAAAAAATTTTTTAAAGGTTTTTGATAATAATTTTTTAGATATTTTATATTAAAGATTTATGGTATTTTTAAGAACCTTTTTATATTTTCAGTATTTTATTTTATTTATCTATTAATAAAAATTATTATTATATTATTTAATTATTTATTACTCTAAGACAAGAAACAAACTCTAGAGACTCTTGATGTTTACTAAAGGCACTATGAATCCTTATATGCCCTAAGCCTTTATTTAGTTTTAGCTTTAAATAAATATATTTTATAATAGATTAAACTTTGTCAATTATATTTTAGGAATTACAAAATAAAATCTTAAAAATTAAATAAATAAAATTAAAAGCTGATAGAAAATTAGAAAGATCTTTTACAATAACTAAAGTTTTAAATTTTAAAGGTTTGTACAATTTCCCAACCCAGAACCTAAGCAAGTAGCTTCAATGTCTTTAAAATTGTTTTGGCTATAATATTATATAAAGTAAATTATAATAAATAAATAAATAAAATATTTTAAAGTAATTAGGTAAGAAAGTAAGAAAAATTTTAAGCTTGTTTTTCTATAAAAATGAGAAGTTATGCATTAGAAAAGTTATTTATGATCTTAATAATAAATAAAGCTTACCTGATGTAGAGTTCTAAGGTTTACAGCTTTTTGCAGTTCGAAAAGGAAGTAACTATTTCCCTCAAGCTTTACTCGTTAAGATTTTTACACCTTTATTAAAATTTGTAAAAATATTCTAAGAAATGAGTTTATTAATAAATTACAAAATCATGATACATATATATATTCATACATACAAGCAATATTTAATAATTTTAAAATATTTTTTTATTTTTAAAATATAAAGGAAAGAAATTATGTTTACTATAAATGAAGGATAAGTACTGATAAGTTTTTGCATTAAGATATAGAAGAGCTTAAATTTGATATTGCCTATTTATCTATTTTACAATATCTATTTATAAATTATTAATATTTTTAAAGGAAATTTTACTTTTTTAAAATAAATTAATTTTCCCATTTAAACAAAAATCAAAGGATTTAAAATTATTTTTAAAAATCAAATTCGATTATTAAATAAATTAAAGTTTAAGATGTAATTTTTTTTTTCAATTCTAATTTATTGATCTCAATTAATTTTTTATTACTAAAAATCTAAAATAATATTTTCATGTGCAGAGAAGTCAGAGCTGATAAACTTTTGATAATAAAAAAATAAAATATTAATATATGAGAGTACACATTTATATTAAATACATTCTCTACTTCTTTGAATACTTTAGAATTCGATATCATTTTTATTCTTTTGAATTATTGAGTTTGTTTGTTTTTTAGTAAATAAATAGACAAATGTGTTAATTTTTAGTTTATTCTCTTTAAAGTTGATTAAAAAGTAAGTTTAACAACTATTTTATATTAAATTCTTTCATTCAGTTTTTTAAATGAAAAATATATTTTTTCATTTTAATATAAAAATTCATCTATTTTAAAGTATAAATTATTTTTATCTTCTTTTTTAATATTTTGTTTACCCTTTTTTAAATACCCTCTTTCATAATATGCATTAAGATTATTATAAAAAATTAAATATGAGTTAATTTTTAAAATGCCTTACAGATTTATTCAAAATATATTCAAGGACAATCAGATATTGTGAACAAATTTTGATAAAATTTAAGTGCTAGTAACTATTTAGTAAAAATATGTAAATTTTGATAAAATATGAAGCTCTGATACTGATAGGATTATCTTTATATTCATACATATACAGAAATTTATAAACAAAAAATTGAAAATAACTTTATTAATTTTACGTATATTTATTGATTTACTAAAAAATACAAAATTATTAAATAGCAATCACAATAAAGCTTCTTAAATTTTTAGGAATAACCATAAGTGTCTTAGCATAGCTTTATATCTGATTCTAGTTCAATATTTTAGCAATGCAATAATTTTTAAGTTAATACTCATAATAGAGATAGCCACTCTAATAAATCTTAACATGAAGAAGGTACTTAGTAAGATAGTGATTAAGAACTAGCTAAAGTATAATTTATAGTAAAACCATTACCAGCAGCTTTAAACTTCTAAATTGATATTAATTCTGGGTTGTAAATTACAAATGATGGTGTTATTAGGCATTTCATATCACTTTATCCAGTTTATTTTGGGTTTAACTAATATGAAACCTATTAAATAGAAGATCTTTCAGATAATTATGGTTTGGTCAAAATAAAATAGTATGGTATAGAAAAATTATCATTCAGCAGTTATTAGTATGCTTTATAATTTCTTTAGCATATGCCAAATATCTAGCTGCAATTAGCAAATCATGTATTTAGCCTTTGTGAAGCTTATATTGATTAAGTAAACTAATATTAAGCAAAGCAATAAATATCTGAAGCTACTTATTAATAAAAAGAAGAGGAGTTTGAGAGGTTCTAGTAAATGTGTATGCTATTTCTTTAATAGATTAGCAAATAAAATAGCAATTTAATGTACACCTACTAAATAGCGAGATTAAGTTAAAAGCATAATGGTTTAGATTTGTAAAATTATGGATATTCAAAATCATACTTAGAACTTTTAGGAATTAATTAAGAAACCTTTTCATAAATAATACTGAGAAGAAAATAAATAGATCTTATACCTAAAAAAGTAGATATATCCAACTAGAGTTTAGCTTCCATATAAAGCTTTAAAACTGAAAATGGAGATAACCATATATCTGAAATTATCACTTTTGATGGATTTTAAATTAAATTATTCTTTAAAACCAAAAATTATGGCCATCTTTTTCCAAATAATGAGGTTTTAGATGGTAAAAGCGAGTATTTCTTTTTCATCACAGAAATAGATGTTAATATGCAAGATTTAAATTAACTTATTAATTATAGATAAAAATTAATTGATCATTCTAAACTCACCTATGATGATTTTATTAAAAAAGAGCTATCCTATCTTTTTGAGGATGTAGAATATTCAATACACTCATAGGCATTCTTAGAGAAATATTATGGTGAAAATATCAAAAAGCTCAAACAAAAGTAGTTACTATAATGTACTTACAAAGACATCTAAATTTGAATTATTTATTTATTTAATTTTACTTATTGATTTACTCAAATATCTATTTATTTATTTACTAACTAACTAACCAAATTATTAAAAAAATTTTAATTTAATTTTATTTTATTTAACTGATATGAAAATAGTATTAAATTCTTTAAAGAAATGAATTATTTATCAGGTAATAACTTTAATAATGAAAAAATGACATACTATTTATTAGTTATTCAATTTTATTTTATATACTATAAATTGATTCTTTTGATTAACTCTCCTATCTAATCTATCATTTTCAGTTATAATTAATATGGAAAAAAATATTGGGCATTTACCTTCAAAAATTTTAAGCCTAGGAATATTATTTAGTATAACCAATATAAAATTTTTGAAAAAACAAAGCTTATTAAAATATAAACCAATGATTCCAGTTTAAAAATAGTTAATTAATTTGAATCTGAAATATTCATTCTACATTAATTTAAAAAAACTATATAGTAAAAAAATAAGCTAATCTTTCTGATATTGATCAAAAATCTTTAAGTAAAAGTTAATTTGGGTAAATGTTTCTACCAAAAATAATTCTAGAAAAAAATAATGGAAACAAAAAAGATATAAGACTCAATATAAAATAATTAAAATTTAATTGATAATAAGTGATTGCGAAAAAATATGTAAATTCTGATTAATTATGATAAAAAGGATTATAATCGGCTATTATATTATGGAAATCTTACTATAAATATCTCTTTTTTTCAAGCTTTAATAATAATTAAGTAAAAAACAGATATAAACAATCGATATTTAGATTTGTTTTTATAGTTATAATAAATAAATGTAAAAGCTCTTCATCTCTTAATAGTCAGAAGCAGATTTCTCTAGCCTTGATTAACAGTTGCTAGAGTCAAATCATCAGTCTATTAATGATCAAAGTTTATTGTAGGAGGAATCTTTTAACTGTTAGTTAAATACTTTATAGTAATAATAGAATAGAAATAATACATCTTGTTCAGATGATCATACTCAAAATCAAAATGAATAGTTCAAAAAAGTGCAATTTATTGTTAAGCCTTCTCAGGTTTTGCTAAATTTCTAAATAAATGTTTTTACTGGATTGTAGATTACTAGCGATGGAGTAATTAGATATTTTCCAGCTATTTAACCAGTTTATTTTGGTTTTAATTAATATGATTCCATTTAAGTAGAAGACTTTTATCACAGCATTGGATTAGTTAATCTAAAATAGCACAACAGAGCTAAGCAAACAAAAAGTAGCTATAAACAGGCTTTGGATTTTATTTAATATATCCCAAATATTGAATAATAAATTGTCAAAGAAACTTTCACTAAATTTGGAATGCTGATGTGTAACTTAAGCGAGTATTTTGCAAAACAAATTACTTCAGAAGCTATGCTTAAGACTAAAGATGAAGAATTTAAGATGTTTTAATAAATGTGCATGAAATTTCTTGAAGAATTAAACAATTAAAATGGAAATTAAATGTATTGTTATTAGATTTTTAGATTAAGTCAAAAATACAATGATATAGATTTTTCAAACTATGGCTACTCAAAATCCTACTTAGATCTATTAGGGATTAATGCAGAAACACTATCTTAAATAATATTAAGAGGAAAGTAAATAGACTTAATCCCAAATAAAATTGATATAACGAAATAAGGTTTAACTTCTTTGTAAAGAGTAGGAGTTGAAGAAGAAGATAATAATATTGCAGAGATTATTACCTTTGATGGCTTTCCCATAAAGATTCATTTAAAAAGAAAAGATTATGGGAGTTTATTTTTAAACAAAGAAATTTTATAAGGTGAATATGAACATTATTTTTTGATTACTGAAATAGATATAGAGCTAAACGACTTACAATAACTAATTAATTACAGATAAAGATTAACATAAAATTTTAAACTTTCTTATGATGATTTCATTAAAAAAGAACTCTCATATCTTTTCGAAGATGTTGAGTACTCTATTCACTCATAAGCATTTTTAGAAAAATATTATGCTCAAAATATTAAATCACTATAAAAAAAATAGTAATTGCCTTGTGGCTATAGATAAATCTAAAACTGAATTACTACAAATTAAATAAAAACCAATATTAACTAAATCAAATTTTTATTTGATTTCACTTATATAATAAATACAAAATATTTAGTTTCAATTATCATCTCTAATCATGAAAATCCTTTATTAATCAAATTATATGCAAACAATTTAAATAATTTCTTAAATAATAAAATCATCGAGCAGTGAGTAATAAAATTAAAAATAAATTCTGAAATAAATTTATTAAAAAATAATTAATTACATTCTTATTATTATTTACTTATTTCTTATAAAATAAAAATTTACTTTAATTTAAAAAATAATATGTACTTACTTACTTGCTTTATATTTTATAAAATATTATATGATTCTAATACATTAAATCCCAACTACAATACAACAACTCTCTCCCCCTACCCTCAAAAAAAAAAATTTAATATTTGTTAAAATTACAGTAAATTATGAATCTTTTTAAAAATATTCAATTAGTAAACTAAGTAAGGGAAGTATTAGGAGATATGTAAACTGAGTTTTTTTATGAATATAAAAAATAATATTTATTTTAAAATTCATTTAATTTACTTAAATTATAACAAATATTATTAATAAACTAACTTAATAAATTAATTTTAATTAATAAAGGAGCATAAAATATAATTTTTGATAAAAACTTATTCTCTTATTTCATCATTAAATATTAATATTCTTTTTTAATTTTAAAACTATGAATTAAATGGATATTTTCTAATTTAAAAATATATAATACTTAAATTTAAAAAAACTTAATTTACTATTTGGCAATAGATTTTATTTATTCTTTAAATTAATGCTAGTAGTTTTTATTTTTTAGATAAGTTTGTGCATGTTTTTATATCTAGGCATAATTATTTTATCATAATTATTATATGTATTTCTTTGAGCAGAGTATACAGGAGCCTTAACATGGATTAATACTTACTTGTATTTAATTTAGTTCTGCATTCAATCAAAAATTAGTGTTTTGAAGAGGTTAAGTTTTTGGTTGATTGAATGTAGAAAATTAAAGAAATAACATAAATTTAAAGCTAATTAATTATTAAATTACATTTTACTTGATTTAGAAAATGAGACTTAACAAATATAAATAAAATTTTGATTAAACATAAAAAATGTACAATGAAATGGTGGAAATATTTTACTCACGATAGCATGAAAAGACTCTAACAGAAGATGAGTATGGAACAAAAAATATATCCATAAATAGGATTTAATCTTCTTTGTAGGAACTAAGCACAAAAAAAATATAATTAGATGCTGAAATTAATCCTAAGATGTAGAAAAGTATTCAGATAATTGATAGCAAAAAGTAGATTCAATCCTAAAATGAAGAAAACTAGCTTAGTTATATTTAAAATAATAATGAAATATCTTATTTGTAATTTAAGAATGGAAATTATGATACTGATATTCCAAAGTAGAATTAAAAATGTTAGTTACAAGACTCTTTGAGTATGTCTATGTAAAATGATAACAAAAAGTTAGTCTACTTCGACTGCTATGACCTAAAAAATAGTTTATAACACATTTAAAACATTAATAATAGCACTTCCAATTTAAATACTCTATTAGGCAGTCCAAGTTTTAAAAACAAACCTTAGAGTCACGAATCAAATACTCCACAAGGTGCTAATGAAATGCAATAAGATCAAAAAAAGGTAATAAGCAAATATTTTACCTCTAATATTGATTCAAAAGAAGTAGAAAGGGTATAATCTAATTAACAGAGCGACAATAAAATTGAATATTAACAGGATGTTTAATCTAAAAAGCAAACTGGAAGCTTTAGAATAGCATTATAAAATAATAATAATAATTAGAACGGAGGAGGTGCTATTGAATCACCTAACAAAAAGTAGAAGTAAATTTTATCTTCTGTTCATCACTTATCTAGGAAAAAAGATTCAAGAAAGATTACAGAAAATGAAAAATAATTGTTACAAAAAAAGTAAAAGAGAAATAATTTTATCCATATTATAATGAAAATGAAAAATTATGCATATAAAATGGCTTCCAATATCGAATCAAAAAGACTTGCTTTGCTTTAAAGGCAGAAGTTCTATTATTTAAGAGATAAGACAATTAATTATGACAAATAGGAAAAAGAAAACTACGAATTTTATGATTACAATTATTTCTAAAAAATTATTCATTTATTTTTTAAGCAAGCAAATTCAATTAAGCTAATTAAAACAATTAGAAAAAATACTCCCACTATTCCTTTATTTCATCCTTAGTCTATTATGAAGTTTATATGGGACATTCTTAACATGATCATTGTAATTGTATTCTTCTTTTATCTTCCTCTATACTTTATTTATGGTATACCTTTCAGTTCTGCTTTTTATCTGGAGAATCTAGATATTTTTTTAGCAACTATTGCTACTTTAGATGTATTTGTCAAGTTGAATACTGTTTAGTACAAAAAAGGAAATCTACTTCATTCAAGAACTCTCATTTTGCTCGAATAAATTTCAAAAGATGGCCTTCTAAATATTTCATTTGTAATAATTGTATGGATTAATGTTGCCTAGCAGCGAAATCAATTAGAATTAGTAAAAGATAACAAAATTAGTGTGTTGTTTTTTATGGTAGCCCTTTTCAAAGTTTTTAAGTAAACTACATTTAAAAATCGAATTTATGATAGATTTTATTTAAGGAAAATGAATAGAGGTTTTATCAGCTTATTGCAAATTTTCTTCAATTTATTTATAGTTTCCCATTTATTTGCATGTATTTGGTTAGTTTTTGGTAAAATGGACCAAACAGAAGATTCAATATTTTGTGCTTAACAAGGATCTTCTTATTATAATATTAATAATTGTTCATATACTTGGCTTGATAAATTGCAAGGAATAAAAAATCTCAACTTCTATGAATAATACTTGAGAGCATACTATTTTACAACTGTTACTATGATTACAGTTGGTTATGGTGATATAATTCCTGTTAATAGTAGAGAGTATTTATTATCTGTCTTGACAATGCTTATAGCTTGTGGTATGTTTGGATACAGTTTAAATTCTATTGGATAAATTTTATCAGAAATGAATATCAATAATAAAGAATATGATGAACATTTTAATGCTATTTATGGGTTTATGCATAAAAAAAATGTTTCAATTGATTTACAAGTTTAAGTCAGGGAATATTTACAGTATTTTTTTATTCAATCAAACCAAGAAGATATTTAAAAGTAATAAAAAGTTATTGCCTTACTCCCTGAATCCCTATAAAATTAGATGATGCTTGAGGCAAACAAAATTGTATTCGAAAAATCTCCTCTCTTTAGGTTATTTTTAATTAATAAACTGCAAATTTTTTTGATTTAAATAATTGTAAATCCTCATCTATTAATGTCCCTCCCTCTTATTTTAGATTTATGTCTCATAATTTAAAATTTTTAATTTAAACAAAATCTTTGAAAATAAGTTTAATTTAAATATGAGGATTTATTGTAATTTAAAAAAATAATTTCATTTTATTTAAATTATATTTTAAAGGAAAAATTTTAGCCAATAGATTATTTAAAAGACCATAAAACTTATTGAATAAAAAGAATTCAAACCTGGTTAAAAGATTATAATGCAAGAAGTAGAAAACGATTACTGCATTTATTTTATAGAAAAAGGAAGTGTAGAAATTTATAACAGCAATAACAATGAAAAACTAAAGGTACTTCATAAAGGAGATTATTTTGGAGAAATTTAATTCTTTACAGGAAAATCAAGTTAGTTATCTGTCAGAAGTGTTGAATTTACGAAATTGTTATCAATTAAGAGAAGCAACTTCTATGAGTTGATCTAAAGCTCACCAATTGACTTAGAAAAATTTTGCATGATAAAAGATTCTATTACTTTTAACAATAAATTGGATTTAGTTGGAGTTGTATGCTACTGTTGTAAATCAACCACTCATTTAGTTACTGAGTGCAATTTCATCCATCTTTGCTCTGATAAATTTAAAGTATATTGCACACTTGCATTTTAAATAACCTTTCTATCAATTTAATTTTTGAAGATAGTAAAAAATAAAATATATTTATTTAATTATTTATTTTAGATTATAAAGGAATATGCCAAAAATGATTTCTAAACAAGAGACAAAGATATTTAAAGGAAAAGTTTCTCCTATAATTCATTGTAAGTAAAACATTAAGTTGAAGAGGGAGCAAAATAATTTATAGATGAGAATTTAGAAGATTTAAGTTGGCAAGGCTGGTTTAACGATGCGATGAAATAAGAATTTTAAGAAGATTTAAATTTAATAAAAAATGGAAGAGGATAGCCTAGTTTAAGAACGATTGGTAATTAGCAAAATTTAAATAATATCTAAAAAATAAAGAGCTAATAAAATATACAAAATTAGTTGTAGAATATAAAATTATAATACCAATTCATTAAAAACACAAACGTAAATAATCAAGATAATACAAATATGAATATGAACTCTGAACTGAATTATATAGACAGATAAGACAGATAAAGTATATAAATTTAATAAAAATCTTATAATACGTTAGATAAACAAAGTCTTCAAGTATAATAAAAATCTAACAATAACTTTTAGTACACAGTTAATAATGACGATTATAGTCAATCTAGCAATAATGGTTGCACATAATGCAAAAAAGTTTATTTTTCTATCAAATCTTTGTAAGATAAAATTGTTGATGATGATTAAGGAGACAATAAATCTTAGTTAACCTAATAGTGCTAACATTCATAATTTGTCACTTAGTAAAATTAACCAAGTAACATTTATAATAATTTCATACAGGGAGATGGAGGGAATATTCTGAATACTCCAACTAACAGGTAACGCCAACTATCTAATATGTCGGAAATGTGTCCTTCCCCATATTCTGCTAACAATAAATTGTATGTTAATGTTAATACTCCAAATTATTTCAACACAAATAATCTAAACCCATAAACATCTCTTGGGTTTTAATTTTATAATCCTTAAAACAGTAACTACAGTATTCCTGAGTTTGTGAATCCTAATTCTAGCTAGGAATCTAATCATCTAACGAATAATGATAATTACTCATAATTTAGTAACAAAATTAAACTTGAAGATAATAAATTGTATAACAAATAAATCTATTAACAAAAATCATTCAACTAAAATGATCAAAAAGAATAATATGCTAACAAAAGTTCTTTAAAAACTGATATTTTAAGCATGAAGAAATCATAAAATCGTTATTTGAGTAAACAATTAAGTAGCTATTTCCAAAAATAAGCAAATGAAGCATTACTAAAATAATTAAAAGAATTATTCCAGTAACCTTAAAAATAAAATACACAAGATTGTGATTTTTAGTTTGAAACTCTTAAAAGTTATTAATTTTACATGCCTTAAAATAATTACGAAAGAGTTTTGTTGCTATATTCTGTACAAATGAGAAAGCACTAAACATTTCAATATAAAACTATAAAAAGTCTATCAAATAAAAATAATGATAACAAGCCAAATGAACCTAATTAAAAATCTTAACCACCACATCAAAACGAAGCTCCTAAAAATATTTAATATTACTAAGACCTAATAAAAGAAAACTAATTACAAAATCAGTCTAAATAATAATTAGAAGAAGATTCAAAAAGCAATAAATCGAAATGAAAGTCTGCTTTCAAATTTTGTTTTAGATTGTTATTTTTATTAAATAAATTGAAATATTCTTCAATATGAAATTCATTTCTTAAATTCCCTGTTTATTCGTATATATTTTCAATTTTTTTGTTGTAGAAGTACAAAAAAACATTTTCTTTCTTATGCAATATATTTATTAGTATGAAATTATTTTTCTAAAAAAAATGTTTTTTTCATTTTAATTTAAAATAATTAATAGGATATAATTTTATTTTAAAAAGTCGGTACCACACCTAATTAAGAAAATGAATACATCACTGAGTTAGTGTTAAAATAGTTTTAATAATATCAATGTGTTTATATAAATGTCTTTTTAATTTTGGATAGGCTATACTTATAAATATTTAATTAAAAGAAATTTAGATAAATGTTTAGAAAAAAATTAAATTTTAAAATAAATGACACCTAGCTATAACCCCCTTCCCTCCCAAATGTTATCTAATACTATTTTTGTAAATAATTATTACTATTTTAAAATGAGAGATAAAAATTAATAGTTTAAAGCAATTTTTATGCTTAAGTGGTTGAAATATAAAAATATATTAAATGCATATTGAGTTCCTAGTTATCATTAATTTAATAAGAACTTTTGAGATTATAGTTTAGTTAGTATAATTAGTCATTCATTCATTTATTCTTTAGTTTTTATTGTCAAAATATGGAGCAACTGCTTCCAGATTTACATCCACAACAACCTGAATTGACAACTTAATTATTTTCGTAATTAGGGTGACTGTATTTATATAAGTCTGTTGTCTTTTTTTGATTGTGGTTTTAAAATTAATCTACTATTACATCTTCTTTATATATTTAGTCTTGCTATATTTATTAATTTTTAACATTTTGGAGATTTTATGGAGAATTTTCTTCAGGAGTTTTAAATTGATTTTATAAATCTTAAAAGTTGTTAGAACTTTATGAATATGATTCTGGTTCTACATCACAATCTATTTCTTGGCTATTTTGTATGTTGAAAAACTCAGTGGAATCATTTTCTATTGAAAAGAAATTGGAACTCCTATTTAAAGGACTTACATTTTCTCCTTAATTATAGCTGTTTTAAAAACTAAAGCTCTGGTTCCTATTAATACTTTGATTAGGTCTGCTTGGAATGTAAGGTAGAACAGCATTTAGAGGATCACAAAGAATATTATCTGGGTATCTGTATTCAAAATCACTCTTTCCTCCATGTATTTTTAAAATAGAATCTTCATCAAAAAACTTTTTGATATCTGACAGCTCATTAACGATATTAATTTTGTTTCTCACTTTTTCAGCTAACATAGGTCTGAATATATTGAAAGCCTATTTCATTATAAAACTAGGATATAAGATGTACACTTAAGCTAATCTTTCTGCATAGTTATCCTAGAACATCGAAACAAGAGACTTCATAAGAGTGATAAATTAGAAATCAAAATTTTTTGACGAAAATCCTTCTCTATCCCAAATAACACACATTTTTTCTGTGCCACTTTTTTCGCTCATTTTAATACCTACTTCCATTAAGTAAATCATAAATTTTATAACTTTATCGTGTGTTGTTTCTGCAGCAATATGATTTTTAATCCTAACTACACAGCATGGATTTCCTTATTTATCGTATTTATGCCAAAAAGCTTTTCCTGTCTTCATTTCGCTTTCGATTGTTTCCAATCCTATATTATCTATATCATATTTTTTTCTCCATAATATCCAATTCCTCCACATTTCAATTGTTTTTTCAATGTTAAAATCTCTCGCTTTGAGCTATCTTAATAAATGTTTTGGATCAGTAATCTTATCTTTATTTTAGCCTTACACATCTGCATTAGTTTCAAGTTCCTTTTTAACTAATTTCTGCATCTCTAAAAATATATTAAATTTTTGGTCGTCTAACTAATGTTCTTATCTAAACTATTCATTAGCTCTCCTTTCTTTTTCGCTATTTGTGCAGTTTATATCTTATTCTTACATGCCTGTAACTATCTATATATTCGTATTTGCTTTTTGCCTATAATTAGTATTTTAACTAGATTTTACTTTTTAGGTTGTGTTTTTTTTTTTTTAACAGCTAGATAGAACACCTTATTGCTTTATATTTTTGATATTTGGTTATTTATTTATTTATTTATTTATTTATCTAATTATTAAACTAATAATGTTGATTGTATTGTTATATTTTTATTAGATAATTAATTAAATTGTATGTAAAGCTTTAATAATATTTTGTTATTTTTATATATAAATAAATACATTAAATTTATTTAAAAATTAGTCTCTCTTTATCTAAGACTTGCTTGAGATGCAAAAAAAATCAATAAACTTATTTTACTAAAATTTAATTCAATCAATAAATGAATAAAAGCTTACTTAGAATTAAAAATATATTCAATTTACTTTCCTTATAAATATTATTAAATTGTCTTTCTTATTCATAAAATTTGTTCCAAAAATAGATACCTACCAATCAAAATAAATAAAAAATTAATATTTATTTTTAGCGAATTTAACTATTACCTAAAAAAAATTAAGTAGATAATATTAGCATAATTATATAAAACTATTCCATTAAAATAAGGATATATAAAACTGTTATGTTTAATAAAATGAATAAAACAATTAATAAATAAAATTTAAAGAAGAAAGCTATATTAGAAATATTGATATCAGTAATAAAATGTATCAATCTATAAAAATATAAAGTTAAAAATTAATATTTACGAAATAAGCCTTAATTCCTCATTAATTTTAATCAACCTCTATTCAAAATCCTAGAAAATCTAATTAATTTTAATTTATTATTCATAATTTTTTTAAAAGTATTAAAGAATGGCTTTAATCAGAGGGAATACAGTAATAAATGTCAGTTTACAATAATTTTTTTATCAAAAATTACCTTATTTATAAAAAAGTTATTTATTGAGATATTTGGTCTTAATTAGACTATTTTGTTATTACATTAAATTTGATAAATTTGTTAAACAATAAGAATTTACTAAGATTGTTAATATTTAAAACAAGCAGCTGATACCAAATTAGAGTCATAAAATAAATATTTTTGATATATATATATAAATTGAAACAAAAAATCTTTTAAATTGTATTTGATTTTGCTTTTATTTATTTGATAAACTGATTGATTCATTTATTTCTTAAAATTAAAAAAATTTATTCATCTATTTATTTGTTCAATCATTTAGAGATTCTTCTTATTAAATATTATTTTAGATTTTTAATTCTTAGACATTTTATTAATGATAAGCTTGAGATTGGTCGACAATGCTCTCAGTGACATTTGCTTCTTTAAAGAAGGTTGATGGCGTTTTAATTTTAAACTGAGAAGTTGAAAGAGAAAGTACTTTAGAATCTTTTTCTGATTTAAGTGCTAAGCTTTCCTGTATTTTATGAGGGATAATTTCATCATTTAATTTTATTTAATCAAATTCCCTTTTTTAAGATTAAATGTTCTCATTTGTATTCTCATTAATTATTTAAAAGTCATAATTAGGTTCAAGGCTTTTTTCTTAAATAATTTAATCACTTTCATCATTACTAAGAATTTAGGGCTTTTAAGAAAATACGTTCATCACATTTATATTAGCTCTGTTATCTTTTTAAGATGCAAAGTAAGAAAGAGAAAAACTGTTCACTGTTGTCTACTCAACAACACAATCTACTTCTTCCACCAAAGTACCATCCTCTTCTCTTCTATTGTGTCTTCCAGCTTAAGCTGCCTTGGCAAGCATCTCTTAATGCTCTTTGTAAGAAATACTTTCATCTCTAGATTTAGTTTGATACTCTTAAAGAATTCTTACAAACTTTTCATATTTCTCTTGTCTTAAATCTTCGTCTTAATATAGATTTCTAACTATCCTTTTTAGCATATCTTGTTATTAATTTTATTTCCATTCATAATACACCTTTTTTCTCTTAATATATCTCTAAAAGACTATTTAATTTTTATAGTAAATTTAATCAATATAAAATTATTTATTAATAAATAAAAATTATTTTAAATTCTCTCAAAATATATAATTTATTCATTTTTTTTGTTTTAAAATTAAATAAATATGAAATTACAATCATCTTTCAAAGGATTTTTAATCAAAGAAACTAAATATTGGAAGAGTTAGTTTTAATCTCTTGAATCAATGTCATCTTGAACAGCTAGCAAAGATTCGATATTTGATATGAGTGATAAAATGTACTCATCTCTTCCGTCTGAAGCATCAATAATTTTCATAAGATTTTTAGATCTTTTTTCTATTGATAGAGAATTAGCTGCTCTGGATTACTGTTACTTGATGGAATACAATTCATTAATTAGTTCTTATTTTTGTATTATATCTAATTAACTTAATTATATGAACTTGTTAACTAAGGCATGTGTTTCATCATTTAGGAAATGAGACAGATCTTAAGAAACTTACATTTAATTATAGAAAATATTATAATCTAATACTATTCCTTCTCCTAGAAGTTCTTTCTCTGTAGTGTTCATTGATGGAGTTAGGTTTTTGCATGCTGATAATTTATTTAGTTAAATTATTTCCAACACACAATTCTTATAAAATTAATCTATGCTTTTGCTAGCAGATTAGCATTGAAACAGAAAGCAGGTTATTGCAATTTAGTGCAAAATTTTACTTAATTCAGATAAAAAATTGCTGTAAATGTCAAAGTCAGAAGGTGGAATATTGTAAGCTACTTTTGTTTAGTGAATTTCATAATTATATTTATTTATAAACTGGTAAATATAAACCAATAAATTTGAAAATTATGTGGAAGAAGAGGCATACAGTTGAATTACAACTTGCTGTTGAAATTATTCAGGAGAAAGCTGGCAGCAAGGTAGAAGTGCTTTAATTGAAGATATTAACTATTAAATATTTAGGTCAGGAGATGAGCAAAAATTGGAAGGGAAATTGTCAAAAGTTGCTATGATTGGAATGTTAGGCTCTGATAAAAATATGTAATCTAAAGAGAAGTTAGCTGAGTAAATATGCTGACTATGTAAATATTCCATGCAATCTACCAAGAGGATTAGAGTGGCAAACAATTAAATTATCTAATGGTTTGATGCCTTACTTTCTTCTCCTAGTGGTAGTACCAAGCTAAATAATTTCTTTTAACTGCTCATCGAGTCAACTTTACTTACATTATTTAAGTTGCAAAATGTTACTTCCTAAGCTGACTTCAAATTCGATCCACCTTAATTGCTTTTATATAAATGAACATTCATTACTCAATTTATATCATTTTAACATAAATTAAAATTTTTTGGTAAAATTATTTATTTCATAAAATCTTGAATGTTAGAAAGGAAAATTCAAACTAAATTTTAATTTAAATTGATTGATTTGTTTTGAAAATATTAAAAAATAATAAAACTAATTTACTTTATTTAACTTAGATTTTAAAGGTTAGAAAAACTATTTTTAGATGATAAATTGTTATTGTTATTATTATTATTGGGCATAGATTCGTCTTGTATTGCATATATATCTCTTCCCTATTTTAGGAAAAAATGAACTTTCAAAATTGATTTATGTGTCAAAATAAGTCTGTAAATCATATCTCTTTGATCTTATGTATTTTTTATCCTGCGTGCTTCGCATCTTTACTCGTTGAGCATCATTTTTTTACCTGTAATAGGGTTCATTATTTGGCTAATGTTGCCGCTTTCTAGTTTAACTAGTAAGTGAGAATTTAAATTAGACTACCTGTCAAAATAGGAGTATTCGTAGAAGTCAAAGATTTTACCAATAAAATCAGCATTCTCTTCATTTATTAATGGGAAGAATACTCTCAGTGAACCTTCGAATTGAGGTTTTATTTTTTAAATAGTTAGATTTTTCAGATTTTTAGTTAAAAAGTGCTAGCATCTTGTAAAATAGCCTTGTCTTGGGAGATAAAGGATTGTCGGGAGGGAGTATTGTCTTATCTAGTCATAGAGACTCTCTAGGATAGCTTCACACAAAGGAGGAACTTCTGAAGAAAGTTTATTTTACAAAAGCAAATCAACCATTAAAACATATGAGCAATCAGCCTGCAAATGCTAAATAATTATTTCAGTTGATGATGATAATTACTTCTAAAAAGTTTTGTTGTTAAATTTAAATAAGTTATTGTTGTTGTTATTATTTATGTTGTTACTGGTTATTTATTTGTAGTTTTCTGGAGTTTCTCTTAAATACAATTAAAGGTAATTCAAACAACTTGGTATGTTGTTTAATTGAAAGTAATTTAAGGATAAAAAGAAATGGGCAAGTTTAGAGTATTCGTTCCATCTTTATGTAAATTTATTAGAGCTTGAGTTTGTGAGCTGGACAGGATCTAAATGAGTTTGAATTAATTGTTACAAACAGTTAATTGATTCTTCATATTTTTAAAGTCTGTATTTAGCAATGCTGATTATAATTAAATATTCTGTGCTTGGAAGCTTCTCTTGAATGTGTTATGGGATGGAACCTTCTTTTTTCTTAACTTTTTTCTTAAATTCAGAGATATATTCGCATAATTTGATTAGCTTTTCATTTAAACCTAGAGAAAATAAGGGATAGATTAAATGAGTAGCAGCTGCAAAAATGACTGCTTCTGCTTATTCATGAGTAGCAGTTTCCGAACTAACATATTAAGTAAATAACTCATCAAAGAACACATTAATTCCTAAATTAAGTTGATTGAATGAAAAATATAATAGAGCCTTATTAATTAGGTAGCTCAGCTTGTATAGGTTGTTATCTAAAATCCAATCAATGCTATCTGTTTTATTATTAAGCTTTTCTAATTACCCATTTGTATTTATTTTTGAGTTTTATTGTTGATTTTAGCTGTTAGAAATTTACATTTTTTTAAGATAATTTTGGTGAAGGTAAAAATGGGCTGCAAATCTGGTTTGGGAGAGATGTTCTTGATCTTAGCACAATAGAAGGATAGGATCTTAAGCTAAAGACTTTTATTCTTATATTATAACTTCAGTCAGAGTGGTTTCAAGATGAAATTTGCTTTCTTCTAAGAAATTTCCTTCAAAAGAAGAAATACCTTCAATTAAATGCGAAGGAACTCTTTCATTGATAGAAGCAGATGTCATATTTGACTTCTGCAGTTTTTTTATCTTTTGTTAGATGAAATAATCAAATTCTTGTTCATCTTCATCATCATCCTACTCTTCTAGCTTATTGTTTGAATAGAGTGTATTTTCGTCATTGAGCTCATCTGCTCTTCCACTGTCTGCTAGAAGAAATTCTGCATCATCTTCATCCCCAATATGTGTCAAAGAAATTGAATTAGATAAAAGTTTTAATCCTTTCTATAAAGTTTGCAAATACTCAGATTTTTTCTGTTGTTTTTGATATATTTTCGCCATTAAAAGCAATGAATTTGTGTGAAACAAGTTAAATTGTATGGCTTTTTCCACGTTTTTAAGCGCATCTCCCAATAATCCCATTTTATAATAAAGTTATCCTCTATGATAGTAAGTCAGATAAAATTTAGGTTAAGCTCTGACAGAGTCTGAGTAGCTAATGAGTGCCTTTTCATACATTTGTAATTTTTCAAAACACTAGCCTTAAACTAATAAAAATAGGTGCCAGATTTTGGTGAATTGATTTTTAAATGGGATGCTTTAAGAATTCATCAAACTCAGTCCTTGATTACTACCACTTGAAGATATCGAGCTGCTATGAGCTTTTGAAACTTCTATCTTACTCAATAAATTTTGCTAGCTTTATTGTTGAACATTGTTTGTTAACTGTAAATTGTTATTGATTAAACTCTATGTATTTGCTACGTTTAGTTTTGAGCCAATTATGGTTGTCTGATTTTAAATATTTGGAAATTAATTTTGAATATTCTCTTAAGAGCCTTACTGTTAAGGTAAAGTGATTATGTATTATTTTTGTAAGAAATTGATAACATCCAAAGCTTTAATGATCTAATTTGATCTTAAAAGAGCCTTTGCAAAAATAAGCATTGACTGTGGTGAAGTAGAATCATTAAATAAATTGTAATACTTTACTGATAAATCGTATTATCTTCCAAAATAAAAGAATAATTTTAAGAAAGAAGTTGAGTTCTCAACTTAATATTTATTTTAATGATAAAATTAAATCCCTTCATTTAAAAGTCTTGCAACAGAATTCGTTATTTCTGTTTACTCCATGAACTGATCAGCTTGTAAACATGCATAAATAAATTCTTCATATTAAGAATGTTTTAAATAATTCAATTTTCCTTTTAATTCTCTCACATTATCAACATTAAACCCTTTCTTAGAGAGATTAATTAATTTATTGATAGCCTCTCCATTGTAAGGCTCGTGTTCTAGAATAAAAGAATATATTTATATTTGTTTAGGTATTTCCTTTTCTATTTCGTATATTTCCCCTAATTACAATAATGCTTTTGAATTTGTAGGATCCCTTTCTAATATCTCTCTCAAGCATTTCACAGCTTCTTTTCTTTATGATACTTGCCAATCATTGTTTTAATCTTCTTTTAATTCACTTTCTTTCTTTGTATTATTGTTTTGTTAAATTGCATTATTTTCTTGATTATTATCTTGAATCTAGCTCTCTTTATTTTCTATTTCTATTTTGTAACCTTCTAATTTACTCAAAAGAAGAAGTTTGCTCTTTAACAGTGCACATTCGTTCAGATGCTATTCAGATTGCTCACAGATTATCAACTCTCTTAAGCTTTCTTCGTACCTTCCAAGCTCTTTTAAACACTTTGCTTTGCTAAGTTAAAGAAACATGATTTATTCAAATCGAGAAGAGATACGACTAGTAGTATTCTTATTCTAATTTCCTTAATTTCTATAGGCTATTGATGCCTTCCTTTGCTAAACATACTCAGAGCTATTTAAAATTAAGTCTTTCCAAGGTTGAAGCAATTTATTTAAAAATAGCAGTAACTCATCAAATTTCTTTTATATAGCTAAATTGCTTAATATTTGTTCTTAAGTTTTCCTCCTCTAAGCTATGAGAATTTTCCTCTTTTTTTTAGTAAAGCCTTTATTATTATTATCTTAATTTAAAGCTTAGTTCTTGGCAATTTTCAACATAGCTGAAATGCACTAATCAAAGATTTAAATAGCAGAATCATATTAATGGACAATCTAATAAACACATCCCAAATTATGATATGCCTCAGTAAAATTTTCATCTAACTGTATGCATAAAAGGTAATTCTCTATGGCATTCTTGTACTAAAACAGAAGTATCTGCACATTACCTATTTTTTTATAAACTTCTATATTATTATTGCTAAGCTTTAAGTATTTATTATATGAGTCAATTATTGTATGATAATCCTTTAATTCGAATAAACTATCTATTTTCTTAAGCAGAGCTTCTTTGTATGATGGATCCTTTTGCAAACATTTATCAAAATTAGCAATAGCCTCTTAATGTTAATGCATTTTAGATTGCAGAAGCAGACCCTTCATGTAATACAAAGAAGCATTATGGGGATGAAATTGAGTTCCCTGATTTATAAAAAAATTAGCTTACTCTAATTTATTCTAATTCATGAGCAAATTAGTAATTCTAAAATAAGCTTCTGCATCATTTTTAGTCTTAATATTCCTATTATACATTTCAAATGCCAAATCAAATTTCAAAATGCTTTCATAAATTTCTCCCATCTTATTCCTGCAATCCTCGATTCTTTAATTTTCATCTACAGCCTATTTAAAGCACTTAAGTGCTTCTTAATAATTCTTATCTTTGAAATGCTAAATTCCATCTTCAAAAAAATCCATCTACCAATAAATAATCCTACTAAAATAACTAAAAATCCGCAGTCAATTAATTGATTTAATAAAACAACTACTTTAAATAGTTCAAATAAAATCCTAGATTTTTATTAAAATATAAACCTTTGAATAATTATATAGACTTTTACTTCTCTTTGTTAATATTCAAAAAGAAAAATTTATAGATTAATTATATGTTAAACGAGTTGAATAAATTAAATAGTTATTAAATGAACAGTTGAATTAATCAATATTTAGTTTATATCTAACAATATTTTTGATGAGCTCACTTACTATTTTATTTTACTTTACTATTTAGCAAGAGCTCAATACTTCAAAACAAATAAATATCTTGAAAATAGTCTATTACTTAAATTGTTATTAACTAATTGAATACGCTTTAGTCTAGTGTACATAATTTATTTTTATCATCAATATTTTTTTACTTTTAACAGATTTTCAAAATGAAGTAAAAAATAAATAAAATCAATTTTTTTATTATTTTTAAAATGAATTTTTTTTTAAACCTTAACTAAATATAATATTTTTTAAATCCTTCCTTCTTTTAATTAAAATAAATACGTAGAAAAAGGCATTTAACTCTATAATAAAGGAGGGTAAATTTATTTTCTAAGTTTTGTATTCCTATTGTATTTAGTGTTTGTTTATCTAATCCTCATTTATTGAATATTATTAGATTTACTTACATATATAAATAACCAAATTGCTAAAATAAATTAATTTAATTTTTTTATTTGTTTATTTGCAAATAATTAAATAAGATATATAGATAAATTTATTAATTCATTGAAATTGAATGGATATTAGTTTTTATTTAGCCAAAGTAGGATATTGAAGTAAAAAAATGAATAAAATAGCGCCTTCGTATTCATAATATATACTCTTTTATTTTCAATCTTAGATGTAGAAAACTCATAATTTATGTAAGAAAATTTGTATGTAAAAGTAAATGTTTCTTAACAAATAGTTTGGCTGAATGTTATTAGCAAAATATGTAAAAAATAAGAAATTAATGAACAAAAGAAAATAATTAATATTGTAAAAGATAAGCAAATATTACTTAAAAAATGCAATCTCGTATTTTAATTATGAATTTTAAGTTAAGCAATCAAGGATAATGTTAAGAAAATACAAAATATATCGAAGTAACATTTATTAATTTATTTATGTATTTAAATTATTAAACAAAAATGGAGATAGATATATATATTTATTTATTATTTTATAGTAATATTAAATGATTAATTTAAGAATTAATAGACTTTCTTTCTTTATATCTTAGTGAATTATATTTTTTTCACCAGTAACAGTATTTGTAATACCACTTAACATGTCTACAAAGGAATTTTCTTAATTCATCATAAACAAGTAAAGTTATACTGAAAATTAAGGCTGGTGTCCAGAGCCAGAAGAATAGAGGTCTACCACCGAAGACTTCTTATACTCCTGGGACGTATTAAAGGAAAACGGTTAAACAAGTTTCGAAGATGACACCATGAATCATAATAGAATTAAATGCTGTGGTTGAGTAACTTGTTGATCTACTCTTGCAAGCAAAGATATTTGACCATTGTAGTAAGACAACACTGATGAAGTAGACACTTTATGCATATCTTTAAGCATCAGTTGAATAACAGGCAGTTTAGTCAGTGATAGGTGATTTATTTTTACTCAAGGTAATATCGCAGTCACTCCATTTGTAAATGGGAACAAAAATACCTGAATCTGTATCACATTTTACAAATGTCTTTCTTAAATCGTAGTTACCTTCAGTAACAGTAAACCAGTCTACAGTGTATTTTAATTTGTCTAATTTATCTTGTTAATCTTTATTTAATTAGTCACAACGAGTAGTTCCTGTTATCTTATATATTTCTGTATTGTAATTCTTGTCTATCTAATTTGTGATAGGATTGATGTAGCTTTCGTTGAAATCATTTTTGGGTGGTTTGTAACCTGATCCAGAAGCCATACCAAATAATGAAAGGACTGGGAAACCGAAATAGTTAAATGCAACATAGTAACCTAGGAATCCTGCTGCACTTGCAATTTAACCAGTTTGAAGGTAAGCGATTGTAATCAATTTATTAGAAACAAGATGTTCAGATTTTAGACGAGGTCTTCTAGTCATAACATCAAGTTCAGCTTCTTCATATGCTAAAGAAATGGCAGGCCAAACATCAGTTCCGACACAAATAACTAACATGTAAATACTAGAGAGAGGTAAAGGTAATTCCAAAATAATGAAAGCCAAGAAGGGAACGACTTCAGTCATATTAGAAGTAAGAAGATAGACAACAGTCTTCTTTAAGTTATCGAAGATTTTTCTACCTTCTTCAACACCCAAAACAATAGAAGCAAAATCATCATCAATTAAAACCATATCAGCAGCATCTTTAGTAACATCAGATCCTGACAAGTTCATTGAAATACCAATATCAGCTTTCTTGATAGCAGGAGAGTCGTTGACACCATCACCTGTTGCAGCGACAATAAATCCTTCCATTTGGCAAGCATCTACAATTTGTAATTTTTGAGCAGGTGTTGTTCTTGCAAATACGCAATATTGTTTTTTTACCCATTAACGCAAGTAGAAGTTTTCTTATTTTTACTCAGATAATGATTTCTCAAACGATTCTACGATTCTATCACCATGGACAATGATAGCCTCGCACTCTTCACTTGCTTCCCACCAAGTTTTACTGGGATTTTGTTCCAAGATATCTTCATTAGTAATAACTTCCTTAGGAATAATGTTGACTTCTTTGGCGATGGCAGCAGCAGTAGGAGGTTGATCGCCTGTAACCATGATAACTTTGACACCAGCAGATCTGCATTCCAAAATTGCATAGGGAACTCTAGTTTTAGGAGGATCCATCAATGAAATAAGACCGCAGAACTAGAAATTAGCCAATTTGAAGGGGAATTTTTAAAGTGAAGAAACATTGAAAATAAAGCCTTCAGGGAAATCTTCAGCAGGTAAATGGAGCTTAGCAAATCCAAGAACTCTTTCACCTCCCTTACCAAAAGTGAGATTGACTGCTTTGAATTTCTTCTACCATGTTTAATCAATTTGACTTGGTTAGCCATTAATCATAACTGAATTGCAGTAACTCCAAATCTTTTCAGGAGCACCTTTGATATAAACAGTGTAGTTGCTACCAGGAAGCTATTCTTGAATGATGGTCAATGCAAATTTAACTTATGAGTTAAAAGGCATTTTACCGTATGTTCCATCAGGGTTTTTAGCAATTTAATATCTTTCACGGAATTTGTTGACATCATCAATGTATTAAAAGAATCTAATGATACCAGTTTCGGTGGCATCTCCCATAACTGGACATGTTATGTAGTCGATGTTAGATTGGTCTTTAACTGAGGAGGTATCAAAACGAGCTTCACTACTCAACATAGCAGCCTTTTGAAGGGTTTAGAAATCGTTATCGTTGATATCGTACTCAGGAATTTCACCTTGCTTAAGATGGACTTTGTTCTTGCACATGTAAATCTTATCCTTAAACCACATATTCTTGACAGACATAACATTCTGAGTAAGAGTACCAGTTTTGTCTGAGCAAATACAAGAAGTAGAACCAAGGGTTTCAACAGCTTCTAGATTCTTAACAAGAACATTTTTTACAGCGAGATTCTTAGCAGTAATAGCCAAGGAAATGGTAATGCAACCCAATAAACCTTCGGGTACGTTAGCGACAAGAATACCAATACCAAAAACGATGCAAACCATGTAATCGTATTTCATGTAGAAGTAGGCTAACAAGAAGAAAAGAACACCAAGGAAAATAGCGATGATAGTAATTAAAATGACAAAACGGTCAAGTTCTTAACGAAGAGGAGTCTTAACCTTTTTCTCACCTGATGACAAATCAGCGATTTATCCAAGAGTAGTTCTATCACCGGTGCAAATGACAATACCTTTGCCATTACCTTCTTTGCATAAAGTACCAAAGAAAGCAATATTTGAGGTTTCTAGATAACTTTCGGGATGAGAGCACTCAACAGTACGCAAAAGAGGTTCGCACTCACCAGTGAGAGGTGAGTTATCAACTTTCATTTCATTTGATTCAAGGATACGAATATCAGCTGGTATCTTCTCTCCCAATCTGATAGATACTATATCACCAACAACCAAGTGAGCTGCATCAATTGACTTTGGTTATCCTCCTCTGATTACAATACATTTTGCAGGAATGAAGTTTTTAAATGAGTTCATCAGAGCTTCACTCTTGGAATTCTGTTGGAAAGTAATAGCGGTAGTGATGAAGATGACAACGAGAATGACAATAGCCAAATAGATGTTAGAGGGATCATCAGGACTTAGGCCATAAGCAAGGAAACATAAACCAGCACTGATCCAAAGTAAGAGCGCGAAACCATTAGTCAATTCAATAAGAATCTTAACCCAGAAAGGAGTTTTTACCTTCTCAGTAAGTTTATTCTCACCATGAATTTTGAGTAAATGAGCAGCTTATTCTTCGGTAAGACCCTTTTAGTAGTCAGTTTCATACTTTTATCTAAGTTCCTCAAGAGAAATCTTGTGGTCAACTTTTTCGACTAATTCTTTCTTAGACTTGTCTTCTTTAGAAATTTATTTGCCTTTAGCATGGTGATCTTGTTGCTATTATACCTATGTTCCATTGTTATTGATGAAGACATCTTCAGTCTTCAAACCTATTTCTTCGAGGACGTCTGCGTTTCTATGGGCTACTTTGTTGCCATCTTAGTTTTCTTGAATACCAGTCTAGTACTATTAACTCTATCTCATTTGCTGAATAGAGTTGTTGATTTAGATAGACTGCCTCATTTCTTCGAATTTTCTTACGAGAGAGGCAGACTACCTGACATTAACTTAACTCATTTATAAATACTTAAATAGTAGCTAATAAGATTGATTTAACTTAGCTGTATTTATTAATTTATAATATTTTTTATCTAAATTTATTTAATCTTTTTCTTGTTTTAATATTAATTATACAAATCTTTATATTTAGCATGGCTTGCGTTTTAAATTAATCTTTGCTTGCAATAGACCAAAAAAATCCTTTTTTTTTTATTTGATTTGATGAGCCGCAGTAACGAATTTATGAGTAAATTAAATCAAATTTATTATGAGAAAATAGATAATTTCGATGATGAGTCATATTTAGTATTAATCAGGAATAATTTAGTTTTTTAAGATTTTCTAGACTTAAACTTTCTATTAGATAACTTGCATACAATAGATTTACAATCCCTAATGATGTAATAAAATTATCCATTTTTTTTCCAAACAAAATAGAAAAGTACAACAAATTTTACAAACAAAGTCAAATTTTCTTATTCAAATCAAGATATTTTACCATAAAATTATAATCATCCATACAACTAATACCTTTATTTCATATTATTTCATACATTTGTTTTATCTGCTATAAAAACCAGACATAAAATGGATAAATATTTACTGATTAAGCACTAAGTGATTCTAGTCTAAAATTGGACGAATTTGCTCTTAAAGCCACTAAAATTTCAACTGCCTAGACCGTGAAGAATTTAAAGTAAAATCTAATATAGAGAATTACAAAATCTTTAATGTAAAAAGAAGTTTTGATATGAATAAACAAATAAATACAACTAACTTTCTTTCCCTTAAAACTCAAATTTAAAAATGATAAAAAATAACCCTAAATATTTGGAACAGTATAGAACAAACTTAAAATATACCAACTAAATAAATTCTTAATCAAACAAAATTTCATTTTATTAGTAAAGCTTTTCAGAGTATTGATTCTACCTTTAAAAATAAATATAAAATAAAAACTTGACAGGTTCATGTGAATTTTTCAACAGTAATCAATAGATTTGATTAGATTTAATACAAATATAAAATCTATTCTGCGAAATAAAATTTATCTTTAAATGTTTGCAAATGGCTTGATTACCTAAAACTCACTATGAATAAACAGTTAAATGGAGATTTTATGCGTTTTGTGTTCAATAAATAAAAAAATAAATTTAAAATAAAGTAGAAAAATAAATAATTTTAAAATTCTTAATACTTTTTTCATATGAATTATGATTTTATGAATACTTTTCAAATTAATTCCTTATAAAATTGGCATTTTTAAAAAGTATTCTCTCATTTTTTCATTTCTCCTCGAAAATATTATAAATAAATTGATGCTAGCTTTGTTTATTGCATTCCTTTCTTCTGAAATTAAGATGGAGTTTAACTTTAAATATGTTTTATGCTTCAAATTTTGAAATCATTTCTAATATAATTTGGTTTTCTACTTTATTCAAAAAAAAAGAAGTAAATTAAAAAGGAAATGAATTAGTTCAGTTATTATTAATAATTTATTTTCTATGTAGATTTTATTTGAATATAACAAGCATGAATTGATACGTTAACGCTAAAAATTTGATGGATTTTTTCTAAAACTAAAAATAGCTACCATTTTTGTTGTAAAACTAAAAAATAAAAACAATATGAACATAAGAATAAATGAATGATCCTAGTCTTTAAAAGACTGTAAGTATAGTATAGGCATTATTAATTAATTAAATAAATAAATAAAATTAAGATCCAATCAATATTGTTTTGGGCATTACTGCTTTAAAAATTATTAACTAATAGACAAACTGTTAACAGAAGGAAAACACTGTGTTAATTAAAACTAAAATTTTATAAATTTCGTTTCTTTTTATTTTTTATTTTGATGCATCTATTTTTTTACTTTTTTCTTGAAAGTAAAATAGGCTGATTAAACAATTTAATTCATCATCTATATTAACCAAAATTCAAAATTTTACTTGCTCAAAATTAAAACCCATCATTTTTTATAATCGTTTGTCAAAATAAAATTATATATGTCTAAAAACTGCTCCTTATCTTTTATCTTTATTTTATAGCCAATTAATTTATTTTGAATCTACTTCTATTACTTTATTAAATCATTTAGTCTTTCAATAATACTTTACATCTATAAACTGCCACACTACGCTATGCATCTGGCTAGATGACTCTTTTCAAAAAATAAAAATTCTATGAAAGTATGATTGACCTTCTCAATCAAAACATTTAGAAAGTAAAAAATATTTAGCAACTAAAAATTTTACAATAAATCTAAAAGTGATTTTTGCTAAATACACTATGTAGAGCAAAAATATTTTTTGTCTATTCCTGATAAATTTATATTTCATTCATTTATAAATAAAAATTAATTAATTAATATTCACTTTGAAAACAATAGTGTTAAATCAATCAATTATATTGTAAATTTAATACATATTATGAAATTTCATTCTAAACAGCTAAATTTAAATATTTAATTATTTCATCAAAAAATAGATTAAAAAAATTGTAAAAAAAAAAATATTTATCTAATAGAAGACAAAATTAAATAGTTTTTGTAGTATATACAAATAATATTAATTGGTAGAATTTTTGTAGAATAAAAAAGAGTTATTATTTCATTAAATATAAGAGGAAAATTTCATCTAATCTGTTCATTTAGCTTATAACAAATATTTTTAATTACTTATGTTTGTAGAACAAAGTTAATTTATTTTCAAGTAAAAATCAGCGATTTTGAACTGAATAATATTCAACTCTAATTGATTTTTACTTTTAATTAATTTTTTGAAATATCATTAAATTTTTTAACCCAAACAATTTCTCTTTAAAAAAGTTGACTTTTTTTGTTTTTTTATCTTTTATTTTGATAAGTATTTTAATTAGAAAGTATTTATCATTTTACTTAAATTAGAATAGAAATGATATTAGATCAATAGATGATCTTTGTTCGTTTAAAAATAAATAAAACAGCAAAATGCTTTATCAAGCTCTATTATAAATCAATAGTAGATAGTCTCATAAAAATAAACTAAATTAATAAGTAAATATTTAGAATAAATGAATGAAAGAAAAATATCATATCAATCATTTTTAGTTTCACAGTGTAATGAAAAAAAAGTGTGTGGTTTAAATAATAAATTTGTATTCTTGTATATTTAATTATTTATTATATTGCAAGCAAGCAAACAAACAAAGCAAGCAAGCAAATTAACTGTGAGAAATATAAGGATTTTTTATGTTTTATAGATTTATTTTGCGTATTAATTTGATAAAGTATGTATTCATTGATAGATAGATTGGTTGATTTTTTCATTCATAGTTTGATATTAGCAAAAAGAAGTATAAAAAGAAGTAATTAATAATATTTAAGCTAAATAGTTGTTTGATTTTGGACTAGCAAATGAAATTTGTAGAGTCTAGTAATAGTAATAATAATAATGTTAGTACTACTTTAACCGATATTGAAAATACTTATTCGGAGCAACAAAAAGAGTTGGAGGTAGAAGAATATACCTCCAATTTGAAATCTTTTTCAAAAATTTAGAAAATTTAGGATATTATTCCATTTATCTTATCTGCCTATCTTGCATCATAATTCAAGAAATACTTGTTTTTTCGAAAAAACTTAAAGCTTTTTGTTAAATATTGTTTCAAGTACAATTAAATACTCCTTAAATAATCGCTTTAAGATAAGTTGAATTCTGAAATTCTCTTATAAAAGTCTTTGGATTAAGTACATACTTGTTACTTACTTACTTAAAACATTTTCTATCTAAATTCTTTTTTTGAGTTTATTTTTTGTTATAAATTTCCTTTCAATAATTAATGTAGATATTAGATGAGTATTCTTAAAAATCATGTTGCATATCTTAAGAACTAATTTGCATAGTCAAGCATTATTTGCTATAAAACAATTAATTTCAAACCATTTAAATAAGGAAATAGGTATCTATAAATTTAATATCTTAATAAGCAATTCATTTATTTTCAAATTAGGGATATCTCTTACTATCAGGCGCATTATGCATGATGAATGAAAACCCAAATTACTACGAATAACTTTAAATGCATCCTAGTTCTTTCAAATATACACAAAGGGCTAAACAAATGATTAGAGAATAAGTATTTTGTTAATTAAATGCATTTATCATTTCATTAAATTACTCCTTTATTCATTAAAATGTTTATGAAATCTTAATTTCTAACAAGATTATTAGTCTTGAAACAAAAACTAACTCAGATGATTTATCTAAAATAAATGAGAATAGTCAAAATAGTTCTTAACAAAACTCTCCAGAGACGCTTCTTGTTGATTGCCTTTCTGATTTAAACGAAGTTTAGTCCTTCTATTCTTTCTATGAAAAAATAACTTCAGCTTATCTTGTTAGAAATCCATATATTCAATTGACAAAATGCTAATTGTTTATATTAAAAGAATTATATAAGCTAAATTACTCAGAAAACGTATGTTTGTTTGATTGATTGATTGATTGAATTCCTAATTCCAAATTATTAAAAAATATTTTTAACTTTTTTAAAAATTAAAAAAATTAAGGAAGCTTTCTGGATTTTTGTTCAAATAATAGAAACAATCTTACCTATCGACTACTTTTCCACATTAGGAATAGGTTTATTGTGCCATTTTTAAACTTCATTGAATATTTCCAAGTATCTCTATCCTAAATTCTATCAACAAATAAATGTAACCTCAATAGACATTAATGCACTCATCATTACTTCACTCTCAACATTATATTCAAACATCTTATCAGGAGGCATTCTTTACTTAGCTTGGGATTATATCTTTGCATTTGGAAGCAAAGCTCTTTTTTAGATTCTCTTAGTCCTTTTTCAATATTTATCAGAATAATTTTCTAAAGTAGATTGCTCAATATAAGGTAATCTAAATAGCTGTTTTACAAATTCCTTTAATTAATAAATCAAATTATCTCCTTAAATTAAATCAACTATAAAAAAATTAATAAAATAAATTATTAAGAAATAAATAAAAATGGTTTAAAATATCATAAATTTGTTAAGTGGATTTAAAAATAAATATAATTTTTTAGTGATTTAAAATTAAATTAAATATTTTTTAACATTGAAATCATTTTAATAGATTTTTCTACATTTAGTAAAACCAAGATATTAAACAGAATGAATTGATGGATGTACAATTATAATTTCATAATTATGTTGTACTCCTTCTTTAAATTTTTAATTCATTAATTTTTAATTAATATAATTTAAGATAAAAAAATTAATGATTATGGAAATGCTTTTTTTTAATGCTTTAAAAGCCTAAACTTTGATTAAAAAATATTTTTATTTTTGTTATTAATTTTTTAATTGTGAAATAGAAACAAAAGATGTGGAGAATTATTTTAAAGAATTGCAAGATTTAGAAGATTTTTAAAGAAGGATGAATTAAGTTGAGATTGATGACTAATTGTTAAATATAATAAATAACGTTTACAAGTATGAATATGAGCAGTTAACTAAAAAATTTGAAGTTTTATATGATAATAATTAGTAAACAAGTATCAGTTCTACTGAAAAGGAAGATTGCAACTTTATTAATTTTAAAGAAATAGATCAATAGCTTAAATAGGAAAACTACGAAGTCTTAATCTTAAAACAGAAAGAGGATATAAAAATATAAACTTATTCACACTTTAAATTAAGTGATGAAGAAATTAGCAGGTTACTAATAAAACAATAATAAGAATAAGGAAGAGCTTAAACTGCTAATTATAATGACATTCTGTACAGATTCTAATTCGAAATAGAAAAAGAAGATAATTATCTTTACTTAAAAAAAAATAACTGCAGCTCATTTTTAAAAAATAATATTTAGTAAATATAAGATGATCTGCTTATTTCAAGATAAAAAAGTTTAAGTCCTCTTTTAGAAATCAAAAATTCTAAATAGCTTGATTAAATTTATGAAAATGAGTTTTCAAATTTAGATTTATTTGAGCATTATAAAGAAGATTAAAACTCTAATTTACTCTATAAGTTAATATGTGAGCATTCAGATTCCATTTATAAAAAGCGCAAACAAACAAAAATAAAAAAATTGTATTCAATTTCTGAATACTTATTTGACGATTTGCTAGTCAATAAACATTTCTTTAACTTTCTTTATTCTTAAAATGTAGAAAGTTCCTCAATAAAAAATTTTATTTGAATTATTAAATTATAAATAAATCTAAAATATAATAAAATATTAATCATTAATTAACAAAAATATCATTCATTCATTATCAGTAAATAAATAAATAAATTAATCATTAATTAACTAATTAAAAATATATTTATCAAAATTTATTTTATATTGCTCATTTGTAATAAATTTTCATTTAATTATAATCATATTAAAGCTATTGTAATTTATAAATATAATCTGATTCACTCAATTAAACTTTTTGGAATTTTAATCTAACTAAAAATTTGATTAGAATTCGTGAATTCGTAAAGTCGTGCATGCCTATCGAGGATTTAAGGTAATAAAAATTTATTTTTATATATATTTTCGTCCTAAAAAAGCATTATTAAAAAATAATGGCCTTTTTAAAAAATAGTGAATTCATCCATATCAATCACTAGATAGATTTTAGAAAGGCATTTAGATATAGCTAAAACTGTTTAAAATTGACTTTAAGAAATTAAAAATAGATTTTTTGAAGTCAGTCGATAATTAATATAAATGAAGTTATTTTATAAATATTATACTTTTTTTGTAAAAACTTGCATAAATGTTTATATAAATGCTATTTAAATAGCTAGCTACAGTTATAATAATTTTATAAAGCTGTGTTAAATAAATCAGCATTCTTATTTTTCGGTTACTTTCATATTAATGAGTCTAAAGTTTTTAACTTCATCAAGACTGAAGATTTGATTTTTTCCTTCATAAATGCAATCAGTTTCCAAATCTAAAGTTTGAGAAGGGAAAGTAAGAGTAAATTTAAATTTATAACTTTGACTACACTCATTCATAGCAAGAACATCTATTGTGCTAAAATCAACATAAGTGACTAAGCATCCATCTTACTTAGAATCATCTTATTTAAGATCTTTATGAGTTTCAAATGAGACTAGAGTAAAAATGCTCACTAAAGATATTAAAGAGATAAGAATTAAAGTAGCTTTCATTGTTTTTTATTTTTCTTTTATTTTATTTTAAATGAAAATTATTTATTAAAAGTTAATCTATTGATTTTTTAAATGTTCAAAATTCAAGCATTCATCATCATGATTTAAATAAACAATAATTAACTAACTAACTAATTAATTAAAATAGTAAATTCTTATATTAAATTTGTTATTAGAATTTTTCTGATAATTATCAAAATCTTAATTTCTCAGATTAGAAAGTTTACAGCTACCTAATCTTTTTTCATATAAATGTAAAGTATGTAAATCTTCAGTTAATATAAAACCAACTTAGTTTAAATTTTTAAGTCGTTGTAATTAATATAATTTAGCTTGCTTGCTGATTGCTATTTTATTAAACCTAATCTTTAATGCTACAAAATATTTTAAATTCTCAAATTTATTATCTAAAAATAAAACCTATTTAAAACAAAAATTATATTTTTTCTAAGTAATAAAAAAATATATAATAATAATAATTTGTATATATTTATTTGTCTCTTTATAAACATAAATAAAATATTTATTTATACTTTTGTCCTGGAGAGTGAAGAAAATAAAGCTTTTTAAATTAATCTAAAAATAAGATTTATCTGACGAAAGTGCTTATATAAATTATAGGCTAAAATTATCTCTATTAGCAAACTTGATAACAAATTATTATATTTTATAACATTTCATTATAAAAAACTAAAATTATTAACGAAAGGCTATTTTTTTTATGTTTATATTTTTTTAAACTTTTCAAGTATTTTAAACGAAAATAAACTATTTCATTGATACTAATAATTTTAAGTAAATAAATAAAAAACAAATGGTCTTATTCCTTTTTATTGTTTATTCAATAAACTAATTTCTTTTATAAAACTAAGAATGAAATTGTTGCAAAAGTTAAAATTAATTAATTTCGATTTGAAATAGAAAAAGAATAATTAAATCTTTTACAATTTTTAAAAGATATATAGATAGATACAAAAATATATGGATAAATACAAACATAGAAAGATAAATCTATCAAATTAATATGATATTATTAAGCTATTGAAAAAATAAGCCATAATAAATGAATTTGGCAATATTAAACTGATAAAAATTTTTGTTTCAAAAAAAATGTTGTTCCTTTTTTAGCTAATTTTATTAATTAAGGATTTTCCTTGTCTATTTTGAATAAATAAAATTTTTTTGAATCAGATTAGGTAGATAAATAGATAGATAGAAACTTTTACTTAAAGGATTGAAAATGAAGGATTTTAAAAATGAATGGTTAACTTATTTAATACAAACAAAAATAAAGATGTATTTTGTATAATTAATTGATAAGAGACTAAAATTAGTTACCAAATAAGTATTCACTGCGTAATAAGATAAATTAACTGCTTTAAAAAAACTGAAAATTAAATTCTCTTAAAATTTAAATGGTTTTTTTTTTAAATAATAAATTAAATAAAACCAAATAATTTAAAAAATTTAAGATAATTATTTATTTATTTAATTATTTAATTTACTACTGTAGCTTTATTTTCTTAATAATAAACATATTAAAAAGCATGCATGGATATATATACATACATAAATTTAAAGATTTATTTTATGTATAATAAATATAATAAGTGTATAATTTAATTAGATCTATCATGCTATCTACCAGCCATCGTCTTCGTTTTCCTTTCCTTAGTTTTGTTATTATTTTCTTCTTTCTTCTCTATCTATTTTTTTCTTTCTACTAAAATATTGTCCATCAGCTATTCTAATTTGCTTTTCGAATTCTAAATCTTTTTCTTTTTATTTAGATGGATCTAAGGAAATAGCATCTCTTTTTACTGGGAACTTTTCGAGTCTTTTTAAAGTTTTCTTATCAGCCTTTTGCAATTTGAAAATCCATTCAGGTACATCACATCTATTTATTTTTATTGAATGAATAAATAAATAATTTTTTTGTTGTAAAATTTAAAATTTACCCTGAAACTTTAAGCATATTTCCTAAACTTCTAAGCAAAGGCTTATCTTCGTTTGTAAAGAAGGTAATTGCTCTGCCTGTTCTTCCAGCTCTTCCAGTACGTCCGACTCTGTGAATATAATTAATCATAGTAGTTGGAAAATCATAATTAATGACCAAATTAACTCCCTTAAAGTCAATACCTCTTGCCATCAAATCTGTACAAATTAAAGCCCACAACTTACCAGTTCTAAAATCTTCAATAACTTCTTCTCTTTCTTCTTTCTACTTATCCTATTATTTTTATTAAATTAAAAATTTAACATCTTTCACAAAATATATTTTTGAATAATAATTTATTTAATTTCACTTCGCAAAAATAAAGTAAAAATATTTATTGCTCAACCAGCTTTTATTTTATTTTTGTTTAATAAAATCTTTTGTTTCTAAAATAATTTTTATTTTTAAATATCTTTATCACTAAATAATTAAAAAATACAATTTTTGCTTTGATAAAAAATGAAAATTAATTTATTTAATTATTTATTTACAGAATCAATCTTTTCTATTTTAATAGGTGTATTCACACAGGAGCTTTTTATCATAGAAAGTAATTCCTCTCCTCTTTCTTTAGATTGAACAAAAATAAGGACAGGTGGATTAAATTCACCATTGTTAATAATATTTTTTAATTCGACAAGTTTGCCATATTCACTTTAGCAGTAAGAAAGTGACTACTCAATTGAAGCCAAAACATTATTTTTACCTCCAATCTACAATTTCAATGGATCAACGATAATATTTTTAACTAATTCTTCTACAGGATGTTGAATAGTTGCACTAAATAATAAATAAGTTAGCCCTTACTTTTCTTAAAATGTTTCTAAAATTCTCTTCATTTAACCAGCAATGTTCTATTCAAAATAAAATAAATAAATTAATTTGATATTTTTGATAAATTCACTTACAAATTCAAAGTATCTATCTGCTTCATCGAATACAATGTATTCTAACTTATCAAATTCTGTATGAGATTTTCTATTCATTTTAATGAACTTTAATGGAGTAGTAATTAAAATATCGATATGTTCAAGTTATATTTTGAAAGCGTTTGATTCATTATTTATTTTTTAAATTTATTTGATTCTGAGACCATCTTCAACTCCGTAATTTAAGAATTCGAATTCTCTTAAAATTTACTCTGCCAATTCGTTTGAGGGAGCAAAAATGAGAGCTCTGACTCCATTTTTTTAATGAGTGCCTAGTTTCTAGAGCAATGGAAGACAATAAGCAGCTGTTTTACCACTTCCAGTAGGAGCAAGTGCTAGTAAATTTCTTTTCTTTTAGATAAAAGAGATAGATATTCATTGATTTATTTACTTAATAATTTAATTATATAATTTTACTTCCATAATTATTGGTACTGATTACATCTAAATTGGAGTAGGCTTTTCATAACCAGCTTTCTTCATGTTATCCAATATTTTTTGGTTAAATCCATACTTCCTATTTGATAAATGGTATTTTAGATTCTTGTTTATTACTTTATTTAGTAATATTTTTGCTCATTTAATAGTGAAAATAATAAACTATATATATATTTGTCTTAAAAATCTATATCTTGTTAGTAGAAATAACCCAAAGAATATATTAAATATGAAGAAGCTAATAAACATAAAAAGATTATTTGTTTACTTTTGCATTTTAGTGAAATTAGTTAAGAGAGGTGGAATATTATCACCTTCAACTTTAACTTTGTACAATTTCATCAATGCTTTGATTTTAGCTTGCTTAAGTTGCTACTGATGTTCCCAATCCTTTTCTAATTCATCTATGCTCATTTTTCTACGAGATTTTGTTTAAGTGATTTGTTCATTTAATTGCTTAAGATTTTCATTATCGCTATCATCACTATCGTTTTCATTATATTTTTATGCTAGGTTATTGTCAGAAAGTTTTCTCTTGGGTTAAGAAGATTCTCTAACGGCCTAATTTACTTTTTCTGTTTGCTAATAAAGTAAGAAAATTATGTTTATATCATAAAAATGAATGAAGGAATCAATTAATTAAAGCTGAATGTAATGCTACTTTTTAAAATCTATTATTTTCTTCCTTCTAGTAAAATGATGTGCCTGTCTTCAAAATCTAAAAGAAGTTTAACTTCTTTTTAGAATCCTTTTATGCTTGCTAAGTTCCTGAAACTTTTTTGATTGATTGCTACTATTTCATTAGTTGATTTTGTTATTAATTTCAATAAATTTATTCTTTTTTAAAGGATTTCTTGCAATTAATTATTACAAATTTTACTATCAAAAATTCTTTATTGTGATTGGTACTTTTATCCAAGCAAGGTTGCAAGCAATACAAATTGGTTAAAGTCTTAAAGAATTTATATAAATAATAATTTGCTCAAATTTCTTAAATACATTTTGTTAGTTAAATCGCTTGCTTTTGTTAATTTATTCTATATATTCTTTTTAAATTGATAGACAGACATTTAAAAAATAAAATTATTTTCTTGAAAATTAAGATTAAAATTTTATTTTGTTGTTTAATAAAATTATTAATAAATAAATAAAAATAAATAAATTTGCACTGCTTAATTAATACTTTAAATTTGATTAAATAAATATATCTAATGATTAATAGTTAATCTAGATAGTATTAATTAAATTTTAATTACTAAATACATCTTAATCAATTAATTTCATTATTAACAAAATAATATTAAATTTTCATAATTATTATCTATCTTAACAACTAACTATGCTGTTTATTTGATCCCATAATTATTCCAATACAACATCACAGGATATTTCTTTATCCATGTTAAGCTTATTAATTATCTTCCTAATAAAATCTTAATATGCTATTATCAAATATATATATATATATATATTTTATACATAATAAGACTTAATTTAAAATGTCCCAATTTATGATAATAAACTAATTAATCAATAGCCCAGAAAGACTCAATACCATCACCAACTTCCTTCCTTCCTTGCTTCATTAATAATTAATTCATAAATTCTTTAAATGTATTGATAATTAAATTTTTTATGTTTGTAAATAAATATTCTATTCTATTTACTATACATATATACATAGTTAATGAATTTTTCAAAAAATGTATATTAATTAATTATTTATAATATAAAAATTTATAATCTATTTTTTACATAGGAATGAATGCGCTTTTTTTGGTACACGTATTTTATATAACTAAATATCATGCATGTACTGCTAAAAAAACTAATTGAATTTGAGAATAAATAGTTAGAGATATTGTAAATACTATTATATCTAAAATATATATATTTCCCTCATTATTTGACTTAAACAAACAAGAAAATTTACTAAATATATTAGATGATTATTACAGATGCTTCAAATAAAGTAACCCCAGCTTTTTTATATATTATTTTGATTTTTAAATAAAACACAAAAAAAATACATGAAAAAAAATACAAGGGTTACTTTATTTGAAACATCTGTATAATCAATAAATCTATTTGCTCGTTTAACCAAATTAATTTGAAATTAAAGTACATTAATTTATTAATATACTTATAATTAATTAAATTTCCATAAATTGCTATTCTATATTTTTGAGAAAAAAAATGATATAGTAGAAAAAGTATTTTAAAAGTCTATAAGAAGTAAATATATTTTTTATGAATATATTTCAAATTAATTTTATCTTTTAAAAAAGTTTACTGACTCTTAGCTTTAATCTCATTGGGTTATCCGTATAGATCTGGAGTATATTTAATTTTTTAATATTATTATTATTAAATTTTTAAAAATCTAATTTTTTAGCTATTTATTTAGTATATTTTTTTCTAATAGGAATTCTCATGTTTATTCATATTAATTTTTATTTATACAAATATCTATTTATTAATTTCATTTTATTCCATATTTTTTCTTTATTTTATTCTTCCTTCTAATTAACTAATTTATAAATCATATTTTTTTATACAATATTTAAAAAGCTATAAGTAAATTGGTGATCAAAATGCCTCAGGTTTAGGTTCTGCTTTAGCAAAGTGCACTAATCTCTCAAAATTATTACTTGTTATGAAGTAAAACAGTTTATTTGTTTTGGATTGTGATATTTTTTAATATAAAAATTAATTTATTTAAAACAATATTTTAACTCTTTTAATTTATTTATTTATCAGATTTTTATTTTATTTATTTTTGTTTTTCTTTTTTATTCTGCTTATATTTTATTTTAAACTTTTCTATCTATCTATCTATTATTTATTAATTAATTTCCTATTATTTCATATTTTTTCTATATTTTTTCCTTCCTTCTAATTAACTAATTATTTAATTATAGTTTTTTTTTCAATATTTAAAAGGTAGAATTAAATTGGTTTTGAAGGTGTATCAAGCTTAGGTTCTGGCTTAGCAAAGTGCACTAATCTCTCAAATTTGACACTTGGTCTTGAGTATAAACAGTTTGCTTGTTTTGGATTATGATACTTTTATATAAAATGAATTTACTTAATATAACTATTTTAATTAAATCGTTTATTTATTAGCTTTTTTTATTTGATTAATTTTTGTTTTTCTTTTTATTCTACTTATGTTATTTTTATCTTTGTTAATTTAGCTAATTTTTTCATTTTCAACTTATTCATTTCCTATTATTTCAGATTATTTCTTCATTTTTTCCTTCCTTCCTTCCTTCCTTCATTCTAATTAAATAATTAATTAATTATTATTTTTTCTTCAATATTTAAAAAGTTTGAACTAAATTGGTGATAAAGGTACATCATGCTTAGGTTCTAGTTTAGGAAAATGCACTAATCTCTCAAATTTGACACTTTCTCTTTAGTAAAAACAATTTATTTGTTTGGATTGTGATATTTTTTAAAATAAAAATGAATTTAATTTTCTACTTTTACTTTTATATTTAATTAATTAATTCATTATTTCATATTTTTTCTTCATTTTTTCCATTATTCTAATTATTAATTATTAATTAATTATTTTTTTCTTCAATTTTTAAAAGAGATAATTAAATTGGTGCAATTGGTGTATCAGGCTTAAGTTCTGGTTTAGCAAAGTGCACTAATCTCTCAAATTTGACACTTGGTCTTCAGTAAAAACAGTTTATTTGATTTCGATTGTGATATTTTTTAATATAAAAATAAATTTAAAACAATTTAACTAATTTTTTTATCCTTTCTTCCTTCTAATTAACTAACTAATTAATTATTTTTTTTTCTGCAATATTTAAAAAGGTATAATTAAATTGGTGATCATGCATAATGCTTAAGTTGCATTTTAGAAATGTGCACTAATCTCTCAAACTTGACACTTGGTCTTGAGTAAAACTGTTTATTTTCTTTGGATTATGATATTTTATATATAAAATGAAATTATAAGAAGAATATAATTATTTTAATTAAATTATTTACTCATTTATTAGCTTTTTATTTGATTTATTTTTGTTTTTCTTTTATTCTGCTTATGTTTGTTTGTTTCTTTTTTTTTTTAATTTTCAACTTTTGCATTTATTATGAATTAATTCATTACTTATTACTATGCGTATTCCCTTGATAAGACCCACCGACCGCCAACCGAGGTAGGTCCAAAATGGGAGATTTTTGAATTTCAGTCAATTTTTCGAAGGCATTAATTATAAATTTAAAAAGAGCTGAACTCTTCACAGTAGTTATTTTTTATTATAATTCTATGTAATCAAGCAAGCACTCACTGCTAATCTTAACTTAAAGTTAATATTTTAAAAGCATTCAGTTTAATATATAATAAAAAAAAGTGAAATTATTTATTTAATATCCTAAGTATTTTCTATTTTTTCTACATTTTTTCCTTCCTTCTTATTAACTAATTAATTATATTTTTTCTTAAATATTTAAAAAGGTATAATTAAATTGGTGATCAAGGAGCATCAGGTTTAGGTTTAGGTTTAGAAAAGTGCACTAATCTCTTAAAATTGACACTTTCTCTTCAGTAAAAAATTTATTTGTTTTGGAAAATGATATTTTTTAATATAAAAATGAATTTAAAACAATATGACTAAATCTTTATTTATTTCTTTTTATTTCATATTTTTTCTTTATTATTTCTTTCCTTCTAATTAATTAATTAATTATATTTTTTTCTTCAATATTTAAAAAGCGATAATTAAATTAATGGTAAAGGAGCATCAGGGTTAGGTTTTGGCTTAGAAAAGTGCACTAATCTCTCAAATTTGGCACTTTCTCTTTAGTAAAAGAAGTTTATTTATTTATTTATTGTTTTGAATTGTAATTTAAAAATGAAATTAAACCAATATAGCCATTTTAATTAAATTATTTATTTATTTTTATTTTATCCAACATGCTTTAATTTTATTCTTTTCTAACTTAAATAATTTTTTCATTTCAACTTTTGTTTTTATATTATTAATTAATTAACTCATTTCCTATTATTTCATATTTTTTCCTTCCTTCTAATTAACTAATTATATTTTTTTCTTCAATATTTAAAAAGGTAGAATTAAATTGGTGATGAAGGTCTATCAGGCTTAGGTTGTGGTTTAGCAAAGTGCACTAATCTCTCAAATTTGACACTTTGTTTTGAGTATAAACAGTTTATTTGTTTTGGATTGTGATATTTTTAATATAAAAAATGAATTTAATTAATATAACTCTTTTATTTATTTATTTATTAGCTTTTATTATTAATTAATTCATTTCTTATTATTTGATATTTTTTCTTCATTTTTTCATTCCTTCCTTCTAATTAATTAATAAATTATTATATTTTTTTCTTCAATATTTAAAAAGTGATAATTAAATTAGCGATGAAGGTGTATCAGGCTTAGGTTGTGGTTTAGAAAAGTGCACTAATCTCTCAAATTTAATACTTGGTCTTCAGTAAAAAGAGTTTATTTATTTTGGATTATGATATATTTTAATATGAAATTGAATTTAAAACAAAATAACATCATTTATCTATCTATCAGCTTTTTATTTGATTTATTTTTATTTTTTATTCTACTTGCCTTTTTTTCTATCTTTGTTTATTGAACTAATTTTTTAAATTTCAACTTATTATTAATTAATTAATTAATTCATTTCCTATTATTTCATATTTTTTCCTTCCTTTCTTCTAATTATTTTTTTTCTTTGATTTTTTAAAAAGGTAGAATTAAATTGGTGATATTGGTGGATCTTGCTTAGGTTTTGGTTTAGCAAAGTGCACTAATCTCTAAAATTTGACTGTTGGTCTTGAGTAAAAAAGTTTATTTGTTTTGATTGCGATAAATTTTATATAAAAATGAAATTAAAACATTATAGCTCTTTTAATTAATTTATTTAGCTTTTTATTTTATTTATTTTTGTTTTTCTTTTTTATTGATTTTCTTCTTCTTTTTTCCCTTTTTAATTTAACTAATTTTTTAATTTTTAACTTTTGTATTTATTTTTAATTAATAGATTTCTTATTATTCCTTCCTTCTAATTTAATAATTAATTATATTATTTTCTTCAAATATTTAAAAAGTTATAATTAAATTGGTGATGAAGGTATATCAGGCTTAGCTTCTGGTTTAGAAAAGTGTACTAATCTCAAAAATTTAAAACTTCGTCTTCAGTAAAAACAAACATTAAATTTTTTATTTATTTATCAGCTTTTTATTTGATTATTTTTTTTTCTTTTTCTGATTTCCTTTTTCTTTATTTCATTTTTTATTTAGCTAATTTTTTAATATTAAACTTTGTATTTATTATTAATTAATTAATTCATTTCTTATGTTTTCATATTTTTCCTTCCTTTTAATAAACTAATAAATTATATTTTTCATCAATATTTTAAAAGGTAGAATTTAATTGGCGGCATAGGTGCATCATGCTTAGGTTCTAGTTTAGGAAAATGCAATAATCTCTCAAATTTGACACTTTCTCTTTTGTAAAAACAATTTGTTTGTTTGTTTTGGATTGTGATATTTTTTAAAATGAAAATGAATTTAAAACAATATAGATAACTCTTAAAATTATATTATTAATTTATTAGATTTTTATTTGTTTTATTTTTCTTTTTCTTTTTTTATCGAACTAATTTTTTTATTTTTAACTTATACATTTATTATTAGTTAATTTATTTATTTCTTATTATTTCATACTTCATATTATCCTTAACCTTATAATTTAATAATTAATTATATTTTTTCCCACAATACTTCAAAAGTTATAATTCAATTTAAGATGAAGGGGCATTAGGTTTAGGTTCTGGTTTAGGAAACTGTACTAATCTCTCAAACTTGGCACTTGGTCTTGAGTAAAATCAATTTATTTATTTTAGATAATTTTAACATAAAAATGTATTTAAAAACAATATACTCTTTTAATTTATTAATATATTTATTTATTTATTTATTAGCTTTTCATTTGGTTTATTTTTGTATTTCTTTTTTATTCTGCTTATGTTTTTTTTTCTTCTTTCTTTCTTTCTTTCTTTCTTTCTTTCTTTTTTTCTTTCTTTCTTTCTTTCTTTCTTTCTTTGTTAATTTAACTGATTTTTTCATTTTCATTTTCCACTTTTGATTTTATTATTTTCGTCCTTCTAATAAACTAATTAATTAATTAATTATATTGTTTTCTTCAATATTTAAAAAGAGATAATTAAATTGGTCCAACGGGTGTATCAGTCTTAGGTTTTAATTTATCAAAGTGCATTAATCTCTAAAATTTGACACTTGGTCTTGAGTAAAAATAGTTTATTTACTTTTGATTGTGAAATTTTTTAATAGAAAAATGAATTTAATTAATATAAATCTCTCTTTTAATTTATTTATTTATTAGCTTTTTATTTGATTTATTTTTATTTTTTATTCTGCTTGTTTTTTTTTTCTTTCTTTAATAACTTAACTGATTATTTTATTTTCATTTTTTAGTTTTATTATTAATTAATTAATTCATTCATTTCCTGTAATTTTATTATTTTTCTTCATTTTTTCCTTCTTACTAATTGACTTATTAAATTATATTTTGTTCTTCAATATTTAAAGCGATAATTAAATTGGTGCAATTGGTGCAAAATGCTTAGGTACTGGTTTAGGAAAGTGCAATAATCTCTCAATTTTGACTCTTGGTCTTGAGTAAAAACAGTTTATTTGTTTTGGATTGCGATTTTTTTATTTTGAAAATAAATTTAAAACAATATAAATAACTAACTTTTTAAATTAATTTATTTATTAGTTTTTATTTGATTTATTTTTCTATTTCTTTTATATTCTGTTGCATTTTTTTTATTTGATTTAAAATATAATTTTAATTTAAAAAGAATTGAATCAGAAATATAGAAAGCAAAGTACAAGTGTTTTAAATCAAAAAGATTAGTTGCCTTTAAAATCGATTTCTTATTATGATAAAAAAGTTGTGAAAAAAGGATATATAAATAAATATTTGAATAATAGAATATAACAGGTTTCATTTTGTAATATTTTGTAATAGAATAATTTTACCTAATATTTAGACAGATAGATTTATTTATTTATTTTATTTATTATTACTTTTATATTTATAAATATCAAATTTTTGCATGTAAATAAATAGTTTATTAATAAAATAAAATAAAATAAAATTAAAAATTAAATTTACTTAAATTTTAGCCAAATGCAATCAAATCATTAAATAATTTTAATTGTCTTATAAAATTTTATAAAAACTAAGCTTTAATATAATATATATATATATATATAAATTAGATGTCTTTTTCACTGAAATTAATATTTTTAAAAAGAAGTAAAAGTTAACAAAAAGATCAGAAAGATACTTTAAAAATTTATTTTTAGTCTTGAAGTCAGTCCGTCCATTCAGTATTTATTACCTATTTATTTTAATTGCACTAAAAATAATAAGAAGCTATCATATTCTTCTTTAATTTCTTCACTTTAATAAATAAATAAATAAATAAATTACTATATATAGTATATTTGTTATCAGGATTTAAAATTAATTGAAAAGAATATTTTTAAATACTTTAAATTTAAATTCATATTAATATTTGGCTTAAAGGCTTTAAATAGGTATTGATATATTTTTAATTATATGATGACCAAACCATCTTTTATTTTTGCTAAATTAATGTATATGTTTTCAATAGAAATATTAAGATTTATTAATTAATGAATTTTACCTTACAATCACTTCCTTTTTTGTGACATCTGTTTGTAAAATCAAATTTATAAATTTTTTTTTTGATAATTATAATAATTTATTTGTTCTTTTTTTCCAAATTAATTTGATATAAAAGTACATTAATTTATTAATATACTTAAAATTAATTAAATTTATATATTGAAACTCAATAGTTTTGAAAAAAAATAAAAAATAAATAAATAAATAAATAAATGATATAAGGGAAACAACATTTTAAAAATCTAGAATAAGTAAATATTTATTTTTTTATTAATAATGTTTCAATTAATTATTTTTATTAAAAAAAGTTTTTAAACTCTTCACTTTAATCACATTAGATCCTGCATATTGAACTGAGGTATAATTAATTAATTAATTAATTAATTAATTTATTACTATTAATGTCTATTTATATTTAATTTTCAACTTATTTACAAAATATTTTCCTAATATAAATAAATACTCATCTAAATTCATTTATTTTTATATAAACAACTATTTTTTATTTATTTTAAATTAATTTTCAATGCATTTTTATTATTAATTATTTTATATTTTCTATTATTTTTTCCTTCTAAATAAATAAATAATTAACTATAATATTTTATAATAATATAAGTAGGTAATAGATTGATGATAAAAATGTTTCAGACTTAGCTTCTGGATTAGCAAACTGCACTAATCTTTCAAAATTTGATA